TTGCAAGTGGGCTCCTCTATTTCAAGCAAAAGTACGCTATTAGCATCTCGGCCATTTGTTTACGAAGCTAACCACTTTACCCAGTGAACTAATCTACCCCCGCAATGTCCCAGTGGATGCGCGCACAAATGTCCCCAGTCCTCGCCAATTTGGCATCAGTGACTTTGAAGACCTCCAGATCCCCACGCCCGACGGAGAGTCCTTGCACGCCCTTTTTCTCCGGCAACGACCAGGCCGCTTCTCTCGCAATCTGACAGTCCTGATGTTCCACGGAAATGCAGGCAACATCGGCCACCGTGTCCCCATAGCCAAAGCTGTGCAGGATACACTTCAGTGCAATGTTTTTCTGCTGGAATACCGTGGATACGGGATGTCCACAGGCACACCGGATGAAGCCGGCATAAAGATCGATGCTCAAACCGGCCTTGATTACCTACGACAGCGCCCAGAGACAAGCGATACCGAGATTGTTGTCTACGGACAAAGTTTGGGTGGTGCGGTGGCTATTAATCTAGTTGCCACCAACGAAGAGCAAGGTGATATCGCAGGACTGATCTTGGAGAACACTTTCCTGAGCATTCGGAAATTGATCCCAAAGTATGTTTTCGAATTATCGACAAGCTTTCCGGGCGAGTAACGCTAACTTGAACCCAGTGTCTTCCCCCCAGCACGGTATCTGGCACGTTTCTGTCACCAATATTGGACCAGTGAAGATGTGCTACCTAAGATCACACAAACTCCGGTTCTCTTCCTGAGTGGACTCAAGGACGAGCTCGTTCCGTAAGTTCGTCTACTTCAAGCGCGACGTTCTCATTACTAACCTCCCTTAGCCCGTCCAATATGACCCAGTTATTTGCCGTTTGCCAGTCCGAATGCAAGATCTGGCGCACACTCCCAAACGGCGGTCATAATGACTCTGTTGCTGAGCCAGGCTACTTCGAGCACATCCTTTCCTTCATTACGGAAGAAGTGCTATCTAATAAACAGTAAATCGATGTGACATTGCTCTTGCTTTGGTTTTTCGAATCCCCTCTGGCGAGCCCTTTGCCTAACACCTCCCTTCTCAGGTCTTCCTTTCTGCCAAGAAGTGCTAATACTTCAAGCTTTGCTCCAATGCTTGGCTGTCAAACCCCCTTTTCGATGACCAATCTAGACGTCTGGTTTCGGCCCCTACTACACAAGAATCAATTAACAGGAACTGTTAATTATGACCATGATACCCCTGCCACGCAACCAAGACACGACTTTTCCTTTGCATCCCTTCAAATGATCACGGCCTGCCTCTCATGGCCCATAGATGGCCCTGACGACTTCCTTTATTGACCCCCAAGCCCTCGGGGTGAAGGGTCATACCTCCCATTTGATTGCTCTTTTCTTCTTTCTAACTCTTCTTGTCCAATCTACGTTCGATTCTTGTTTAATTCTTGTTTCCTCCTTGCACACTGATATCATACTCGCGGTGTTTACAATATGGCTCAAGGTCGGGCGCTGGGCGTGTTTCTTTTCTCGGCTTATTTTTCTACGGACCTTTGCCTTTCGCCTTGCTTATCAGCTCCGGCAAGTTTCCTTCTGTTCAATACTAAACGGCCCTTTGCAACTTGTACGAATGTAATAATTTGATTCTGCATATTCGCTGCGCAGTCCTGGATACCGATCAGCAACAGATCTTATGTTGACATTATCCGATGGTCCTCAAATTCCTAAGGTGGAGGGAGGCCTTGCACCCTCGAGAACCACCCATTACTTGCTTAGGTTGCCTCGGTACCTGAATTATCAGAAGAGGGGCATAGTAGACAGTAGGTACGGCCCCGGAGAACCCTCCTGCTTACCCATATGTAGAGGAACCTTTCAAGATCCTCCGAGAGCCTGGAGAAACATAGAGCCGGAAGGGAGTCCTATATAATATAGCCTGTCACTCACTCTACACTCAATGCTACACACACTTTGCTATATATACATTGTCACGTCTTCAACCACTACTTTACACGTTTTTAACATAACCAGCCCTGACTGTACTCTTTCCGGTTATTTCCCCAGAGCTTTCTACTATTTAGCACACCATTCCCAGCACAAACTAGACACTTCAAGTGACCAACCAACCATTATGACCCTAGCATGCAAAACAGTTGAATGGTATCAACCTACCCTAGAACAGCTCTCTGTACCAACCGTGGAGCTTTCCCTACAATATATATGCTTGAAATCCGAAGACGAGGTCAAAGACCATATATACAAAATCCGCGACAAAGCATGGCAGATGTACAAAGGCATCGCTAATATCGAAGTCCCGAGAGCCATCCATACCCCCTGTATCGGACTATTCCGTTTCTTAACCTTCAGCATCAGCCTCTCCCCAATCTACGCATGGGTAATAGACCGCGTACGTAAGGAATAGACCCTACTCAATCTAGACTACTGTTTCGGGAAAGACCTACACAAGCTAGCAATTGATATCGGGCTATGTTCAGCCGATCCTGATGGGAGCTGATATCGAGGGTGATTTTATTCGATTGGGGTATAAACTATAATTCAAAGGAGAATAAGTTTCACGTGTTGGAGCACGATATATACACTAACTATCTCTACATTTCATTTTTGTTTGTACAAATTCATAAATAAGGACTTGATAATGCATGAAAACCCACAACGTTTGTGCCACTTGTTTATATATCAGAATACCAACGTGTTGGAAATCAATCCCTTCTTTTTTCATTTGTTACATCTGTTCCATGCGCAATAGCCAATTCTCTGGAGACATCCGTGCCTATTATTGAAACCACAAGAGCCCAAGTCCCAAAGATCTATAAAGCCATCACGCAGAATGGAATGTGGTGATACATATAATACAAGCCACAAGATTGAGTACAACAGAATCAAACTACTGAAGTTTCTCGGCCTCATCGACCAATTCCTCAACCTTGAAGTTCTCAACATCACCCCGAGTGAACATGCGAACAAGCTCACTCTTCCGACCAGAAGCCTGTCCCTCAAAGTCATAGAAGCGCTGCACACAGCTAACAAGCCAAGTGGCCTCGGGTGCTGAAACACCGCCGTCAGGAATAATCTGACCATGCATAAGGACCAAACCCTTCTCATCCGCCAGATCAAGGTGGTGAGTAATAGTAGTATGAGGCTGAGCAAAAGCGCCGTGCATCTTATAAACACCCAGGTTTGTGAAGATCACAGTGGAGGTGTGGTTATTAGAAGGCGACAGAGTGGACCCCTCAGCAGGCGGGTGGAAAGCCCACTGGAGGAAGTGAATGTCGGCAACGGTGCCAGCTCCCTCGGGCGCCTGCTCTGCCTCTTCGGGGGTCTGCGGACGCGGGAGGGGCAGGATGAACTGCGGGTTCTCGCGTGCGGCCTGCATAATGCGTTTGTATGTGTCGAGGGGGATGGCGGCGGTGATAGCGTGCGAGTTCTCCGCGAAGCGGAGACGCCACAGCGCTTCGATCTCCTTGGCTGGGAGCTCGCGGATCTTCTCGACGTCCAGGTAGCTGCTGAGGGGCTTGACGGGGCTGGAGTCGCTGGAGATGGCGCGTGCGGCTTTGGTAGTGCGCGATTCCTGTGGAAGAGGGGGTGCTTGGAATGCTGGTGGTGTGCCTGGGACGGCGGTGGTGGATGTAGGAGTGCCGGGCTCTGGGGTAGCTACGGTGGATGCTTTCCGGCGGAGGTCTTGGATTTTTTCGTCGTAGGCTTCCTTCAAGGACTCGACTGACTCATGTCCCTCCCTGGGTAAAATAGTTAGTATTGAAGTAGGAATAATTGTCGAGGAAGGTTTGCTCACTCCTTGGCCTTCTGGTCCAGCTTGGACCGATACTTGTCCAAGACATACTTGGGATCGTGGTGTGAGGCGAGGAAGCGGACGTCGTGGACCTGAGCCCACCGGCGCTGCTGATGACGCAGCAGGTGGGAGTTGCCGCGGATCACCGATTGGAATCCCTGCAGTCGGAATGATGGCATTTTGAGTATGTAGAGTAAATAAAATGAATATCCGAATCTCCAGATAAGAGAAATACCGGGCCGGACTATCAGATGACATAATTACTGACATAAGCATATTATTTCAAGCCAGGGAATTAAGGCAATAAGGCATAAATGTTACCTAATTCGGACATATGGGTCCCTTATATTTCACTGGGGAGTAAATATTTCTGAATCCTCATTGGGTAGACCAACCGTTAGCTGCTATGCTTTCTGCGAGCTTAGGGCGGGGTGAGCAGCCTGCCATATAGGGCTGGACCGGCGAGACCATGCGTACGTTCAACGTAGCATCAGAGGATTCATACTTTTTTTCTTTTGAACCCTTTGGATTTCATTCACAGTAGGTGCCTACCACATGGACTAAAGGACCACCCAAGACAATAAATAGTATTATACAACTAAATATAGCTTTCTAGGATGATCTCACTGATTTCACTCCATAATCTCCGTATTGAGCTCTGCAAGCTATATCTTTCGATCCCTTCATCTGGGGATTGTAGCCACAAGACTACCTCTTCAATTTTTCAATTTCCAGCACAACTGGATTGACTTGAAATGGAGACTCCAAAAGGCAAAAACAAACACCATCAACATAGTATCATCGTACGTACATCCGTACCTCGATTAGCTCCAATATACCACTTCTGTTTCTCCACAGTATGGGCCCTGGCCTGTGCATGCAGACATACTTTTTACAAACCAGCTTAATCTATTTTCAATAGACAACATAAATACCAGCTACTCATTTGCAAAACTCTCGTCTAATATTCCGCATCTCCAAACATCCATATTGATATCAAGTGGATCCCACTAGTATATATTAGTCATCATTTACTACCCAACCATGGTTGCCCATGTGGACTGGGCTCTGAAGTATAACCTTAAAGGCACCGTTCCTCTGAATCCAGCTCACTCAGAAACAACCCCCTCATCTCCCAATATAATCCATCTTCCTACATCCCCATCTCCCCCATCTCCCCCATCTCATAAAAAGGAAACTAAGAAAAACCCCAACGAAAATGCCAATCCATCAAAAAGAATTCTCTACCCCACCAGCCCATCCACCAGTGGGTACACCCAAAGACTCTCCATCCGCACTGCCCTGGTACTCCATAGCACCGGGGGTATGGGAGTTCCTGCTAAACGGCGACGGAGAACACAAAGCTGTGTTGCAGTGGTGGGAACCAAATACTGTCTCTGCGCAGACAGATCCAATAACACATACCTACACCGAAGAGGTCTGCACACTGCGCGGCGGGCTGGAGGATCTTTCGCTTGGACACTCGTGGGGTATTGGTGCTTATGCATACCGGGAACCTGGAATGGAGCATGGTCCGTATCGGGCGACGAAGGAGGGGTGTCTGCAGTTTGTTAAGGTCGTGCCGGTGAAGAAGTAGGGGTCTGGCTTTCGAGTTTTGAGTGTAGCTGAGATATATGGAGGCTAATGGCCTACGTCTTTGGGTATCTTGGATCTGCGTATTGATAATTTGGCCTTTTTTCGGACGGTGGTTTTGGAGTTTTCTAGCTAGTTTATCGTTTTTATTTTTGAACCTTTTTTGCTCACAAGTTATGCCAAAACAAGATGGATGAAACAAGATGGATGATACGTGTGACGATTTCGACATGCGATATCGGATCGTGTAACTAAACTCCAAACTCCGAGGTTAATGCAAGTCTTCGCAAAGAATGAGACATGTCGAATGGTGTTGAAACATCTTTTATGTTGTTTCTCAGGTCATCAATCATCAAATCTTGTCCAAAGGTTTAGACCGGTGCATCATCTGTAACAGATGCTTCAGCCTGAGTTGCTTCAGCCTGAGTGGGGTGATCGTCCGCAGGAGTCTCGGCCTCAGGAGCAAGTTCGGGCTTTCTCTCAGGGTCCTCACGGACAGATATTTCCTGACCCTGGTCCTGGCTTTGTTCTCCCGCTTCCTGTTTCTCCTCCTTCTCCTCGGCCTCTTCCCAATCATCAACAACCTCAGGCGCAGGTGTTTTCGCACGCAAAGACTTGCCGACTCCAACACCAGATCTTAGAACCAAACGCTCCTTCTTCGCCCCATCACCGTCAAGAGCAGCATAGATAGACTTGCTCACCCACGAGTTCGGAACCGGAGTTCCAGTCCTCGAACTAGCACCGCTACCACCCTTACTCTTCGAAGCAACTTGAGCCCATCCACCATCTCCAGTACTAGCCTGTACTTTAGCGGCCTCACGGGTGGCCTTAGCTTCGAGGGCAGCGACACGACGCGCTTCTTGTTCTTTGCTGCGCTCGCGCTCGCGGAGCTTGACACACTCACGTACGCTCATCCCTCCAATACCGATGGTCGAGCCGCTGCCCATGCCGAAGAGGGGAGGCGTCCAGACAACCGGTTTCAAGACGAAAACGTGGCGGTGAGGTTCTGGGTCATGGCTTTCTGTTACGAAGCCCCAGTCTGCGGCGAGGGAGTGCGCGAATGCGCGGAGAGTGGATTTCGCCGGTTGGAAGCGGAATGAGCGAGTGGATTTGTCTGCTGCTGCTAGGGCATGGAGATTGGATTCGTAGGTTTGGAGGGTTGATAGAGGGACCGAGCATGCGAGCTGGACATATTGGTTCAGAGTCTCTTCCGAGTATGGGAGGTTCTCTGCTGTGATGGTTTGAAGCGTGGTTGTCTGGTTGATATCGATGCCGAGAGCGCCCGCCAGAGAGCGGTTCCGCTCCAGACGCGTGCATTCGTCGTCGCAGGTCAACGGGGTCAATTCTGGGTGGCGCTGGGGCGACTGCACTTGGCCCTTGGAGGTCACGGCCTTGGCGGCGTTGCAGCGTCTTTCTTGTCGCAGTCGGCCACAGCTACAGGTCACTGCGATCTTGGACGAACATGGTGTCTTTTCAGGACACGCGTACGGCGCGTGGCATTGCTCTGTGCAAGGATGACCGCACATCGTCTTGTTCTTTCCACAGGGCTGGCTGCAAGGCTTAGTTGCGTCTTCGCAATCCTCCGGACGATGACAGTCCTTCCGGCAGTAATGAGAGCCACACTTGAGCAGCTGCCCGCATACTTGACCGCAGCGCGCATCTGCCAGCCAGCAGGGCACGTTTTTCAACACCTTCTTTCCGCACAGACACGCCTTCTCGGTCAAGAATGGACATTTCGGACAGCTCTCCTCGTCCGTGTGGCAGGTATGTGAGGCTTGAGGGTGACCACATCGCTTTGGACGCTCACAGGGGAAGTTGCAAGCGGGTGGCTTTGCACCACACGGCTGCGGGGGGATACAGAACAGATCTTCCGCAATTACACGCAATCTCTTCAAATATTGCCTCCCGGCAGGTATTGCAAGCACCCTTGTGGCAAAGCTCCGGACATGTGTGCCTTCCGCATTTCAGCATCCGGCCACATATGCGAGTGCAAATATGTTCTGCCTCGATGTCCTCGTCAGCAGGGCGGAGATGAGGCCTGAGTTTACGACGTGCAGCCTGGCGCTCGTTGGCCCTTTGCTCTCCCGGACAACACCTTTCAGTGCATGTGTGTCGACCACAGTGAAGAGTCGCCTTGCATGTGCGTGGGCACTGGGGAGGCTCATTCTGGCCTTGGTGACAGATTGTGAGGTTATTAGTACGACCGCAGTTGCACTTGATGTGAACATTGCGCAAACAAGCGCCACAAGATCCAACATGACAGAGCTTCTCGCAAGGATGGCCACATGGCAGTGTCTTCCCGCAAGGCTTGGAACAATTCAAGATAGGGTCTTCGCAGGAGGTACGAGGTGTGTATCCCGGGATCTCTGGCAACGGTGTCTTGCCACAGGCGCAGTCGACAATGACGTCTGGTGACTGTGGACAGTGAGCAGGATGGGGATCTTGCGGATGACAGTTCTTCTGGCATGAATGTTTCCCACAATCAAATGGACGGTCACAAGTCTCTCCACAACCGAAACAGCCGGTCCACTCATCTTCCGAGCCATCATCGCGGATGATTCGACTATCCTCCTCATCGTCCTTGGATTTGCACAGCATCTCCGTTTGTAGTTTTCCACAATAGCAACGGGCGTCAATGCTAACCTCGCAGCCACCACACAATCCCTCATGACATGGAAGCGGGCAAGTATGTTCTCCGCATGGCAGTAACTCACCACAGATTTCGCCACAGCTCCATCCATTCTCATAATCGGTATCCTGACAACGCTTCTGCGACGAATTAAGGCCACAGAAACAATCTTGGATCGGGCCCATAGCAGTACAAGGCGTACACGGACCAGCATGACAGGTCGTATCACAAGGATGGGGACAATTTTTGCGAGGTCGTGAACAGGTCTGACCACACGAGTGCGGAGGCAAACCAGGAAGCGGTCTAGGATCGACTTCTTTCTCACACCAGCAAGAGTAGCTCGTGGGGAAGTTTTGTTGAGAAAGGTTACAACCTGGGCAACGCCAAGCACGAGGGATAGAACTTTCCTGTCCATCTTCTTCAGCAGAAGCCCTCTGTGCGGCTGCACCTTCATTCGTGGACCATTTCTTGACACAGCTCAGATGGAATACAGTCCAGCATAGCTCACAAGACCAAACCTTGGATCTACGACCCAGCTCGCTGCAGCAAATAGGGCATTCGTATAGGTTATGCGAAATATCTTCGTGAATGCGGGTGGCTAGGTCATCGGCTGTGGACTTCGCCGTGACTTTCGGAGGTGGCGGTGCCCTAGGCTGTCTTGCTTTCCCCTTCCCTTTTGAAGATTGTGTTGATTCAGCAGGTTGTCGTTGTTGGGATGACGGCATGCCCGGTACAAAATCCGGCACATCGGCTCGCAATGAGTGGTCATGTAAATGCCCCGCACTGTCCAAAGTGGCATTTTCGGCCTGGTCTGGTCTTGTCAACTGGGCTTCGAAGCCACGCGCTCTCATTCCACGGGTTCGCGCCTGTGGTCGTGCCTCTTGGGTTTCAGACCCTGTAATCTGATTCTGTCCCTGCCGGGGAGGATTCCTTTGTCTCCGGCCTCTTCCTTCTCTATTCCCCCTCTCCGCGAGCTGGACGATGCATCCTGTTGACTAGATTGGGGTGCTGTATTCGGCTGTGGTTGAGTCTGTGTAGGCTGTGCTTGCGGTGCAACCTGATTTTGGGCCTCGCCCGCAGGCATTTGTTGTTGACCATCTCGCTTCGCAGAACCCCGCCCTCTGCGTCTAGATGGTCTGGAAGAACGTGGGGGTCGTGGCCCGGCTGGAATTGAAGTCTCTGGCTGTGGTGTTGCCATGGCTGAGAATGTGACAGAGGTCTGACTAGAGACTCCTGGCGTACTCATATGCTTCTGGTGGATTTTCTCACTGGCGCTTATTTTGAAGAGAGTATGAGAGTAACTGGCGGTTGACCGAGTGTGTTGGTCTATGTAGACTGAAAAGGTATGCCAAAGTGAAATGAGTGCAAGCTAGACACTAAATAATGCAAGGACAGAAAAACCAAAGGCAAGAGCCCGCTTATCGACCGAGGAGAGAAATTTGGTGGCACAATGAATTATCTAGAAGGCGATAAAAGCTCGCATGGCAGAATTGGGCGGTGCAGCAGGCGGTGATATAGTGGCAATCGGCTTGTGAGTCAGCCCTGAAGGAATTACACGACATGACTCATTGTGCTCAGGTAATGTGGATCAGGCGATCTATGAATTCGAGAGCCATGCTCGTAGCCATGCTCGTATCACTGAGAGATAGCAGGAACTGGTACAATCCATTGGTTTTGGTTAATACATATAATCACAAAGTGAGGGTCCACGGGTATTTGACTCCACTTTATGCCAAGACATTAAACAAAGACCCAATGCAGGAGGCGTATATCTAAAACACCATCTTGCAGCATATTCAAAGCACAATGGAACTTGGGGGAAATATGCTCGATCTTGAATGAAACAAGGTAATTTTCTTCAATTCCATACGCGTTACAAAGGAAGAACATAGGAAAAGACATCCAAAACACATTATCAGTGCAATTTAGTCCCAATCCTGAATTAATATAGACAAAAATGTATCGAATCCGGCGCATCAAAAGAAACATGGCGCTATGCAAAAGACCAGCCCATTCACCTCGTAACAAAGAACCAAACAAGACACTGCCATCCCATCGTTTGGTTGAAATCATACACACCGAGTCCATGCTCTACATGAACACAACGATCTCACCACGATCATTGCGTCTCAGCCTCAACGCACGGAAAAGATCCTTCTCATCATCAACCCTGCGTTCTCGGTCCGCCCGGCTACGCCCATTATCACGGCCACGATCGGCATCATACTCATCCGAGAGATCACGGTGGAAGCGCTTGAGCGCCTTGTTGATGGAGCAGCCGCGCTCGCTATGGCTGGTGACCAGCGAGAGGAAGTGATGACCCAGCTCTCGCTGAAGATCCTCGTCCGTGCGCGCCGGCGGCCGCGACTGTTTGTAGACAGTGACCTGGTGGCCGTGGGAGGAGTCGACGGAACCGTGACGCTCGTCGATTTGCTTAAGACGGCGGGAAGGCCTGTCGCCGTCCATGGGGTTTGAGCTCTTGCGCTTGGACTTCGAGCAGTTTGACTTTTTGCTCTTGCGGACTTCGAGCTGGCCGTCGCCGCTGGAGGAGCTGCCGCGGCGGGCGTGGAGAACAGCCTTCGAACCGGGCTCTGAGCCGTTGGTGCTGGAGACGGCGGAGCCGCCGAACATAGAGGAGACGAGGCGGCCGGCACGGTTCTTCATTGAGATGCCGAGACCTGGATCGCCGTTGCCGTTGGCTTCTTTCCCGTTGCGGCGGCTGCGTTTGATTGGGGACGAGGTGTCTTGGTAGGCGCGGCGGCTGGTTTCTGGGCTGTCGTCGCCGTCGGGGGATGCAGAGCGCATCATCCGGTTCAGGCCGCCGGTCAGACCGGAGTGGTTCAGCATGGGTGTGCCGGCGTTGTTGATGATGCTGGAGGGGGCATCCATCATTGGGGTATCGACTGCTTCGCCTGGGGTGCTGAGCACCTCTGCTTGGCCGCGCTTGCGCTTCTTCTCGCTGACGGTGCCCGGGGTCTTGCGGTCCTTCTTTTTCTTAGGTGCAGGTGTGACGAACTCTGTTGTCGACGCGTTCGGGGGCGAGGCAGAGTGCGGGATGTGGCCGGCGCCGTATGAAAATCCATTCTCCTGGTATGCGATATCGTAATTTTTACCCTCGTCATCAGTGTTGGGGTTGGTTTCGACACGAGTGAGGGACTCGCTGGGCTCGAAAACTGATTTGGCATTTGGGTTCATCTTCATCTGTTCCTTGGGCGGCTCGACAAGAGCGACCTTGGATGTGTTCGGGGTCTCTTCGGCGACGAGATAGTCGAACACATTGACAGGCTTGTCGTTGGCTGGGGCAGGAGCAGGAGTTCTCACCTCACCGACAGGCGGAGGTGTGGGGGCAGGGGGAGGAGGAGCGTCCTGCACACGGCCTTGCTGGTGGCGGCCGTTGGGGGTTTGGTTCGGATTCTGCTTGTTGTTTTGACCTTTCTTTCCTTTCTGGGGCTTCTCTTGATACAGAGCACCCTGATACTTTTGCGCCTCGGTCATGCATGACTGTAGTGGCCAGGCTTGTTAGCGGATGTCTCCCTTAGTGATCTAAGGTTGGGACTCTAGTAAAGTAGGTCCACGACTAGTATGCGACAATGCGACGCGGGTCCGACGTACCGTATGAGCTCTATACTCCATTCCATAGAAATGCACCATGCAATCGATACAGGTGAAGGAGGCGCCGCGACATTGGCCGCGATGAGGATCGAGCTTTTTCTTGGTGAGAACATCACCACATGCCTAGGATGACTATTAGCAGCGATTCAAGCGCAAGACATAGACCTCAGACAGCAGATAGGACTTACCTCGCAAGAGAAGGAGACCATTGTTGACACTAAAGATTACCCTTATCAAAGGGTGAACAAGTGTTTTGAAGAGGGTTTTTCAAGAGGGGGTGTTGTATCCCTTGAGAAAGTATGCCAATCGAAATCGTCCAAGCGGGGGATTTGCTTTGATACGAAATTCGATATCTCGGCTTTTCTGCTTTTTTTTTTTTTTTTTCTTTTCGCGTCGAAATTTGGCGCGCAGGACCACGCTAGTCTGAATTGGGAGCCACACTAGGCTATTTCGGGTAATATGGATGGACTGGGCGCGTCGAGGGAGCTGAAACTGTACTCTTCCCAACTACTTTGGGGAACATTCAATCATATAAAATATTGAAAACAACAGCAAGCAAGAAACCCCTGATTTATCATCCCTCGACTCGGTACTTGTTTCAGGGTAAAAGGACACAGATTCCACGCGGACATGGGTAGCAGGCCTGTCAGGAGACCCCATGCTTTCATTTGTCGCTTCTTCCTAGTTGAACGGGCAGACGGGAGGATCCGAGAAAGCAGTCAGACTGGCTAACTGGCCCCCTCAAACATATCATACCTATGTATTGACGGCCTTACTGCTAATCTTGGCCCAAACTCAAACACTCCTGCCCGGCTATCCCTTCATCTAAACTAAGATCCGTGATATATATCGCCTTTTGAGGGTTCCGTCATGCCACATGAAAACTAGTTGATCTGATGGAGGGTTGGTATCACGAGCGTGCAACCTGACAACATCATCGCTGTTGCTCGAACAACACAAAGTTTAATCGGAGCTTTCTGATAAGACAATAGAGCCTGGTACGACAGAATGCGCCTTTTTGTCTGCTTTGCCGCTCAAGCATATACTGGTCAGGCCTCTTTGGTCATGCGTGCCATCTTCCACACTTGATCACCAGATAGGATGATCTTTGCTCGTAGAATGCTAGGGTCATGCACTTTAGCGATCGACAATCTAGAGGCGGGACTTGTACACCTACTAACTACGTAGTTAGTTAGTTGTTGATCATGTTGTAGCTTGTTATCATTCACATTTTGCTTTTAGGAATAGGGCAAACTCTTAAAGTATCTGTGTTCTCTAACACGAGGAAATGCTATTGAGCATATGCCGTCTCTGGGAGAGAGCTAGAAACCAAGATGTACTCAAGGGTATCTACTATATCAGTACAATGAGAGTAACTATCAGAGGCAAGGGACCTTGAGATGGACCTTGAGATGGACCCCTCTGTGTACCAAAGGCCACATGCAGAACACAACAAGGGTATATTGATTGATATTGATATAGTCAACTGACAATTTATTATTGTACAAGGGAGACCAGCTCCATAAATATGCGCCAACAAGGTGTCTAGAAAGCATTCATTCGCCGGGTACAAACCAGACAGAATGAGGTCCATAGAGTCAGAAGTATAGTCGAAGATTCATCCCCCTCAACCGCGGGTCGTCCTAAATCGCATATTAGCAACCATAATCCATGCGCCACAACGGGAAGTCACTAACTCTTCCTTCGATATCTCCACAGCAGGGCCATCATGTTGCCCCGTAGCCACCACCTTGCCAGCATCAGACCGAGAAGAAGCCGTCCCCTCCTTGCCCTTACCCTCCTCCTCATCCCCACTACAGCCGCAATCATAGAATTCCCCTAGATTGGTGCAGTCAAACTCAGGCTTACCAAGCATGGCATTAACCTCATTATGAACGAAACAAGCCCAGCCAGAAGCCGCATTTCGCGACGAAACCTGAGGCGGATACTTGCTCAAATGTTGCATAAAATGCTCAGCACATTCTCCACTGATGTCATCAACCGTTAGTCTCCAATCTAGCACAGGACCTCGCACCAGAACGGTGGAGCACTTGGGAAGGAGAATCTCATTACCAAGGATATAACCGAGCGAATAGGTAGATATAAGAGCGCAGCGCCTCCTTCTGATCTTCTGTGGGTGTCTCGGGGAACCGCGCCATGACGGTATGGAAGTACTTCCAAGTCGCACGACCTAATTCAGCCCTGCAAAAGCCACAAATACCGTAATCAGCAATTTGTCCTACCACGATCGTGTATTTCCCACTGTGTCCCCCCCAAGAGCGTCTTACTTGACCGTCTCGTTGCCTAGTTTCGGCATCACCACGTCGCCCTTCAACGTGCTATCTTGGATGGTTATCCCCGGCGCGGATGCCGGTGCCGAGTGGTCGATATGGCCGGGAGCGCGAACGGCGGGGCTCGGTGGCCCCTGTGGTCGAATAAAGAGGAAGAATATGAGGCATAGTGCGATCGATGCGCTGGTGATAATGCGCCGTGTGATTTGTCGGCTTGCCATGTTCTGGGCGGGTGGTGGTGAATGGGGAAAAGTAATGTCGCCAAGGGTCCGGTCGGGGGAGCACCTGGGACTTGTGAGCAGGGAATATTCCCGCGCGGAATACGAGGTAGACTATTTCAGCTGAGGATTCGAGAAATGATTGCTAAAGGGAGATTTCTACAAAGGGGATTGATTCTACGTATTGCCTACTTGGGCTGGGGCCGGGGCACACTCCAGCTTAGTCATGGATTTCGCCGGGCCTCCCATAGTGCGGGGCCACGAATAGAGTCTTAGACTATATCATACGATTGATCAGTGTGGGACAACACACGATTTAGAGAATCTATATCCCTGCCAGATGATCTTCTTACTATAATCTCGTCTCCGAATCATACTTTGTAGACTCGGTCCATTTAGACCCACATCGGATGTGTCCCGGGGGTTCACTTCTGATGTGGCAGGGTGCAGCCTGGATGTATAGAAGGGTTGCCAGACCAACACAAAGCATTCTTAGTTATTGGGATTGACATATATAGCTAGTACATTATTGCGTTGAAGTCCAAACTTGTCTACATCCCATCGTGATTTCCAACTGCAGCAACCGAGTCGCTCAGACTCGGAGGTAAGTCCTCCTTGCGTGTACCCCAGTCGCTCTCCTTGTCTCCAAGTGTCAACTCCAGCGTCAAACCTTGAGTAAAGAACTCGTGTCCAATCCAGCTCTTGGTGTAGGGCTTCCCGTTGAGCTTAGCGCTCTGGATATAGATCTTCTTGTAGGTTTTGTCGAAGTTAACATTCCGAATGGTAGCAGTTTGATTAGTTTCAGGGTGAGTGATTGCGACGGCCTCAAAGAACGGAGGAATAATCAAGTACACGTTCTGGCCGGGATTCGGGAAGAGGCCCATCAAGCTCCATGCCAGGAATGATCCCATGGCTCCCGAGTCGTCGTTGCCAGGTAGCCCGTTGTGTGTAGCGTTGAACGAAGATGGGATGTAAGCGTGAGCCCGGCTGGCGGAGAGACCAGGGCGGCCCGCGTAGTGATAATCGTACACCGTCAAGAAGACAGGTTCATTGCCCATGTCTGCCAAGCCAGAGGTGTGGAAATAGTCTAACCGGGACACGAAGGACTTCGGCCCACCGACCATCTTGATCAACTTTGCCATGTCGTGGGGGACAAAACTATATAGAATTAGAGTTGGAGGGTTATTCGGGAGAAAGATATACGCACAATAGGTACTCCCAGATGCTGGACTCGAATGTCTCTGAAGGGTTCGAGGTAAGAGAGCACCACGACGCTAGAGCACTGCAGGCAATAGGATCCTGATACCCCCAAGTTCCGTTGATATATCTTGGCTGAAAGAACCCAGTAATGCCAGTGTCTGTTCCATTCCCTAGCAGCGATTTCTGATCTTCTTTGTACAAGTTTTTCCAGTTGTCAGACCGAGATAAATAAGTGGCGTAATCCTTTTTGCCGAGGCCCTTGGCGACAACTGATAGGGCGTAGTCATTGTATGCGTACTCCAGCGTTCGTGAGATACTTCGTGAATTGGTTCCAAAGCCAATGTAGTCGAAGTCCAGATACGGGATGTAGTTGAGGTGTTTCCAGCTCTGCAGACCACCGCGCCCTTCATATGACCACTCTAGTGGCTCATTCTCTGCATCGTTGACCATAGCTTTATAAGCAAGCTCCCAGTCGATACCAGTCAGGTTTTTCACGTACGCATCTGCGAGAACAATATCGGCATTGGAGCCTCCCTGCGTCCAGCCTTTGCAGAGACTCATGCGGCAATCGGGCAGCCATCCTTCGTGTTTGAAAGTGTCCAGCAAGCTACGGACCATCTTTGATTGTGCTTTTGGGTCGATAATTGTAAGGAATGGATGCTGCGCCCGGAAAGCATCCCACAGGCAGTAGAAAGAATCAAAGTATGGCTCATCGCTTTTCCACAATGGATTTTCCCCAGTCAGATCCTGAGGTGATAACATGGTTCGGTAGATACCACTCCAGAAACCGCTGATCATGTCTGTGCTGGCACCACCCGGCGTTACCTTGATAGGACTAAGCTTCTCCTTCCATGCAGCTTCTGCATTTTTGCGCAGATGATCAAAGGCATCTTCCGGTTCAGGCACTTCTACTTCGGCATTTTTGCAAGCTTGATCCGAGCTAACAAAGCTGACGCCCACCCTCACAGTGACGATTCCATTGTCCGGACGATCAACGGTCATATAGCCTCCGGCTTGAAGGTAGAAGTTGTTGAAGCCGCGAGTGACAAACAGCTCCTGCACTGATCCAGCCCGGTCATTGACCCATATTCCGCTGTCATCGACCTCAGCATCGCCAAAATCAGCACAGAAATATGATTTGTAAGAGCCAGCACCGAAGCTCGGCAAGAAAGTACCGTTGCCTTTGATTCGACCTTTATCAGCGTCAAGGCTAATGGAAGCATTCTGTCGACTATCCCACAGGTCAGTTAGATCCACTGAGATCAATGGATTGAGATCATCTCCATCCGCCGTACGTCCCTCTGGGAAGGTGAATCGGTACAACGCCGTGCGCCGAGCCGCAGTCATCTCAGCCTTAATACCATTCTCGAGTGTCAGGGCAAAATAGCCAGGCTGCGCGACGACGGAGTCATTCTTGTAGCGAACCGCGCGAGCAGCTTTAGGGAATTTGCAATTATCCACGATATTGTCTTTGCAGTACTGTGGGAACAGGGGGAAATTTCCCATAGACGGGTTCCCGCCTGTGCCACTGTCATGCATATGCGAGAAGCCGGTGACGTTGCTCCCATCAGTCGAGAAACCTCCAGTATTCTGGCCATCGACGTCAGCGACGGGTTTCGCTATGCCGTAGGGAAGGCTTGCGCCTGCGAAGACATTGCCGCCATTGGTTGACCCAATCAAGGGATTGACGTAGCGGAGGTCATCCCGAGTTGCTACCGTACCCAGAACACATTGGAGAAGTAGGAGGCTGTATAGTGTATTCTTCTGCAAAATCGCCATGGCACTCTGGAATGAGAGGGTCGACACACACGTAATGACGCGTCGGGCTTGTGGATCTGGGCTGTGAGGAATACGATGGATGCAGAAGGTGGGAAGAAGGAGCGAGTCCCCTGCAAGGGGGTGTTTTCTCATATCACCGTGTTGTAACGTCGCACCTAAATAGTGTTAGTGTTGAGTGTCAGGAAGACCTTTCGGTGCGGGGTTAGAATTCTGCGTTGTAGGAACAGCCAGGAAGGGTCTTTCAGAATGTTAAGGTACTGACTGGAGTTAAATTGTAGCTGTTTTGGGAGTTTAAATCAAAATCAAGCACAGCCTCTTATTTGAGACTTCACTAGATTCAGTCACTGTAAAGGAAAAGTACACAGTACTACCTACATGTAGTTTGGTATGTATGACTTGGTGAACATCACCTTGATCCTCTCGTTGTATACAATTCCTCAATTCTTCACTCCAACATAAACAAAGAGTTTCTTTTTAAACTATAGTGCAACAGGAAAGCATTCTCAAATGTGATTTTGAAATGTCCGACATCCTGTCGCTTTCTATTCTAAAGGTAGGGCTATCTCTATGTGACACACAGATAATGCCACTGGTTCAATGCTAACAATACTGATTTATTGAGCGCTTTCGGCATTTTGTAAATATACGTTTAGCTCGAAAAAGGTAAGTAAATATCTATCAAACCTTGACTCCAAGTAACGTCCACTTGACCGGATCCAATGGATACAAAGTTGGTCGCGCCTGCCGTTTGTGACCCGACTGCCTCATCGAGAACACTCCCACTCCCCCTAATAACAGAAACTTCCCTTTTCCGAAGTTCTGTTTCTTTTTTACTTTCTGATGTATCAAAGAAGCCTAGGATAGTATATGGTTATGTAGCCAATTGACTGCATAGTATTGATCGTCTATTATTTAGGCCTCGGCCTTAATGCATCCTGCTGACAAGCCCCACTGCTAGTTCACCACCTTAGAAGGCTGACAGTGCCTTGCATCTGTAATTGCCGTATCATATATCGGCAAGTATTGCTACACTCAACAAACATCATCCAGCATACGGCATGATGCCATTGTGGTTTCGGTGTTTAGTGGGGTTGATGACACCCCACTTATAGAATGTTTCGGAGTTAGGCATTGGTACATCCGTTACTGTTGATGATTACCAGGAGAAATATGTACCTCTGTCTGTTTTTCGCTGTGATTGGATTGAAATGCCATCTAATTTTACATTTCACATATGAAATGGTAAAGAATAGTCCTTAGAACCTGATTGGAGCCAGCGGAGTTAAGGCTCACGAGGGAACCAGGACGACCCACCCACTTGAAGGCTTAATTCCGGGGAGTAGATAAATTATCATATAAATCTGAACTCACTGCCACATCTTGTCACTTGGAAAGCAACAGAAACTAAGAACTACCCATCAAATTACTCAACATGGTCAAGACACTCCCCTTCGGTGACATTCAGATCCCAACGCCGGGATTCGGCGCCATGGGCTTGAGCTTCGGTTTGGGTAGCAACTTGAGCCTCGAGCAAGCCGAACCAGTCTTGCTGAAGGCAATTGAATTGGGATGCACATTCTGGGATACTGCTGTTGTCTACCAAGCCGGCGTGAACGAAAAGCTTTTGGGTGACTTCATCAGGAAGCACAACGTCCGCGATAGGATTTTCAGTAAGACATCACGCATTGAGAAGATATTTGTTTCAAAAACTAACCGCTGTCATTGATAGTTGCCTCCAAGTGTGGGTTCGACGTCATGGGAGGGAATGGCTCCGTCACCAACTCCGCCTCGCATATCAAGGAGTACATCGAAGGAACTATTGAGAGACTTGGCTTTACACCTGATTTGTACTATCTGCACCGGATTGACCCCAGTGAGTGGAATACCTACGTGATCATCTTCCAATCTCAAATTACTAATTTCAATAGACACACCCCTGACTGAGTCCATTCCTGCCCTTGATGAAATCCGCAGGGCAGGCAAGACCAAGTATATTGGACTTTCCGAATGTTCAGCCGCCACATTACGCAAGGCAAACTCAAGTCCGTTTCTTTTCAGACAGGCAGGGAATATTTTACTAACCGTCAATAGTTGCCAAGATTGATGCTGTCCAAGCCGAATACTCGGCCTTTGAGACACTCCACGAGACAGACGGCTTGATCGAGACAGCAAAGGAGCTGGGCATCGCTTACGTCGCATACAGTCCACTAGGACACGGTTGGCTCGTCGATAACTTCGATTACAAGTCCCCGGATGATTTCGCCCCTGGCGATTTCCGCCGAAACGGTATATATATACCCAGCCACAAGCATCGTGATCATAGACTGAACAGAATCGCTAACTCTATCCGTTTCGACAGTTCCCAAATTCCAAGGCGAGAACTTCTACAAGAATCTGGCCATTGTCGAGGAAATAAAGAAGCTAGCTACCCGCAAGGGATGCAAGATTAGCCAAATCGCGCTCGCCTGGGTTGTCTCACAAGGACTGATCCCCATCCCGGGAACAACTAAGGCGGCCCGCCTGGAGGAGAACTGGGCTTCTCGGGATATTGAATTGACCGAGGAGGAAAAGCAAGAAATGCGCAGAATTATCGATGCTGCTAAGCCACACGGTAACAGATATGGTCCTGCGCACCAGGCTTTGGTTGGACATTAAGCCGAAGAAGATCTAATTGGGAACAAGTTGGACTTGCTCGCATCATCCACTTCGGTATGGCTGCCAATAAACCCAGATATTCTAGTGGGATTAGGGGGATAGAGCACAATTGAATTTGTTTCACACAAGCCTTTGCCGCATCTAGACAAAGGCGGGACTGTAGAAAATTGCACAAACTAATAGACAGGATCCTTACAGGCTCCATTCAAGGTAGAGTAAACGGGAATTCGGATAGGATCGTGGTAGCGGTAGGCTCCACATAGTGGCAAGGGATGTCAACATAATGCGCAATGAGGGGCATCATCAGTGGGTGTATTTCGGGAAATTAGTGGATTAGACAAAATCAAGATCAGATTAGATGAAATATGGCGATTGATTTGATTGATTGATTTGAATGATTAATCTAATTTCGCGCAGACTAAAATAATTGTTGGCTCATTCAAGAGCTTTCTCCGTCACAGCGGATACAAAAGTTTTACTCTGATTCGTGCGGTCGCACGCGCTCATTGGAGGGCTGAGTGAGAGGGGCGTTGGAATCCCACAGAAAAGCTCAGTACATACTGCGAAGCGCCTCTAGCGGCTGGGGAAAATACAATCCAGCCCCACGAGGAGTTGAACCACTCAATTGCTAGTCCGAGCATCCCGTAGGCAGAACCTGCCTTGAGAGGCTTGGCCTTGGGGGAAGCCAAGGGAACACCCAGGAAGCTTAGGTTAACAGCGTCATTAATTCCGGTGGTGCATATCTGATTGATCAGATAAATAAAAAAAAATCAGATAAGAGGACGTAAAAGTCAAATTGCGTCACGCACCGAGGAGCCGAGGGCGACGAAGTTCCACTGAGCTGATATGATGACCTCGTAGGTAAACAAGATGATTCATGCACAAAGTTAATTTGCCTTTTTCTTTGGGTACAGATTGGGGGCTGGAAAAGATCCTGATCTCTTGTATTTTAAGCTTCTTATCTGGCAGCCTCGCGCTGTACATCGCGTGGATACGCAAGGGACAGACATGGCGGATAGCCTTTTGTGTTCGAGTGTAGTAAGGGGAAAAAAGAAAAGAGCGAGAGAGGCATACAACAAATATTAAATAATGTCCCTTTGGGTAGTTGACGCAAACGGGTTGCCGCATCAAGCAGGTGGCCCTGAAAAGAGAAAGAACTGTAACCCGAGAAACTTTAGAGGAGGGACACGCTAATCCAAGATAGGCAGAGTTCAGTATTAGCTAATCAGGGATGTTACCCGTCTAGGGGTGATCGCCCGCCACTGCAACCCCTGATTGGGTCAATTATCAGAATGACCCACCTTGGCAGTCCGCTTACTCCGAGATTATCTGATCCTCGTCGCATGAGGTCGGGAGCCTCCGGTCAAGAGCGAGGGAAAGGAAAAAGAAAAAGAAAAAAATTGGAGACAGTTTTCTGGACCACTCGGAACTTTCTCGTCTGGAATCTCCCGGGTACCGGTCTCTCTAGATTATAGCAAACAGCATCTCCCCCATCATCGCAGATCTTTCGTCTCTTCTTTCCCTCCCCCATTGCCCCTAATACTCAATTTCTGTCTATACTCATATATCCTCCCCGGAAGCAATTGAGGATTGTGCATCCGGATTGGGCTTCCTGTGATCGGACGAAGGGGACATACAGCGATGGGTCTCCCGGCGGCCGCTGAGAATCGCGATGACAGCAAAAACTTCGATCGGGCTATACTGGGGGAGGAATCATATAACTCGAAAAATGTGAAATTGGAGGCAAACGGTGCCAACGGCGATAGATCATGGCAATACGATCCCGAATCACCGCCCTCATCGGACGGCTCTCGTACGGGCGACACGTTCGACGACGAGAAGGAATTGGCACAACACCCCGATAGTGTCACAGAGGGTGCTCAGTTGGGCCAGCAAAAGGCGGAAGCAGCCGCACTCGTATGGAGCTGGCCAGCTTTAATTGGAATATATGCATGGTAAGTAGATATCAGACCATCCGCTCTGGTGCTCTTGCGGTGGAACCTTTCCTGACAACGATTGAACTTGCAGGATCTGGATTTGCACATTCATGCTGGCATTTCACTCGAATATCAGCGGCTTCCTTATCAACTATATCCAAGGAGGGTTTAAGACCGCACCACAGGTCTCAACGTCCTATATCCTCGCGAATATTGTGGGCGGCGTTCTTAAGCTGCCGCTTGGTAAGACCTTGAACTTGTGGGGTCGTGCTGAGGCCCTGGTGGTCTCGACCAGCATTTACCTTCTTGGTATGATTGTCCTCACGGCATGTGACGGTCCGAATGGATATGCGGCGGGCTATGTGCTGTACTGGATCGGGTACTACTGCCTATACCTGATCTTGAATGTTTTCGTCGCCGATACCTCGGGTCTAAGGAACCGAGCGTTCGCTTTTGGCTTTATGCAGACTCCGTTTATCTGTACTGCCTTCACAGGCAGTATTGCAGCAAACTCGATATATGCTAATTTCGGGTGGCGCTGGGGTTATGGCATCTTCTGCATCGTGATGCCATTTGTGTTCTTGCCCCTCGCCATGGCTTTCAAGTATTTCGAGAAGAAGGCAGAAAAGCATGGCATCTTCCGCCGACAGCCTAGTGGTCGCACTACTGCACAGTCTATCATCCACTATATCCATGAATTCGATGGTAAGAATACCCACAACAAAGTTCCGAGTGTTGGCACTGACGTTCCATTGCTAGTTATTGGTGCTTTCTTGCTGATGGCTGGTTGGGTGTTGTTCCTCCTACCATTCAGCTTGGCGCAATATGGCCGCTCTACGTATGCAAGCGCAAAATTTATTGCTCTCCTCATCTTCGGAGTCTTCATGCTCGGTGTCTTTGCGGCATGGGAGAAATGGGGTGCACGCACTCACTTTATCCGCTATGAGTTGATCAAGCGGCCTACCATTCTAGGTGCCTGCATCCTGGCCGCCGTGCTGTTTTTCAGCTTTGAACTCTGGGATCAGTACTTCTACAACTACGTCCTGATCTCCTACGATATTTCCCCAGTCCATGCAAATTACATGATCCAGATTTATAACGTCGGCTCTTGCTTCTTTTCTCCCGTCATCGGAGCCATCATATGGGCCACTGCGCGTTTCAAATATATCTGCCTGTTCTTCGGAGCCCCGCTCATGATCCTCGGTTCCGGGCTGATGATCTACTTTCGTGGCGCAGACCATGGCATTGGCTACGTTGTCATGTGTCAGATCTTCATTGCCTTCGCTGGCGGTACCCTCGTCATTGGCGAAGACATGGCTGTTATGGCTGCAGGTGGCCGTGAGGGCACTCCGATGATGCTGGCCCTCATCGGACTGTTCTCGAACATCGGCGGTGCGATTGGCCTGGCTGTTGGCGCTGCTATCTACAACAATGTCTTTGTCGATACCCTCACGACACAATTGCCGGACAATATGAAGGCCAATGCCACCCAGATCTACCTCGGTGGTATCACTGTGCAGTCAACTTATCCTTGGGGAACCCCCCTCCGTGAAGCTGTCGCGTACACATGGGGCTATGCCCAGCGCTTAAACTGCATTGCCTCTACTGCTATCTTAGCATTGACTATTCCTTGCATCCTAGCCTGGAAGAACTACGACGTTAACCTGAAGCAGAACAAGGGTAAAATGATATTCTAAAGGGGCTTTCCGTTGCACAGTATACCCGGTTATGACCCACGGGTTGGGAAGCCTTGTTCATGTTCGCGTTATTTCTGGTGTGCTGCATTCTCTTCCGTGTAGAGCAAAAGCCACTGCTTCAATGTACATTTATTGGAGTTATCTCTTTGAGTGTGTAGGCTCTCAATATATATATTTCTCTTTGCATTGCCCAAAATGCTCGTTCATTCTCGTAATTATTTAAACCGAATAATAACTATAGATTTATTCATTTCTTTTGTTCCTGTGGTCCAATTACAGATATTATAGCCACCTTCAATCCCAACCCCAAACATGTCCCTGTACTCCCATCAGTACGAAAACGAGGCGACGGCAAGAAGACCGTGGTGGGGCTTGACCTGAACCTGCGATTGGTGCAAGACTCATACATCCAAATGTCGACTTGCATTTCCCCTTCCCTTCCTTCTAAACTTCTAATTATTGACCTCATCCTCAAGGAGAGATATTAAATTGTTTCCACCATGTCTCAGTCTGCAGCAATGAATCTGCGCAATTCCTTTGGTGATCGGAAGATCCCCGATATTTCGCGGAAGGATTGACGATACATAGAAAGATATGACTGGTAGAGCGAAGCAAGCCCGGCCGAACATCCGACCTTGAGCTAAGTATGTCTATTAGGATAATGAGTGAGAAAATCCGACCCAATATCGTCGAAACCGAGAAACAAAACCAATCAAAACGCCATAGGCTAACGTAAGATTTTAGGCGCATCACCAGTTGCAGGGCCAAGCAATCCAGGCCTTAAGTCTTTCCAAGTGCACAACTTTTATGTACTGGCCATTAGTTATGGGCAGCCTTAGAAGTGGAATCCGGTGGGCCTTTTCTTTTTGCGGGGAACAAAGCTTGGAAGGACTTCTGTTGCCAAGTGCTAGTATATCTTATGGAATTATGCGCCAACCTATGTTTTCTTTTATGAGATTCATTTATAGTGCTATAATCTTATTCGGCCTAATTAACTATCCGACCATATTAGGGACCAGATATCTTGGGCTAAATTAATGAGTTTACCCGGGTATTAGGGCTCAGCTGCAAGATCTACCCCATTTTAATGCAGAATAAAAAGAATTATGCCCGGGTGTTCAAAGGTAGCTCCGAAGGTGGCTCTTTTATAATAGGTAGTTCCCGCCGGCATTTGGGGTAGTCTTATTTAGTCTTATTTAGTATGATCGACTCCTCTCTTCTCCGTCATTAATTCTGCTAACTGGAAGAATCGTTCAGGTGTCCTCGATTTCAAACTATATTAATCCTAGAACGAGACCAAATCCAACCCAAAACGAGTTGTGACGCCGAGCGTGCGATTTGGTATTCCGTTTAGATTGGTGAAACACACCCCACGAAATGAAGGATGGCTCTGGTAAGGATTTCTATATTCCTCTAATTTGTTTATCTGAAGATAATATTCACCACATAACTTCAACGAAGAGAGAAATATCTAAAGTGTTCATACAGAAACCCCCTCTATCGACGAATCGACAATAAGCACGAGCAACCGGGAAAAGCTCGGAGCAGATCTCGAAAACGGCCCCCTCGATCTGAATGATGTAACAAAAGAAAAAACAAGAGATCCAAATATTGTCGATTGGGATGGACTAGATGATCCCGAAAATCCTCTCAACTGGACTTCGGGAAAGAAGATTAAAGCGACATGTTCTATTGCGCTGATCACGTTTCTGACGTACGGACGGTCCTTTCCTATATATTATTCAGATGATCAAAGCTAATGTCTGAAAACGAACAGCCCTCTCGGATCATCCATGTTCGCCCCCGGCGTAGGTCAACTAGTCAAAGACTTCAATGTCACCAGCACCGAACTGGCATCGTTCGTGGTATCTGTATACCTGCTGGGATACTGTTTCGGTCCCCTGCTCATCGCACCTCTATCAGAGTTGTACGGTCGACAGTACCTTTATCATGTATGCAATATCCTCTACGTGATCTGGACCATTGCCTGTGCCTTTGCGCCCGACATGGGTAGTCTTGTTGTCTTCCGATTCCTCGCTGGCTTTGCCGGTAGTTGTCCGCTGACTATTGGCGCCGGCTCGATCGCGGATATGTTCGTACAAGAGCAGAGAGGCGGTGCAATGGCAGCTTGGGCTCTTGGACCTTTGATTGGTCCAGTCGTTGGTCCGGTTGGTATGTTTATTTCCCTCATGTTTCCTTTAGTTGATAACTCGATTGCTAACTTTGCATAGCGGGTGCGTATCTGACACAGGCAAAGGGTTGGCGATGGAGTTTCTATGTGCTGGCGATGGCTGTAAGTTAGACGGTGACACACAACGCTAGGACATATATACTAATAGAACTGGCAGGGCGGTGCCATCACCGCCAGCTCCCTCATAACCATCCGCGAATCCTACGCCCCGACTATTCTGGCCCGGAAGACTAAGAAGCTCCAGAAGGAAACCGGGAACATGAACTTGCGCTCTGCACTCGACACAGGCCGTACACCGAAGGAACTGTTCCTATACTCCATTGTGCGACCGACAAAGATGCTCTTCCTCTCCCCGATCGTCTTCCTTCTTTCGCTTTACGTCGGCGTCATCTACGGATACCTTTATCTGTTGTTTACAACCATCACCTCCGTATTCGAAGAGCAGTACAATTTCTCTCAGGGACCAGTCGGGCTCACGTATCTAGGTTTAGGCGTTGGCTCTTTAATCGGTTTGTGCATTCTGGGGGTAACATCCGACAGACTGCTCAATTACCTATCTGTCAAGAATGGCCAGAAAAAGCCCGAGTATCGTCTTCCGCCAATGATCCCCGGAGCCGTTTTCGTTCCCATCTCGCTGTTCATGTATGGATGGACTGCCTATTACAAAACCCACTGGATTGTGCCTATCATCGGTACCTCCTTCCTCGGTGCTGGCATGATGATCACCTTCGTAAGATACTTTTCTCCTACCCGTGACTCCTTTCTGTTGTGAATTGACCACCTAACACTCGGACTTGTTGTTTAGATGTGTGTGAGCACATACTTGGTAGATGCCTTCACACACTACGCCGCTTCCGCCATGGCGGCTAACACGGTGTTCCGTTCACTAGCTGGTGCCATGCTTCCACTTGCCGGCCCGAAGATGTATGAGGCTCTTGGACTTGGTTGGGGTAACTCTCTGCTTGGGTTCATTGCTTTGGCATTTTGCGCATTGCCAGTGATCTTTTGGATTTATGGCGAACGCATAAGGACAAGTCCAAGATTCCAGGTGAACTTGTGATCGGGTCGCAGTACTCGCTTCGGGTACTGTTGGTTTGTCGCGTCTCTTTGGCTTTTGTCCATTATACTTTGGACATATAAATACGGGAGAAGTGGAAGATATATATGGCTTGCAGGGGGTGGGTTGGTGCCATGGGATGTAATAGACGTGGAAGACGTTGAAGATGAATATCATTTGACGTGGGTTGGTGTAATGGGGTTTAAAACAATAAGAGACTTGCCCATTTATTACAACTTTGAGAACCAACTATGTAGACTGGATGGTAGCTACTCTTAACAAGGAGGTCGATTTTAGCTCCCGATGTTCTGTAGGCGAGCTGTGTTCGTGCAACACACGAGTATTGGTGTAACCGTATGGTCAGAAGTGATAGAGCCGACGAATGCTGCACAAAGATCTAACCCTCTCTGCTATGGTGGTATCCAGAGTTCATAGCAATAGCTAACAATAGCTGCGGTCTGAGATTACCCAGCAGAAAGTAGAGTAGGAAGTAGTAATCATCCATGACCTTGGCGGCCCAGCAAGGCAACCGGTTAACCAGTGATAAGAATGACAATCAAAATAGAGACTTCTCAAATACTACCTTATAGAACAGCGAATTCCTTGGACTGATAAACCGCCAAAGATATAGAGATACCGAGATTTGTCTTGAGTTCAAAAGCTTCATATATTTGGAAGCCTTCAACGCTGCTAGGAGAAGGCCAGGGCTCTAGGGCTACCTAGGTACTTCGATTATTAAGGTAAGTGTAAAAGTAATACGGGTATTTGTATTTGTCTGTTTTAAAACAATCCATTCAGGCATAGATGCCCCCCAAATATGACCCTGATAGCTATTTGGCTTCGTATCGGAGCTGTTTTCCACCTTGACCTATGGTGATCTTAAGCAAGTGGAACACCAGCCTTGGCGCAATCCATAACCTGATTGGTCCACGTAATTTCCCCCATCGAAGGTAACCAATCAAGGGGGGGGAGCGCCGCATCCTCAGCATCAGGAACCCGGAAATATTTTATAGTTAGTAGGGCAGAAGTATTCACCACCCTCGAGAATTTAAACAGATAGCCAGCTCCTCCATCACTGTGATACTGGATTTAACCACAGGAATCGTCCTAAAAACATTTAAATTATACTTTTGTTCGTTTTTACCTTAGTATAACATTCATTATGGCATGGCCTTTACCCAACGACCATATGGACCACCAAAACATATCCTGGCAATCCGAGCCCGACAATGGAGATTCTACCTTTTACAAGGACATGACTGCTATCCAAACACCCAGAGATACGGCCGCGAAGCAATCCTCCACCGAGTACAGCATTTACGCTCATCATGTGCAGCATGCTTTAGCGCTGCTTGACCCAAACTTCGCTTTACCATCCAATCTAGGTCATCTCGATCTAGATTATATAGACCAGGGTACTATGCAAGGTTTCCTCCCTCAATGGAATGGTACCACCGAAGGCCCGGCTACAGACTATCACCTTCTAGCCGAAAGCATTCAGGTCCCATCTTTGGACTCTCCCTCCTCTGCGGAACAACCATCTTCACCCAAGGACAAGGAAATGCCGACAACCCAGGGAAACCGTACTGGCGGTCGACGAGCCAACAAACAAGAGTAAGACAACTACCCCCACATTGGAAACTGGCATTAACAAAATGTTGGTCAGGGATTACCACGGCTCTTTTGAATGCCACTGGATAGACTGCACGCACCGCCACGCGTTCAGCTGTGAAAGTGTGTTGATTCGTCATATCAGGACCCAGCATATCAATCCGCGCTCTATCAACTGCCCTAGGTGTGGCAAGTCTTTCAACCGAAAGGATAACATGAAGGAGCATGTGGGAAGGATTCACAGGGAATATATCTGAGATTCAAGCAGGAGCGTTGTGGTTTCGACTACTTGGTTTCGGACTTGTGGTCCTTTTTCTGGGATTGGAGATATTAGAAAGATTGGGCGTTACTCGGGATAGTTATCATAAGGATTTGAATGTTAGCAAGACGTTGTCTCGTGTCTGATTTTAGCACAAAAATCTTGAATACGGTTTGAGGAAGAAGTATACTTTCGGTTAGCCTAAGTTCACACACATTTCTTCAAGATCAGCTGGGCCTTGGACGCAAGATTAACACACTTCCATGTCGGGATTCTGCGAGGTTAATCTCCAAATAGGAATATCCAGCTGGTTTTGTTTCGATCCTCTACGTCACCTTGGAAGATCGATTGGAAACTGCTGGAAATTGAAATCCGCACTACGCAATTGCTGCTATCAAAGGAATCTTCTAGAAGTTGTTAACTGAACAATATACAATATTGATGGCTAGGCGTGTGATTGCAGGAGCTCGCTGTATGGACAGGAAGTCGGCTATGGAGGTATGGGGGGAGTGGCATAAGGAGACCTCGTACCACTTTGCGGATGGTTAATCCAACCTGCCTTTCCCCATAAAGGCTGGTTGAGTAGAACAGGGGATTGTCTCCACTGGCCGACCGAGGAGTCCCAGGGCTTCTTATGAGCCGAACATGCAGGCGACAGAGATGGTTACTACCTAACTAATCTCACATCATTATGCACTGCCTCGGCATATATTCTTTACACTCTTCCGGCGATGCCATGCTTTCAAAGACTAGAAAGAGAAGTTAGCTAAGGACAAAATACTACTAATTGTTACAATTCGACAGTAACAGAGATCAAGATAACTCACATTCCCTTTTAGCTTGCTTACTCTCGGCCGTGTCGTGCCACAGCCTCAACAGCCATGTAGCGACCAGTGCATCCCTCGACTCCTGCGACATACTGCTCGTGACCGATAATTTATATCTGCCATCTTCCTTTTCTTCAACGGCGACCTGTCTGCCATTGGAATCACTCCACTTGTAGCAATTTCTACCGACATTCCAGTTTGGCTGGATATCGAACAATAGGAGTTGTTGGATACCATCGTAGAATAATGGTTTATCCGAGGCGGTCTTTTTCGGACTTAACATCGCCTTAAAGGACGTCTTTTGAAACCGTGCTTCAGAATTCTCGAGGCGGATATTGCCCACCGTTTCGGGCACTGCAGATGTGATGTAGTACTTAGCAGGTATATCGGTCCGGTATTGCGCATTCACAGGATGCGCAAGATAGAAAAGATGTCGCTTGCGCCGCGTGCCAGGAGTGACACCCTCGATCTCCGTCTCGGAATCAGATGTATCTTGCTCGACTCTTTCGAATGCCACGGATGAGTCCTTGTTCGAGATTGACCTGATGTCACTGTTTAATTGGTAAAGTGGGGTTGCAGTTGTAGACTCGGTGAAGACAGATTGACCTGACAAAAAGAGGACGGCGGGCTGAAGAATTTCACTTGAGGTGTTACCGCCGGTTTTCTCGTACAATTCAGAGCCCGACTCCATTGTCTTGGGCACCAAGCTCGGTCCGGAAGTGTCAATATTCCCAGCAATACAGTACGTGATTATTTGGTAACAAATGATGCAAAATATCTTTAACAGTGGATATAGAAAGTGGTGAGTAAGTAGTATGCAGTATAGTTTGAGGGTTCAGTTGGAGCGTAGGCACATATAAAGGTTACCCGGTTGCCCACGTGGGGCAGCCCCCGGGACCGGGCAATGCCATTACATAATCAGTCTTGGCCTCCAGGGCTCTACCGTCATCGTAGCCAAGCGCCCAACACACCTACCGGGTGTTCCCAGAGGTGGATTACCTGCATGTATATACCACTGCAGCTAAGCTATGAATTGACAAAGTTATGAACTTTTGGTCTAATGGGTAAATGCTGGGAGCAGTGACTAGCGGGTCTCATGGGCTTTGCGGAGGTCAAGTTGGAAGTGGAGCCCGCTTCTACCAAGGAACCCTAATAGTCTGTGAGTACGTAGGATCGTATCGAGGGTCCCAAAGGCAGTGCAGGCTATTGAGACTGGTTCCCAATATGTTCCAACGGGCTGTTGTAGAGCTCTCCGCAAGGATGACTGACAATTTTTGTTAGCGGATGACAATAGGACATAGCCGCCAGTGTGCCACATCAGATCCTGCCGATTTTACCTATACCGTTTCACCTCTCGTACTCATATATGGTTTACTATAATATATAGCCACAGGGCCTAGTTTAATGGTTAATCGTAGCAATGGAAATGGCAAGTCCACAGGGCAGACATTATCCTGTGCGTGTAGTTACGTATACATATCAGATTTTGTATCATTTTCCTGAAGTCTTTTTTCCCATATCAACGACAAACTTGCTCGTTTTCCCCTTTACATGCAGTGTATAGAGCCTGACCGCAGTGGCGATAGCCATAAGGGTCCAGCGCCCTCCCAGCGCGCTCGACTGGCCGTCCACCACCTCAAGGGTGAACGCATGTGTGAGACTGGGCCAGGCCATGACCCATCCAAGAAAGGCGACAGTCTCACCGTCTTTGCCTGATAATGGAGATGAGGACGAAGATGGCGCTTGGCCACTGCTGCTGCCGCCGCCGCTCGGCTGGGATGATTGTTGGCTAGACGAGAGTCGAACCAACTTGAACCCATTCCTCTTAGCTTGATCCTCACCCTTCTTGACCTTCCTCCATGCAAACTCCTCCCTCCGCTCCTTGTCGCCTACTTCGATAGAAAAGTGAAAGGCGATATCATTGTTTGTGCCAGGTTCGGCGCGCAGGAGTTCTGTATCCATGCGGTCGGACTTCGCGTCCGGATCAAGTGGCGGTAAGAAGACGATGCCGTCGGGATTAAACGCATGGAGCCCGCGCGACTCATCACCAGCGGCAGCAAGCAGCGGATCCTTCGTGCTCATTCCGTTACGCAGGAGAAATCCCGTTCTCATCCCAAGCGGAGCTTTGCCGCTATAGCCGGTTTGCATCTCAATCAAACACAGACGATCCTTCGCATCAGAACCAGCACAGAGATTCATAGATTTCCATTTTGTCCACTGGCCGTGTACACTCATGGTTGACGGAAGCGAACCATAGCGAGATGATGTTGTGGGGCAGCTCAATCCCTCATCATAGGCGGGTGGGGCTTCACTTTCTTGGACGTTTCTTTCGTCTTGGGTGCCCATGTTGGTATAATCGAGAAAGAGGATAAATCTAGGGCAGTGGGAAATACCTAGGTATCATTGACTTTAGCTCGTGGGCATTAATTTTACGCCCTTGACATAATGTCCTCCGTCTTATATCCGTAGTTAGTTACTCCGACTCCGCCACTCCCCCGCTGTAGAATATTAATGTTTTAGTGGGCCAAGTACCAAGTTGAATCATTGATCGGCCTTGATTGGTTCTCTCGAAATTAGGAAGATATGTGGATCGCTGTTCCTGGGGGCCAAATATACTGTCTTTGTGTCTTGGCTCGATAATTCAATCTACTCGAAATTAAATCAAAAAATTTGCAATACCTTTTCCGAAAAGGGAAGTCACCCGTCAGATATTGTCTATTTATAATATAAGCCACTTATGGCAAGGCTAGGTATGATAAGAGAGATGGTAAGGTCACTAGACCATTGGCACTAGCCATGACTCTGGGTTGAGTGAGGAAAGATCTTTAGGATGGGATACAACTCTCAATCCCTCGTCGAGCTGGAGGCGAATCGTGATTAGTTAGCTAAGACGAGGGACTTCACTCTTGGAAAGATTTACCTGGGCATGCCGCATATCGAGGGCCTGAGGCATAAATATGTGATGTCGAAAATGCCTGGTGCCTTCCATAGTTTTCTCGAGGGTCTGAACATTAGCAAATTGCTGTTTTATGTGAAGGGTTACTAGTGTTAAATCATGACTAGATAGTTGAAGAAATTGAGGCTAACTCGCTTCTTGAAATATATACAACCTTCCAAGGTTCCCTTGCCGATATGATTAAGCGATGTCCCATACTTTATCTCATTGTCACTAAACGAATGCCCGAATACAAAGTACATATTGGGCCAATATCAGAGCGGGACGGGCTCGCATTTTTATAGTCTGCTATCATACTTCTTAGTTCGGTTAGAAGCTCAACTTTGAGTAACCATAATTCAACTCAGATCAGATTATCAGCAGGTGGAAACTCGTTTCCCACGGTATACAATACGTCCTCTAAACTAGTTAGCCTTTTTCATTTATCTCGCATGCTTCAGCGTTGAATTGAAAGAACTAAAAGTTGAGTGGAAACGCCGAACAACTTTTCTATATATCGCACCAATAGTAGATATGTAAAAAATTAGATATATAACGTTCCAATGCATGTACGGGAAGTTATTTTTCAAAGGATGGTTTTCTTATCAGGTACAAAAATCCTTCAATGGGTGTTTTATAGCATGTGATAGCAAAAGTTCATATGGATCGGTGAATCGACGGTGATCCCATGTCGGCAATTTTGTTACTCAACTCTGAACTTCCGACTCGAAACTGCACAGCCACGCGCATTGCTATAATTAGTGTCTACTTCGTATTATCCAAGGATTATTATTTCCTTGCTAGAACTCCCGAAGGTCCCCCGTTTCTGTTCATGGGTCGAAGTGATGATTATATAAGCCACAGTAAAGCGGGCGGGCCCCAGCGGGTGCACCTTCAGGCACTATCTCTGCCAATCACGCAGTGTCATATGCAGATCCCCCAGAAAGAACCGAGGTCGGGGCCACCGATCTAATTTCACCGAGACATGAGGCGAAACTGAGGCTTGTTGTTTTTCTTTTCGTTTTCTTTGCCGATACAAGGTCACTAGGATTCCGTTCTTGAATGGCAGCCCTCAATGTCATCGCGTCGTAGTCACACGAAGTCTCGAAAGGGGTGTTTGGAGTGTAAAAGGAGACATGTAAAGGTCAGTATCAACAAGATTGCTCCCCGGAACCTGTCGGGCGTGTTGCATGTGGCTCAGGCGGACGGCAGTTATCAACCAGCTGAGACTCATATTCTGACACAACGGTCAGTGTGATGAGTGCATTCCAAAATGTACTCTGTGCAGGAAGCGAAAATTGGACTGCAGATATCCTCCGCCAAATGAAGACGAGGACAGCCCCGGGGCCTCATCTAGCGCCCTTGATGAAACAGATAGTGGCACTGTGACCCCATCAAGGGATTTCCCACAGGCAACACGCTTGCTTGAGACGAGATTATTCCACCAGTATATGACTTCAACGTACCACACTCTGTCACATGATGGACTATCAGCACACCACCTCTCCATGACGATTCCTCACATGGCCGCATCTTGTCCTTACCTGCTTGACAGTATCCACGCATTTTCAGCCTTACACTTGGCCTCGGTTGAGACTGATAATCGGGATTCATGGCTGAACCATGCCGTGCAATATCAGAGCCAGGCATGTGCTGGATTGAGCAAGGTTCTTCCGGAAATCTCACCGCCAGATTACGAACCCGCATTCGTCTCGTCCATCATAATAATGCTTTTCGCCATGGGATCTCGAGTATTATCTCTTGAAACACGACCTCTGGACCCGCTTTCGGTAGTTCTTGAGGCTCGCACATTGATGTCTGGCCCCGCCATGCTTCTTTCCCGGATAGTTGAAGCTGGGGTTGACTCGCAGCTGGATGGATGGCTGTGCGCTCCTGGGACACAAGAAATTCTCGAAGCTGGGAAATATGATCAGTATGGAACTCCATCCCTCTGACTCATTGGCGAAGGCGGATGATAACACGAAACAGCGGCAGCAACCCGGTCGAAAGCACACACGTATTATTCACCCTCCACAAGTATGTTCCAGTAACGTATGGAGTGACGGTGTATGGCTTGCGAAGCTGATCATCAACACAGGGACATAGTAACGTCGCTGGTTCGACTTCATTCGATTATTGACACAAGAGAAGGATCGGATCAACCGATCTACTTAGCCACATGGCAGCAGCTTCATCAGGCCATCGAACCGTGGCCAAAAATCGGACCACATGGCGGTCCCCTTGCGTGGCCCTTATTCCTCTCCGACAAGTTTTCATCATTACTTAAACATGGCGACTGGATCGCCCGAATTCTGTTTCTACATTTTGGAATAGCTATGCGTCTCTTGTGCCATCGATGGTACGTGCGGGACTGGGGTCGTCGGCTAGTGTTAGCCACGCTGGAAGCACTGGACAACGTTCCTCAGGAGTGGGAGGAAACTATTTCTTGGATAAGACAAGCCGCTGCAAGAGAGGACTAGCCGCGGGACTGATACCATGTTGTGCATACGGGGGGTATGGAGTCTAGATTATAGATTTGGGGTAATCTTATTCATAGCAAAGGATGAGTCAACTAATGGCCGAATCATATCGAAGGGAGATAAGATGCTATATATGGGGTATGGCGTTTGATCCTGGCGACCCCGAAATCCCTCCGCGCCATTACATTTGCCCCCGACGGCTGCCCGACAGCTTATCAGCGGGGTCGGGGTTTTTAGAACAGTCGGCTACCCAGTAAAAAAAACGTAAAACGTCCCCAGAAGATAAACTTCTAATCTTTCGAAATGTTCCATCTGTCATTTCCTTTCCTCATTCCTTATCTCTCGGTACTGGCTATATTCGCCGAGCAACCTGCAGTCCGCTGATCCTATACCAAAGCGTCGGGAACCTGGGCGGCCAACAAGCGTGATATGCAAGGCCCCTGCAAGATCAGCCAAGATGTGGAGAAGGTAAACTATATTTCCCCTCTCCATTAGTTCCCCATTTGCGCCCAGGTTGGGAATATTAATATAGGATGTTGTAACAGCTTGAGGCCTGGTCATCCTCTTCTTCTCCGGGATCTACTCACACGCAACATTCCATACTACGGAGAAATTGGAGGCAGACTCTTATCAACATGTCGCAACCGTTGAAACTCGGATTTTTGACGATTTTCTCACTGCTATTGATCGCAATTCACCTGCCCAGTGCGAAAACCTCCCCGTTGGAGTTTAACGAGCGAGACCCGAATGCCGACCTCGGGTCGCATGGTGGAATTGGCCCTGGAAAGCTGGGTGCTGTTGCTAGCGAAAACTCGATCTGCTCCCGTCATGGATCTGATATTTTAAAGAAGGGCGGAAACGCTGCTGATGCTGTGAATGCTCCCATCCAGGTGGGATTTGGGGTGAATCTCGGTGCTGACAATGACATAGTTGGTTGCAACCGAGTTTTGTATCGGTGTGATAGGTGAGGCTACATTCAGTTAATAATTGTATCTGAGCATAGCTAACGGAGAGTAGCCATGTACCACAGTGGGATCGGTGGAGGTGGCTTCATGCTCGTGAGATCAGCAGAGGGTGAGTATGAGTTTATTGATTTCCGAGAGACGGCGCCGGCTGCGGCATTCGAGGACATGTACAAAAACAATGAAGATGCTTCTGTATACGGTGGACTGGCAAGGTAAAAAAAATACACGCAGCTGGTAGAAGCCAAGCTAACAACTATACAAGTGGAGTACCGGGCGAAGTGCGAGGTCTTGAGCACCTCCACAAGAAATATGGCTCGCTTCCATGGTCCACTGTTGTCGAGCCCGCTATCCGCACAGCTCGTGACGGATTCCCTGTCACAGAAGATCTTGTCAAATACATGAAATCTGCTGTTGGCAGTGGAGAGGATTTCCTATCTAAGAATCCCACGTGGGCAATTGACTTTGCTCCGAATGGAACCAGGCTTGGGCTGGGCGATATCATTACACGAAGCCGGTATGCGGATACCCTCGAGGCTATTGCACAGCGTGGCGCGGATGCATTCTACTCGGGTCCTATCGCAGAGACTATGATCAATGCACTCCAGCGCGAAAACGGCACAATGACACTCGAAGATCTTAAAAATTACACTGTGGCTATTCGGAATGTCTCTCAGATAGACTACCGTGGCTACAAAATCACGAGTACGTCGGCCCCCTCGAGTGGCAGTATCGCCCTGAGCATTCTGAAGATTCTTGGGACATACAAGGATTTCTTCTCGACTGAACAATCTGTGAATTTGAGTACCCATCGGTTGGACGAGGCGATACGATTTGGATACGGCGAGGTATGAATTACCGACTATTATTTCACCCGCGAACTCTAGTCAATGGTAGCTTACCTGAGATGCAGAGATCTAAATTTGGCGATCCCCTCTTTGTTGATGGCTTGGCCGACTATGAGAAAGAGATTCTGAATCAGTCTACGATTGATGAAATTCGATCCAAGATCTCGGACGTGCGGACTCAGAACGTATCTGCTTATGATCCAGCTGGACTGGAAAGCCTGGACACGTAGGTCCTACTTGATGCATCATTCTCTGATATCAAGCTAACTACGCATCAGCCCTGGAACTTCCCAAATCGCAGTAGCTGACCACACTGGCCTTGCAATTTCGGTAATCACCACAGTCAACTTATTGTTCGGTAGCCAGGTCATGGTCCCAGAAACCGGTATCATCATGAACAACGAGATGGACGGTATGTTGAGCAAGCCAGTTCTAGGTCACGGAGTTAACTAACATATTCACAGATTTCTCTATCCCTGGATCGTCAAACTCGTTTGGTTATATCCCCTCTCCATCCAACTACATTCGCCCTGGAAAACGCCCCCTCTCCTCTATCACGCCTGCGATAGTTGAGCGATCCAACGGCAAGCTATTTTTGATTGCGGGGTCCGCAGGAGGAAGCCGTATCACCACTGCCACTGTCCAGAGTATCATTCACTCCATTGATCAGGGACTCTCCGCCGCCCAAGCGTTGGCCAAGCCCCGTCTGCATGATCAGCTGGTACCAAACCAGGTCACCTTCGAATACAGTTATGACAACGCAACTGTTGCCTTCATGAAGGAACGAGGCCATAATGTTACTTGGGTTGCTCCGGGAAAGAGTACTGCCCAGTTGATCCGGGTCTTGCCCAATGGAACATTCGATGCTGCTGGAGAGCCGAGGCAGCTCAACTCGGCCGGGTATTCTGTATAGAATGGGATATGTTGGCACTGTGGATGCCAAAGTACATATATTGTCAAATGCGTGCTAAGGTACAAAAGACTATAAATAGGCAAACCAATCTAATAAGTTCTACTCTTTTGCAAATGCAGCCCTTTGTTGTAGATTCTTTGACAAGGGGTAGATTGGGCGTTTCTTTATCAGGTGGTCTGTGCTTTCAATATTCCCTTTTGCGATGTAGAGAACTCCAATTCACACTTGACCTTTTTCACCTCCTTTAAAAGTCAACCCTGACGTGAAAAGTTGATTCGAATTATCGCTTCCTTAGATTTGGTTTGCTGGTCTCATTGACACGACATCACGTCAACTTATTAGCTTTACACGTGAACCGACCTCCCCGCGTCAAAGGGAGCTAGGAATCTTTACTCGCGATTTCCCCGAGACCAGGACGCATTACACTCCCGATTCTTGCAGGTAGTTTTTCTTGCTCTTTGTTTGTCTTTGTCCTTGCATTAACCAAACGGCTTTTCATGCAAACAGTTCACCCAATCCAACCGCTACCGCGATATGTCTACGAACCCTTGGAGCTTTACCAACTTCCTACCCTAGACATCCTACATCTACTGTGGTATCAGGAATACAATGGCTCGACTCAGCAACATCTCCGTCGTTGTTCCCCTTCCGTCTTTCGACATCGACCCCCTCAAGACCTTTGACGAAGACTTCTTTGATCGTGCTGTTGACAACATCTTGTCAGAGACGAGCGTTGAAGAATCCCGGGATGATATGATGGATAACAACATTGGCATCTCGTGTCCACTTGGGTATGACGGTGCGTCTGACTCCTCAAAGCTCAGCGTTCGTCGTAACCAAAGGACCGGGGCCAACTCGCCGCATTTTTCTACAACATCGACCTCATCACTTACAACCACCTCGGCAAAAAAGCCGAAGTCGAGAAGGTCTTCCAAGATACGGAACAGTGTTACAATGGAGGATGCCAGTGATCCTGGTGAAGCTTCTATGAGCCTCGACAACATCACACAACCTCAGGGTGAGAACGAAGGCCTACAAGTTGAACCTCATCCCATCCACGAGGTTGGTGATCACCCTTCTACAGTTCCCGAAATTACCGACTCGTCGGCAATGCCGACTGGTGACAGTGAGATGACGGCCGAAGACAAGATCTTTGCTTCGGTGGACCCCGAAAAGCAGATAGAGGTGTTGAAGTTCGTTGTATCACACTCTTTCATGACGGAGCAAGTTCAACATGTTCGACGTTCAGCCCGGCGAGAATTCACTGGCCAAGTGCGTGGGGTCGCCGCAGAGGCTGGAATGGACGAGATAGCTATCGCTGCTTTGGTTGACCACGTTCGAAAGATCTATCTTGAGGACCGTGAAATTATGGTAGCCGATGATTCCGGCTCTGCATTTGGGGACGAAGTGGAGGACGAGGAAGAAACACACATCAAGAGCTCGCACCGGAAACGGCGCAAGAGCAGCTCGGACCAGCCCGAGGACAAAGAGCGCAAGAAAAGCAAGAGGCGACACTCGGATAAGGCAAGACATCATAGCCATGATGCTATGCAGCATGATGAGCCAACTAAGGTTGTGGAAGCTCCGGCAGGTGTTTTCACCAAAGGTCAGGGCAACGGCTACGTTGAGCGGGAGGAACCGAAACATAAGGATAACACGCCGGATCTACCTAAAATGCCTACGAACATCATTCGGGGCAGCCCAAGTACACCCATCGACCTTACCGACTCTGCGTCTCCTCGCGAGTTCGCCCGTGAAGCTGATGTGGTTCCATCTCAAACCCAAAAACATGATGTCATCCGGGAGATCAAGGGTCTTCAGGGCAGCAGCGGAAAGGTTATCACTCACTTGTCACCCGACGCCCCGATGGAGATGATTCGGAGTCCATTGCCCGAACAAGCGGTTGGACGAAGGCCGTCGAAACGTCGTGAGCCAAAAGTATCACAGAGAGACAAAAACAAGCGCAAGCGCGAACGGAGGAGGGAGCGCAACAGAAATCGAAAGCAACACGCTCAAGGCGACTCCGTCGATCGAGCAGATCAAGACTCAATTCCTCCTTCCATTCCGCAAGAAACCCCTTCCGATAGCCCAAATGGAGGCAGACGGGGCTCCAATCAGCTCCCGCTACCCGCCAATCCATCCGAGTGGACGGTGGATTTTTGAATACCAGTGATTTGCCAGGTGTGACTCCAAGTGATGAGGTTCAGTCTAAGTATTTCTTGGGAGCCGGCAATCCCAAGGTTGGCCCGAAAAACAAGCGGGAAATGGCTTCCCCGCTGTACGATTTGTCTATTCCACCCGCAGCCCGACAGCTGTTGAAAGATTTGAATCTACCCCCGGACTTCTTGTTGTCAGATTCTTCCTTGAGTGATGCGCCGAGTGATTTTGATTCCGATCGGGACGTTATAGATGATCCCCTGTCGCATGTTCAGATCAAGTTATCACCCCCGAAAAGCCCCTGCCTTGTCCCCCAATTCACAAACCCCGACCCTGAAACTCCCGTGAAATCCACCTTTTTCATTAACCCAGAACCCATTAAAACCCCCAAGCCAAACCCTTGAAGCATTCTCCTTATTTCCCACGTGTGCCAGTTGATACTGAATCATGCCTCCCGTTTCCCCCTATCGAAGCATCTTCTTTCGGACTCATTCAGGAGCAGCTTGCACATGACCCCTTTCGTTTACTGATTGCAACCATTTTTCTCAATCGAACCCGCGGGGGTGTTGCCCTGCCGGTTTTGTTCAAGGTGTTTGAACGATACCCTACGATTGAGGCGATGGCTGAAGCAAACCCGCCGGAACTTGTATCGATGATAAACTGCCTGGGCTTTCAAAATCAACGAGCAAGGAAATGCATCACGTTGGCACAAACATGGATATCAGACCCCCGAACAAAAGCAAAAGATATCGCAAGCTCCACTACCCACGAAAGCTTGACGGTCGAAATGTTGGTCGTGAAGAATGCATTGACGAAGAAGATTTGAGGGTGGCATGGGAGATTGCACATTTACCCGGTGTTGGAGCATATTCCCTTGATAGCTGGAGGATCTTCTGTCGCGACGAATTACTGGGAAAAGCCTCTGACTGGAAAGGGACGGATGCGACAGAGGTCGGATTTGTGCCTGAATGGAAGTGCGTTCTCCCACACGACAAGGAGCTACGTGCTTATCTTACATGGATGTGGCTGAAAGAAGGATGGATTTGGGACTACCACACGGGTGATCTCACACTTGCGAGTGACAAAACGATGAGAGCTGCGCAGAGTGGAGGAGTTGCCCGTGAAGAGGAGGGGAATTGGGTACTAGAGACCTCCCCTGTCAAGGCTGTGAATGGATTACATGGATCAGATTGATCCCAAGTGTTGATGTACATGATACGCTGAATATCAAGTTTACAAATCCACATACTTGTATACGTAGTTGCCTCAGGCAGTAGGAATTTGTGTTCCCTCGGAAAGTTTTCAGCTGAGAGGTTATGTACTCTTTATATAACTAGTTAGTATATATAGTTATGTCTATGTATATATATATCTCTCTCTCAGGATCCGATTTCAGGCTTCCATGCAGCAAAACCACGTCAGTTCAAAGAGCGGGGCCCAGATTGTTCACCGCATAATCGCATGGTGCGCTTCCTTCCACTTCCAACAATTTCATGCGTCGTACCTGAATGAGGTTATTCTTTTCTTTTTTCTCAACTCATATCCCTTTCTTTTCCCCAGATCCCCCCAGACACATGGAATGCCGGATTGGCTCCCGTGCATTGCGACGTTAAGCGACCAGTCACAACTAATCACGACCAGTCACGGCCCGAACTAAGCGCCAGTACAATTGGAGACAAAAATAGAATCACATTCCCCTCAGTGGCGGTGCGAGCCTAGACAGGTAACGACTCTTTCGCGCGGTCCGCGGTCCTCAACACGATAGGGATTTCGCCATGTTTCCTGTTAGACTAAACCGCGACGATAGGAAGTCGAAGACCGTCAAGGCTAAGACAAACAAAACAAACAGAAAGACCTCAACCAAGGACCCAGAGGATTCTACCACGGCTCGCTCATCAACTTCCCAACGCAGGTCCTCCATGCCTGGACTTGAGAGATCAGAGGCCTCGTTCCTTGAGTCGAGAACTAGTCTACCGTACCCTACTTTCTCCAAAGCTCACAGCAAGGAAGGCGTCCGAGCCAGCATCCCTACACCAGACCCGACCGATTTGACACATGACGACAGGAAGAACGGTCATCGCGAGAATCACCATGCGCCTCCTAGTCCGCCCCTGACCGGTCTCGACCAAGAATCGAGGAAGGGCAGTATCATCAACGAGGATGAGAAGGAGGCAGAAAAACCCAAGAAGAAAACAAATATAAAAATCAGAGCCTCCGAGGTCAACAGGTCCTCATCGAGTCTCCGGTCGAAACGCGATGATAGCACCAAGTCCAAGTCCAGCAAGACGTCGCGAACAGAGACCCCTACAAAATCCAGACCCAAGGATGAGACTGAAGCTTCGCCTCGATCATCAAGCCACAAGTCCAAGACAAAGGTCTCTGATGATAGGAAGCTACCCAAACGGTCGAGTCGGTCGACGATGTCTGCCTCACAGTCGAACATTACGCTTCGTGATATCGGCGCAGAGTCAGCCAACGGGTCCGACGCGACGTCTATTGCGCCTAACCAGCAGCAGTCGGTGCCACGAAAACCCATGACCCCAAAACCCATGACCCCACCTACGAAGCCTCCCTCTCGAACCCAGAACCGATCGGCCATGTCCCATCGTCGCACTGCAAGCGATGAATCGATCGATTTTGTGAAACCAGTGAATCCGAATTCGTTTGGCGCGCCCCCGCCGCCCCCACCTCCGCCCGAATTGCCTGTTACTATTCCCCGAGTCGATTACTTGCTGAAAAATGGTGGTCTGGAAAATAAGGTCTCGAGGGCGCTCCTGGCTAGCCTCGGGCAGAAGGACCCATTTTCGCAAGGACAACCTCAGTCCCGGGCTATCGCTGGCAAGATCTTCGATCCATATAACCGTTTACTAGACGACTACCAAAAGGTCATGAGTAAGAATGGATCTCTCGCTGTCGCAACAGGCTACCGGTCTGTCGCCCGCCGTTTATTGGATCGTCTCGAAGCCGTGTTCGCGCGCGACATCTCATCCGAGCCATGTAGCTGCCAGATATGCGACCAAGCGGAGATAGACGATCGACCAGATGGAGTGAGCTGGGGTGAGGTTTTGGAGCTCGTGTCTGGCCGCAGAGAACTTCCCATGTGGCCTCCTTTTACAATGGCACCAACTACCGTGGACACTGGTGCGCCAGGCGATGAGCATGTTCCAATGCAGAAGCTTGACGTTGACGTTCCTGAAGAGTACCGCGAACACTTCATGCGGCAATCTCGAAAGACGAAGGTCGCCGTCGACAAATGGCTTTACGAGCAGAATGATCCAGGCACCAGCGCTCCTAACGAGGTTGACGATGAGACGTTGACCTTTGCCATGCTCACGCATCTCGAACCCCACCAGCGCTCATTGTTCTGCTCTTTGCTTGGCATCAATTCTTCTACTCCTGTCCCGCGATCTGACAACGACAAGCCCCGACCGAAATCTTCAGCGCTTGTCTCGTCGGCCTCCGCCATCCAGCGTCTTTATCGACTACCCTCCCTCCCTCGCGACCCAGAAACTGCTATGTACATGCTGAATAACCCTACCCTCCACCATGTTCTCGCCACCCTCTCCGCTATCAGCGATGACGAGTGGGAGATCCTCATCTCTGGCCGCTTCGACGGGTTCCTCCGCAGTGGCGCAGAAGACACCGGTCCCACGGCAAACGCCGCCGGGGCCCGCTGGAACGGCAGTCGCTCCAACACACCCTTGGGCGGCGGTATCTCCCGGGGACCGACGCCCAATTATATGGACGGCAGCTTCCGACCCTCAAGCCAAGTCAACGGCGCGCCTTCATCTCCCGCTTCATTCGGCGGCCCGATCGCCCTCGACGAGGAAACTGAAATAGCCGCGTTAGCAGAAGTCGAGCGCGACATTTTCCTCGGAATGGAAGCCCTCGAAGACGCCTTCGAAGCCCTCCACTGCAAAGCCGAAGTCGTGCGGCGTGCACTACGCGAACGTGGCGCCGGCCTCTCCGTAGCAAACCAAAGCCGCCGGGGCTCGTTCGTCGAAGCGCGTCTAGGCACGCCCTTCTCAGGCGTTGGTACGTGGGAAAGCGGCGGCGAAGACGACTTCCTCGACGACGAGCGCTCTCTTGCGCCCGATGACTCGGCCAGTAACATCAGCTCGAACCGCCGTCGTCGGCCTAAGAGACGCACTGAGCGACGCACACCTGCGCCTGTCGAGGAGGAAGACGAGGAAGATGACGGTCTTGATCGTCGGGATACGCGAAACTCGAGACGGAGATAGGTCGGTACCGGGATGGAATGGGAATAATTCTTTTCGATTTACGATCTACGTGCAGCGTTGGAATCATTCCAGGACTGTTTTCTGGATAGCGTGGGATATGGATATAACTGTTGCTGTCGCAATGGGCTTGACGAACTTATAATACCCCTCCTTACTTTCTTGTCCTGGGTGTTTTTACTATGTTTCGAGCTTGTTCTTTTTGCATTCTTTTGTTTTCGCGCTTGGCTTACTGCCTCGCCCCCTTTTTACATTTTGCTCTTTTGATGATTTATGAATGCCATGAGCTTCCCTCCCATGACCAATGCCTGGCTGTGCGTTTAGGCTACGATACAAGTTTGATTTAACATCTCCCAGCGATTGGATTCTTAGTATTTTGCAATATAAGCCTACTAGATCTAGGTATTGCAATGATTTAGTTATAGGAGACTATAGACAAGTCCAAACAAGGGAAAAGCGAAATTAAGATCTACAACAGCCTACGTCCACGACTCTTGAGTCTAACTGGACTCCCGGTCCGTTGTCGCGACGGTTAGCTCTAATGGACCTCGGGAAATCCCGATCATGCAACCACGGTTTAACCCTGGGATGGCTGGTACGGATGGACAGTAACCTTGTTGCTTGGACACTACAGGGGTAGTAGTAGTAGTAGTAGTATGACTCACGTAGTATTTTCACCTGAGTCCAAAAGTGAATGCGCCTAGGGAATACAAATATGTAGAAATAGTAAAATAGCACCACATACGGATCGCCACTCGTCATCAGCTACATCTTACGACATCATCCCACCGAATGGAGCTCATTCACTAGCCGTACACTATATAGATGTCGTCTTGCAATTCACCAATAGTAAGTCCGTGCATATACACTGCATGCGATGCACTTGATCAGGGTGCAATTGGCAATTTGAACCGCTCTATGCCCAAGAGATTGCTTGCCCTACGCAAAGTAAGGGGGTTACTACACTGAATATTGAATGCATTACATTCATTGACTTTTTCTCTATCTAATAATACTAAAATTGATATATATTTACTGAATTAGATGAGTGATATATATAGTTGAAAGTTGATATATATATTTGATGGGGTGCGTATGAAACTGGATGGAGGCCAATGATGCTACATATGTATTTGAGAGGACCTCACGCAGCATGTAACAGATGATGTTCGTGACTTACCATTGTCCTTGTTGTGGATCGCTCTATAGGTCACAAAAGTACGATTGACATCATGCGCCGACTTTTTATATCCTTAAAATGAATAGTAAGGTGTAAACGCACGGATGTTTAATACCCTTCTAGCCCCTCCAGCTCACTCACATCGATACTAAATGAGTATAAGGCAGGTGGTAAATCATCAAGAAAAAGATATGGCAGAGGAAGACAGATAGAGAGCAATTCGGGACATAGAACGAATGCACGAAATACGTAGAGTGGACACTCTATCAAAGAACAATTGATACTACGGAGTAAAGAAGGGTGATTTTCCGAAACCAGGAATTGTGCATTAGATCACGACTAGCCTCGATCCTACGAGTTTCAATGAAAGTAAAGGAAGCAATCATCCACAAGAGGTGAAACCACCAAATCCACCGCAAAAGGCAACTGACAGGGTCCAGTCATGCATCTCTACTGTACAGAGTGTACAACATGAATAATGTCTGACGTGAATGAAGCATTTTGTGGGTTTAGCCCGCTGTGGGACTTGACTGAAATCCTTCGCGGACGTCGGCATCTTTTTATATCCTGCCACTCCATCCCCTGTCGACGGGGCAAGCTGCATAAGTGAGTTCCACTACTACCCACCGCGGTTTATGGTACTCCTCACCGACATGTACGGAGTACTTTGTGCAAAAATGACAGACTGGATTAACTGGCCTAGGGCCATTCACATCCTCCTACGGTTAAGTTGGTGGAGACCATGCATTGCTGGTGTGTCCGGAGGTATGTTGTATTCATGGGATTTCCTTTTTGGTAAGCATCGATGTATGTTGTACTTCTAACTTTTTGTGCAAGTAGATCTATTGATGTTATTTCAGTCTAAATAATGAGCATACACTACCCCGTATTTCTGTATGCACAACAGCAATAATCGCTTTGGAAAGAGGACTATTGTCGATCGCATGGCACACGGGCCAGGAGTGAAAGTCCTGGTACGGCCCGTATTACTAGAGGGGATCTACCCAATAGTCTCTCTATTTGCTACTTACCGCCACGATGTATAAAGTAAAACCTCCGTATATACGGGGTGCACAAGAGCACAGAAGATGCTCACGTAGATCGCCAGCCTCCCGGGTCGCGGAATTCGGAGATCTCGGTGGTGATCATTACGCTATTTATTACCGAAGTCATAGGGTACTTAGGGTATGATTTGAGTGATTTTAACCACAATGAACTACGCTAATGATCGATAGGCTAAGGCCATAAGGTTTTTATGTTATTGTCTTCACCAAAATAGGGAATTTGACCCCTTAGTCGAATCTTCAAATTTGACAGGCTTTGTATGTGCATGTCCACGGCTCGGAACAAAACGCTAGGGCGAGTATATACTTTCCACAAGAGTGAAATTGGATTATTGATAGATTGATTGGCGTATGTCTTAGACCCGTTTGGGTTGTTATCGCACGAGATACTTCATTTTTATACTGTATGTATATCTTGTATGCGAAGGAATGTGGAGTTGATATATATGATTCAGGCTCCAATCTGAGCCGGGAGCTCGGCATGCGGCTGCCGCTTGAGTAACCGGATATACTCCGTTCCCCTTAGTGGAGGCTATAATAATCCAGCTACTACTACTCCGTACTAGTTATATGGTTGATTCCGAGGAGTAAAACAAGGTTAAGGGGGTTTACCCGGATTCCACCGACAGAGAAGGTAATGGAACAATGGCCGGCGAACTAAGTTTTTTTTAGCGGACCATCTAAGCTTTCATCTCATTCGAGTATGTATGTATATGCAATTTTTAACCAAACGCAGGCCTTGGCCTACAAACAATGTGGTTGCTGGAATTTGGATCGACAGTGGGCGGGGCGAGGAGGATAAGACGTGGGAAGAAATCCGGTTGGAATAGAATGGGACATGGCGCTAAGTGTGTTTTAACTCCGGGAGGTTTCCACAATATCCAAGGAAATATAGTATGTCCAGCATGTTCTGTACGGAGTACACCGTTTAGGATACCTAACTACCTAACTAGGTATCAGGGGGTATTACTAAGCTGTCAACCAGAATCGGGTGTAACATAAAATTGGATACTCTCAATTACCCCTGAGGAATACTCCGTACATGAGACACACTTCGGAAAATGTGCGCATTACCTTGTGGACTTTCCCGCCTTTCACTCGGGGCCAAGATTCCTTCCTTGGCGGGTTACGATTGCCAACTCCACGATCGCTGCGGCTCTAAACCAGACCATGGTGCGTAATCATCCTTTCAGCGTTCTACTTTATTGATCCTATCATCCACTAGAGGGGCAAGTCCCCACTAGTCCGTCCTAGCCGGAATCATACTGGAACATGAACTTGTCTCCTTTATCCTGTCTATCCTGTCTATCCTGTCTATCGTGTCTATCCTGTCTATCCAGTCTATCGGCATAAATATAGTTAAATTAAACCGGCAATAGGGAACCAAACAAAGGTCTGCTACCCGTGTGACCTCCACAATCGATGAAATTTTACGTTCAGTCCGGTTGACTCCATTAAAAACCGGTGATTTTCTCTTGTGGTTGGAGAATCAAGAGGCGGATCGAAGCTTAACCTGGCCCAATCGCATGTCTAAGAGGTTTAAGTGTCGTATAATCCTTCTGTTTTTTTTTTTTTTTTTTTTTTTTGACGTTTAACACTTTTCTCCCGTATCCGCATTCGGCATATTCTCTGCGGGGTGGATTACACATAAAATCATTTCTTCATACGGAGGAATACGGAGTACTTGTTGGAGTCACCTCCGGTCCACCCTGCCCCTGGTCGCCCACATTATGCTTTGTACTTTGTGTACTTTGTGTTCTTTTTCTTTTGTTGATTTGAATGGTAATGAACATGATATATCCCCCACTGATCAGTTAATTTTATATTATAAGTGCCTCTGAGCGGTTCGGGAAAGAGTCCGGTGGCTTTTATAGAACATTCTGGGGAAATTCTTCCGACACAGAGTACAAAAAGTACTCTGTACAAAGAATAAACTTGCCTTAATTAACCCCACTAACCCTGCTAGTGTTCCAGAAGCCTCGCCCCTGAACATAGTGTAGTACTAGCGATCTGAGCCCCTTGATAATGGGCCAACGTACGCTTTGGCCCTGAGACGGAGAATACGGGGTGCGTGGGATCTGGATGAATTTTGTGTCTTCTTATGCAAAAAAAAAAAACGGGGGTGTGTCTTTTTAGATGTAGTAACGTTTCTAGATGGCGAATGCCCTTCTCTAGTTTGTACTTTTGTATGCAACTATGTAGACAGTTCGCCTTGTCTCTCGAGTGGAACTGGTACGGAGTAGACTAACTATACTAAGGTTTCCGGCCGTTTTATTCCACAATCTTGTGGCGAACCTGTGTCCATTTATCCACTTGAGCGTCACATATGGCCTAAAGGTAGGCTAAATAGGGTAAGTGGGGTACAATATCCGTTGGTATACAGGGATTCACGGCTCTGGGCCGTGAGTTATTATGGAGATCGCACTCTTGTTTCCCAAGTTGCCCATATTTCCCACGGACTATTCCACTCTTCAAACTTGTCGTGGGTCACCCTCATTGACGCCTGTAGGTTGAAGTCTCATTATTCTGTCCTTGCCTATCAAATTTTGAGTTCAATGAGTCCAGGTAGTTTGGGTGCTGCGCTGTTTCTTGTTCCTTTCTCACTGCATCCGGCTTTCAACTTTCATGCCTTGTGGACTTTCCTTCTCCCCGAGCTATTCTTTATATTCCCTTGTGGGCAGTTCGAGGGGTAGGTAGTGTTTAAGCATATTCAGCTTCTCATTTCTTGGCACTCGCATCGGCCTTATATATCACTTTTCGTTGCCCGTCGATCAAATTCTGGACCCCAGGAACGTCATCTTGCAGCCTTGGATTTTACCAATTCAACCAGACAATGATAGCAGACTCTGGAAACTGAAGCGAACCGACAAGACACTCCACCATGTCAGCACTCATCCTCATGGGCTTGATGCCTAGAAACAATGAGCACTCATTGGCAGCTCGATTGACCAGCTCCCCCGAACTTGATATCGACCCTCTTCCAGACTGGCATCGACGAGGTCTAATAGCAATCGCAGTAATGGCCTTCCTATCTCTCATTGCAACATCAATACTCCTCAGTTTCATCACCTATCGACTTTTTTTTCTGGCGCGGCAGCTATACACGTTACATCGGTTACAACCAGTACATCATTCTTATTTACAACCTTGTTCTGGCCGATTTCCAACAGTCGCTTGCATTTATTATCTGTTTACGATGGATTCTGAAAAACAAAATCGAATCTGGTTCCGCCGGATGCTTTCTCCAAGGGCTATGGCTGCAAATTGGAGACCCCGGTAGTGGTCTTTTCGTGCTTGCCATCGCCTTCCACACATTCCTTTTAGTCGTCTGGGGACGCAAGATGTCCTACAGGTTCTTCGTCTCTTTTGTCGTTGGCGTCTGGGCCTTCGTGGCTATAATGGTAACCATCCCATTATCAATGCATGGTGGCGATGTCTTCGTGCCTTCCGGCGCCTGGTGCTGGATCAGCGATGAATTCGAGACCACCCGTTTATGGACTCACTACATTTGGATTTTCATTGCCCAATTCGGTACAGTCATTCTCTACGCTGTAATGTACTTCCAACTACGTCGGCAGATTGCCGCCTCTGCCATCCTCGGCAACAGCCAGCTGCAGAGCCTCAAGCGCCTCCGCCGCGTCGTAGGCTACATGACCATCTACCCAACCGTCTATATCATCCTATCGTTACCGCTCGCCGCAGGCCGCATGGCCACAGCTGATGGCGACGCACCCAGTATCATATTCTTCTGTGTTTCCGGTGCCATCATCACCAGCTCCGGGCTGGTCGATGTCGTTCTATATTCTCTCACCCGCCGCAACCTAATTATCGAGTCTGAACCCAGCCAGGACCACTCCTACAACAAATTCACTGGCAGCAAGGGCAAGCGAGTCGGCGAGACTCACTTGACTACCATCACCGCCGATCCCACCCGCAAAATGGGCGGCACCTTCAACGATGACCTTGACCGCGACGGGTCAACGGATAATATCGTTTCACCCAGCACACACGGCAACCACGGCCATGATCATGAAATGACCCCGATCGGAAAGGTGTACCAAGAAACCACCATTGAGATCACCCACGAGCCTGCTTATCCTAACGAGGTGTCCAGTGAGCGCTCTAGCAAGGAGGACTTCTCCTCAACTAGGCCGTCTCATGTAGGATGGCGGAGATGAACGTTTCTCATGAACCTTGACACTTATTTTCTTTAATTTTCCGGTCATCTGAATCGTTACCATGTATATTTTCCCGTGGTGTGATGCCCTCGATACCCTATTTCTGTCACTATAACATGTATTCCTTCCTTCACGATCTCATCACTACTTCTTCATGTCTCGTTTTCCTCCGCTTCTTCTTCTTTATCTCTTTTCTTCCTCTTTCTATGTCTCCCACATTGCATCTACTTCTTTAACGGACCTTCTTTGTATATATTTTGAAAAAGGACTGACACGTTCCTCATGTGAACCATGGCTATTCACATGTGCTACTTAATGTTTTTGAATTTGAACACCCATGACTTGGTTTCGATTGAAAGAATTTCCCCGTAAATTCTCGCATCAGAAAGTGTTGGGCATAACCTAATTTTATCCAGGATACCACCAGTGACAATGATTGACCTGAGTCTAAGTCCCTTTCCCCAATAAATCCCAATCCTCACTAACAAAGCTTCTTATGTAGATAGACACGTTCAAATCCATGCTCTATTCTTCGATCCGTTTCCGCAAGCCCGAGCTTTTCATAGAACCTGATATTCTCGAACATCTTCAGATTGGTGAATAACGTTACACTGTACAGCCCCCTATTTCGAGCTTCCACTTCCGCATACTTGATTATATGATATCCGTAACCTCGACCCTGCGCTGTCGGGTTGACTACCACGTTGTCGATTCTGAGTGAGGTGGTCTGCGCGTCCTCATGAAGGTGGTAGATCCCACGATCTGGGGTTTCGGTCAAACGAAACCAGTGGCTGGACACAAACAGACCCATGTGGAGCCGGGGAATTAGTAAGGAGCCGATTTTCTCATAACTGTGGCCTTCTCAAAAACCAACTAACGAATGCGCAGTATCCTTGGGGCTGCAATAGGTTCACCGCAGAGGTTGGGATGATACCCATGGATACCGAAACGTTGTTGGGCCCCTACACGCTGGAAGCCCTTGCTGGAGGGTCGATTAGCAAGGATTGCGGAATCGCTGGTACTACTGTATCATAATTGGAGATCTCGCAACATATGACCTGACCACCTGGGGTTAATGTCAGTTATTTGAACCTCGATTCCGGACTGTGTTCCTAAATCTCTTAACCCCTGTATCATGTCAGGTTCCCAATCTTGCGCTTTCATCACACTTCCCAACAGACAAAATCCCCGAAGATTAGGTGTGTGTCTCTTCCAATTTTGAAGCCATGATCGAATAGCCCCCAAAAGGTAGTCAGTCTCCCATTGCCACATCCATTGTTCGTTTAAACATAAGCCGTCGGTTAAAGTCAGCCATTCAAGACTGGCAGGAAGCGCAACTGCCAAATGATTTGCTTTTGACGCCGAGGGAGAAAATCCAAGCAGAAACGGAATCGGGACCTTCAATCTTTTCAAGTTGTCAAGTCCTCTAAAGACCTTGAATGATCCACTGAATTGGACCTCTGGCACTCCAAGGTCGGCTTTATAGCCTTCTGATCCGGCTGTAATAGTCAGGTCTGTCAAAGTCTCTTTAACATGAGATAGACCCGTGGCGATTTGGTCCAAATCGATGATATCGGTGACGGAATCATCTCTCAGATCTCGGCGGTAGTACCAGTCCCATTTAAGCTTCTGAAGCCTGGGCGTGACCGATAAGACTTGGCCAAGATGCCTTTCACGCAACATAGCCAAGTCGAGGGTTTTTAGCCCCCGTGGATTTGGTGGACTCTTTCCGGTCCATGCGAAAGTAGCAGGGTTATCGACCAAAGCCCTTATTTATTTGACTGATGGTAGGTAGAAGAGAGGGAGGATGTCTTGTGTGTTTCTCGTTTGCGTTTTCCTGCGAATATCGTAGTGAAGGCAGGCAGAATCTCCGGACACATCTTCAAGATATGTGAAAGAACTGAGATGGCTATTTGTGGACTCCTCGCAGAGTGCCGACCGGAACATCATGCCCCTGAGGCGGGTCTCTCGGTTGTAATTTTTGTCAAGGAAGAGACGTTTCAGATTGTGGAGTTGTGATATAAAAAGAGTGGTAAACGCGTCCATCGATCCGGCGCGTAGCTCTTGGATCCATTCTTCAGCATATGGAACATTGATCCTTGCAACAAGCCCCGCTAGCTCATTCACGACAAGTGCTGTAACTGGTATTTTGGGGCTTGCGTTTCCTGGGTCATCTACGCCCTCGTCGAAACTGTCACCATCGAGGACCACATCGTGGACATAAGTTGCGAGCTCGGGCCTCTGAACGATGCTTCGCAAGAATTGAGCGATTGGAGGGTGCTGGGAGTCTGACCACGTCCATCGAATGTGGGCGTAGAGAAATGGCTCAGCAGGATATCGTAAGTCCCTATGCGTAAGGCAGACAGCGGCAAGATGGCCGTGCGATAGGGACGCAAATATAATGCGAAGAATCTCTGTAGACGTCGAGAGAAGGGACGCCATTTTTTCAAACGGGGAGTGTCGAGGTCGAGAAAAGGCGCCAACACAGAGGGCTGCAGGGTGCTAGAGAATTATACCGTACTTCGTTCGGGGTACCAAGATTTATAGTGGCCAGGGTTCAGAACCCCTTTTGTAGGTGGGATTTGATGCCTAAGTGCCTCACTTAGCACCGCTTTTTACACCGCTCTCCATATTTTTGGTCAAAAATGAAGCTTTTCATCTGCACACAAATGGCAGTACCTCCATGTTTTGTGGCGGTTATAAATGTCAACACAATAAAGAGGATTTGACAGATCAGGGGCTTTGTCTATGTATGGTAGGAATTGACTTAAATGGAGAGGAAACCATAAGAATCAAATCATCTATAAAGGGGGTTTTGAACCCTGGCCACTATAAGTCTTGGTACTACGTCACCGCTTCTGCCATAATAGGGGCGCAGCCTGGAAGGAACTGAACTTTCTCCTCTGCTTCCTTAACGACATTAAGGTTCCGAATATAACAAGCTCATCGAATCATGCCTGACGAACTGCCAATGCCCGATCCTAGAACTGTCGGAACAATTGATGTATATACCTAAAGTTATTGGTGGATCGTGGACAATGAAGGTGAATTTAGGCTCTTCGGGTGCCACTTTTTACGATCGGATAGCTTTCCGGGGCTGCGACCTTGATCAGACATCCATGGGACGGTGATGACAGAACTGTTCTCATTGGCGGCACCACGACGGGTATAATGGCAATATTGTTGCAATAATATTCAATTAGGATGAGTGGAGCTTTTAAGAAAATGAGGTTGAGGTGAGATTTAGGTGTCACTACACTTGCAGTAGCTAACTACTATGTTTACTCAATAAATAAGGCATCCAGTCACTTTGTACCCAGTCAATTGGTTTCTATTACGCATGATTCTAGCTCATGAATGTGCTTTATGTTATTGTGGCCAGACCCAAATTCAGCGACAGTGGGCCCGCTATATGCTTTCCGGGGTTATGAGAGAATGGTCTTCGGGATTTGCTCTCAATGACTCCAATTGCTGGAAATGACACAGGGAAAAACACATTGGTAGTGATGTCATGAAGCTGTCAGAAAATATATATATGCTTGACTTTCGCCAGCCAAGTTCGAGTTGCCTCAAACTGAACTTTCATTCCCCTTTATCTCCCCAGTGTTCTATAATTGACTTATCATGGCGGATATTTGGGCCCCTGCTCCAGAACCAGATACCGAGTTGGGACGTTACCGCGTTCTCTCCTCTACGGCTGGGATTCGTGTCTCCCCTCTGCAACTCGGAGCCATGTCCATTGGCGATACGTGGTCGGAAGTAATGGGTTCCATGAGCAAAGAGGAGTCCTTTAAACTTCTCGACGCATTCTATGGAGCCGGCGGAAATTTTATTGATACAGCAAACAACTACCAGAACGAGCAATCCGAGACCTGGATCGGGGAATGGATCGCCGAACGCAAGAACCGCGATCAATTGGTGATTGCGACCAAGTTCACCACAGACTTTCGGTCGTATAAGCTCGGCAAGGGAAATGCCCCGAACCATTGCGGCAACCACAGACGAAGCCTCCACATGAGTGTTCGGGATTCACTGGAGAAGCTGCAAACTGATTGGATTGATATCCTGTATCTCCACTGGTGGGATCATACCACCTCAATCGAAGAGGTTATGGACAGTCTTCATATCCTTGTGGAACAAGGGAAGGTACTCTACCTGGGTATCTCGTATACGCCGGCGTGGGTTGTGTCTGCAGCAAACGTGTATGCTCGATCGCACGGAAAGACACCATTCAGCATCTACCAGGGTAGATGGAATGTCATGCTCCGTGACTTTGAACGGGACATCATCCCCATGGCGCGCTATTTTGGAATGGCACTTGCACCCTGGGATGTTATGGGCGGAGGAAAATTCAAAACAAAGGAGGAAATTGATCACCGGAAAGCTCAGGGACAGGGCCTCCGTAGCATGTTAGGTGCGGAGCAAAGCGAAGAAGAAGCCGCTATGAGTGCTGCACTTTTCGAGGTGGCCAAGCAGAACGGGATTAAATCCCTCACTTCGGTTGCTATAGCATACGTGATGGCGAAAGCACCAAATGTGTTTCCTCTTGTTGGCGGCCGCAAAGTTGAACATCTCAAGGAAAACATCGGGGCGCTCAGTATCCGATTGACAGCGAAGCAAATGGAATACCTTGAGAGCAAAAAGCCATTCGACGTTGGCTTCCCAGGCAACTTTATCGGCCCAGATCCTAAGGTGACTGGGAAAACGTCCACACTGATGGCTACGAATGCCCAGTATTCATTTGTGCAGACACCCAAGTCTATCACCAGCCCAGAATAAAGGAGGTGGTACTGACCAACAGCCAGTCATGTGTACATTATTATGCATTAGTTAGCAATAAATTATAAGGGGAAAACAACACAAAAATTATGCGGGCGATGATACATAAACACCGGCTATTGCGAATATGTGATATCTTCTTTCGTCCAAACAAAACACGGAAGATGGATGATCCTGGAATGTGAGGCTGGGGGGTACGCAGATTATCAGGCCTTCCAGCTCGAATTATGATTTAGAGAATTTAGAATAATGATGTGTATCAAATTATTCAATACAAAATATAAACGCGATCGTTCCAGTGCGGCGGTCGTACGTACTTGATTCTCACCCAATCATCTCACCTACATTGTGTCACTTTGTCTCACCCCTAACATGATACGACCATAGTATAAAGAATAAAGAGAGCCTGCCTTGAGTCCAGAAGCGAAACGAGCTGGTGTCGAACGATTATCTGTTGTGGTGGCCTTAGGCCCCACATTGATGCCTCAGACATCAACCCTCAGGATTGTAGTTATCTAGCAGTTTCTCTCCGTCCATAGTAATCAACTCTCGCCCTCTCTACTTTCCAGACCCTACATTCCGTAGTCTGTCTAACATTATCCCATGCATGCATGTTTGCCATTTGCATGTTGGTTATTTGCTACAGACTGAGCCTTTTGTTTGCTATTTGCTAGCTTGTTTGCTACAGATTGAGCATGGTTTAGATGATTTAGCAGGGTATATAAACCCCTGCAATCAATTAATGATTCTTCCTCTTCTTTCTCCCCACAGTAGTACTATCCACTACAACAGCTGGGACCAGTACCAGATTCGCTACGAGTGGCACCGTGGCGAACTGGCACTAGGCATCGAGAGGCCAATCACTCGATCCCTACCCGGGATCAATGACCTGAAGGTCCCGGACTTCTATTGGCATCGTTTCTGGAAGACAGGACCGGAGAGAGCGTGGGAGACGGCGGATATGAATTTCCTGAAGAAGATGCTTCAGGATTATGACATGAACTTCAAGGAGTAAGTTTTTCAAACTTCTCTCACTTTCATTTCACTTTCATTTCACTTTCACCTCAATTTCACCTCAATTTTACTAACAGTTTTCACAGGCGTTGGATCGACTTGTCTCAGGGAGTCGATCGAGGGAATGACAGTCTTGCCGGGTCCGGGATCGCAGGGTGCCTGACGGGAAAGGGCATCCCATTTGTGACCACCCACGGGGGGGCCCGTATCTGGCACGGAAGCCCTGTCGTTGCAAGGCCTGCCTCTCGATCGAATTGTTGATATCTCTCATGTATCACATTATCTGTACTCTCCATAGTAGTAGTCTAGTTCTCTCCTTTCCTTCATAACTTCTACATACACTCCACAATACAATACATTGTGCCTTTTCATGATCTCATCTAGTAGACTTTAACACGAATAGAGGACGTCGCGTCGATTACGCCTTGTTTGAGCCACAGGCCACATGCCAGCTTCAGTAATCATCTCAGCTTAGTGGTGATGAAACGGGTGATTGCTAGTTCTCGGTCAAGCGACTCTGGGAGCCGTTTGAAAGGGACTTCCTTGCTGGACTAGGCTCGATTCTCTACACATTCCCCTTCTATATTGTGCTTGTCTCACAAAAGAGAGCACCGGAACTAGACCAGTCTCTTCTTGAGGTTGTAGGCGAGATGCTTTCCATACCAGTTGAAGTAATCATTCTCCGTGATCATTTAGTAAATTCCGGAACATCTCGTATTTGGAAAGGAAGTCTATCACAAGCAACCTCTGTCGGCATTAAAGCTTTCATATCTTGGATATATATTTTGACTTATTTATTCACAAGTAGCTGTTGAATTAATTATCCCCTGTACTCTTTCTCTTCCTTCACAACAACCTAGTCCGCACGTTTGACATCCACGGCTGGGCCGGAATACTCTTTCCGCCCCTTGATGACATACATGATGAGACTAAGAATGAAGACCGCCCCAAAGATTACCACACTCCAGTTGAAATTTTCAGCAGTGACTGGGAGCTCACCTGGCCAGAATGACCAAAACATCGCGAAAACGGAGTAACACAGACCAATGACGTTTATAGCCAACCCCCAGTTCCGGCCCATATCCCACCGACCAACTGGCATGGTATCCGGGTGCCAGATCTTTCGCCAGATCATACAGGTGATTGAGATCACGTAGGTGTACATCAAGGCAGCGGTGTTGAGAGAGATGATGGCGTTGAATGCAGTATCCGAGCCGATGTTGATCAGAGAAAGCAAGCAGCTGAACATGCAAGATAGGGCAATAGCATTGACAGGAATTTTGCGCTTAGGATCAATTTTGGAAATCCATTTAGAACAGGGAAGACCCTTGTCACGAGCAAAAGCCCAAGTTTGGCGAGAAGTGGAGGCATTGAACATAATATTGCTGAAAATGACGGGTAACAAGATGATGGCTGTTAACCCGTTGACTCCTGCGGTATTGGTAGCCTGCTTGAATACGTAGAGGAAGGGGAATCCGGTGACATCGTTAAGAGAATCTTCAACGGACGGAGTGGCGAAGAGGTAGGCAATCAGCAAGATAGCTGCCATAATTCCATTAGAGAAATATCCCCAAGCCATAGCCCGTGGTACGTTCCGGCCAGCGTCCTTAATTTCTTCTGACATATGTGCGCACGCATCGGAACCTAAGTGGTAGTTAGTCTCTTTTCCATAGAATTTTATCTGTGTGAATAACACAAGTGGAACTTACTAAGACAGCCATAGATAGCTGAGATTTGTCCAACCATCACACTCACTCCCATTGTAGGTAACCCTCCCAGATTTTTCCAATCCTTAACGAAAACATCTTCAGCAGATCGATGAGGGGACATAGCCCACAGAACGATCAGGATCACTGCCCAGCAAAGGACGTGGAGAATCATCAAGATGTTACTTAACATCGGCATCAGATCGGCCGCATACACATTAAAAATATATGATACCAGAACCATTGCGAACACAAGTAGAGTCCCTTGCCAGCCTTGAGGATCGTAATCCGGATTGCGAACGCTGATCAATCCCTGGATAATGGTGCCAGTGAGGAAGGACCCAGAAGCTGTTCCGGCTTGCCATGCCAGTACAGACATCCAGCCAGTGACGTAGCTGAGGAACTTTTGGTATCGAGGGGAGCAAAACTCTGATACCCAATGGTATTGGCCTCCATCGGTAGGTGCGATCGAAGCCATTTCCGACAACGACATAATAATGAACCCGAATCCGATAAACGTCCAAATGTATGACCAGAACATGCCTGCTAGGCCTCCATTCTCCAATCCCTGGTAGTCCGAACTGGAAGTAGTTAATTCGTTTGTCCTGTATCCCTGTCGCTTAGAGAAAGGATAGTCCAATAAGCTCACATGATCAGATATTCCCAAGTGGCTTGCAAGACTGATGCGAAGCTCAATGCAGCGAGAGGTCGCATGTTTCTCTGAATTAAAGTCGCAGAATATTAGATATGCATGGGATACATACCCGGACAAGCGGGTAAACGAACCTTGAACTCCTGAACTTTTCCCATACGATGCATTTCATCGTCGTCCAGGGTTGTCCCGCCTTTTTGGGACGCCTCTAGATTCCTATGATCTATACCCATATCCAGCGTCTCCATCGCGGTCGCTTTAATTGAGGTTTCCATGATGCGATGAATGGGCAAAGGAGTGACAGAGATAGAATTAGGTTCTCAAGGATTAAGGGGGCCGTGGGAGTAAAGTATCAAATTTTACCTCGCATGGAGGGCCGGAATACCCGTGGGATAATGGATCCCTTACATTGTAACCCTGTGCCTCGTGCTGCCCTGTGCTGCCCCACCGAGGGGAACTCATTTTGGCTAATAACTATTTAGTTGTCGGCGTGTTTCGATTTAAGATCACTACATAATTTGAACCTCTTAACTATAGGGGCCTAGAGCGGCTTTTGTTTCAGAGAGAGGAATCCTTTTTGGCACTAGACTAGGGTTACATGAGCGAATTCCCTTTTGAGGCTTTACTAAGTGGGGAATATACATTGACTACAATGTATGAAGTAACAATGTTAGTTTAGCAGAATGTCGAAAGTACGAAAGTCCATCAAGACACTAGTTATTATGGGGCTATCCAAGGTCATAATATCATGGAATGATGTTCTCCGGCGACCACATACTCACCTGGGCATTAGCTTGACTTATGCCAAGCCTGTGTTTTTGATTGGGACGGGAGCGGGTAGATAAAGTCTTTTCCACAGATGTCCCGTGCGTATAAAAACATTGTTTTGCGTTCACTCATTCGATACAACATACATAGGTTGTCGCTCACACTGGCACAGGTCGACAAATTTTTTCAAAGTCAACTTGGAGACTATTTTAAGAAGGAATGGGGGGACGCGTCACCTCAATGAGGAAATCAAATCGTGATTGACGCCCTGGACTCCTTTTGGCTTCTAGCGCCCTGCTAGCCTTGATATAGCCCGACAAGGATTATAAGCCTTGCAAACCATGCCACCCGGTTATTTCTCTACCTCCGGTCATGTTTGGTGCTACTGTGTCGCACCGAGTTCTAGTTGATGGGGATTAGTTACCGTAGCCAAATTAAAGTGGTAGCTTGGCACAATTCCTAACCCCCGTCAACTAGGTGCCCGTGGCGCACTAGGAGCCCTCATATGGTCGATTGAATAAATTCGGCGGCAATAAACCCTGCATTAGTAGCGAACAAGGGCTGACTGCTGAAGGTTTTTTTTTTTTTTTTTTTGGTCATTCGGCCCCAACAATTTCCCATTCGACGATCTGTGTTCCTCCCGATGGAATAATTGAAAATGACTTTAACCCTCCCTATCATATTTCAAATGTGAAGATTTCTGATCTCGTTTTTTTTTCCCGTCGATGTTTACACGGCTTCTTGCTTGTCATGTCGGCTACTTCGACCACATGGCCTTCGGGCGTGAGCCCTCCTCTTACGACGGATAATGAGTACAATCATAGCGGACTGGTTGTGGTCATCACCGCGGTCAACTTGTGTCTGGTTTTGCTTTCTCTCGCAGCGCGCACCTTCTCTTACCATCGGAATAGACTACAGCGAGATGATTACGCATTTGGGGCTCTCGTGGTACAGTATTATTCACCCCATTGTAAACTTACAATGCTTGAGCTTCTGGCCTTTGGACTAACAAATTCATAGCTTGCAGCAATTGCCCAAATTATAATTGTGTTTTGCCAGGTCCACTATGGGTGGGGAACTCTGATCGACGGTATCGACACCACAAGCAAAGGACAAATGTTGAAGGTAAGCCGTTGTGATTGAATTCAAAGATTTTGACATATTTAACATTACGAAGATAGTATATGCTGCGGATATCTTCTCCATTGTCGTGCTCGGCCTTTCAAAGATGACAGCCTGCATGTTCTATGAGGGCCTATTCTCTCAGATACAACGTCGGATTTCCTACGCCATGCTTCCGGTAATGGTGGCGTGGACAATACTATCCATCTTTCTGTTGGGAATTCGGTGCTCTTCTAATCCCTGGTTCGATATCAGCGATATTGAGTGCAGTGGATTGGTATGACTTGTCCCTACCGCAGATGAGTATAAGCACTGACAAAACTACAGCGGACCCGCTGGGAAGTCATTACAGCCCTCGACATTTGCACCGAGATTTTACTTCTTGTGTACGCTGCACTTGCAATCCGTCAAGTCAGAATATCGACAAAGAAAAAGATTGTGGTTTTCTGCGCTCTCGAGAGTCGGATTTTGTAAGTTCATTCACTGCACGATTGCTTTAAGAACTCTTTTGTTAACACCATCATAACTGGATAGGCTCATCCCCATCGCGGCAGTTCGTCTGCACTTCATCCTAGTGCAACTCTCCTCCGAAGATCCAACTCTCATCGGGTCCTATGCCACGGTATCAACGGAGACATACATAGGGATAAGTGTCACCTGCCTCTTGACGGCCTTTCTCAAGTCCTTCGTTGCAGTCTACGAAGATGATATTGGGATATCATACACCTATCGGGGGCCGTCAAAGTCTGGTTCTCGATCGATAAATACCGCACCGAAGGATACACTGTCTCACAGGATGTCCCGTAGTATGAGAACAGGGCCAGCAGTAAAAGGCTGGGAGCGAGAAGAGGACCCGATCATGGACTCATCCGAGGGTACTCAAGGGTTACAAATTATGAAAACTGTACAAGTAACCGTGCGAGACGAGTCAATAGAGCTATCGAACCGAATAAGAACTCCAGGTGTCTAATAAACCCTTCTTCTGGCCTATCGGATTGAATCTCGCTGACAGGAAAGTAGAATTTGACCTCGGGAGTCTGGTTGAACCTTGGAAGGCCGAAGATAACCATGGGTATTCTACTCAGCTTATCTCTGAAAGAGGGTCCATCTAGTAATTATTTCTCAATCTCTTGATAGTTAAAGCTTGCGTAATCGTAATTGTGTGCTCCATACACAAGGGAAAGCCAAGTATCAACAGCCGAGTGGATGTTAATGCGGCCCCTATGGCCGTGGATAGACCTTGCGGTTTATTATACCTCCTTTGGATATGACGCTTGCCCAAGATGCAAATGTGATTTCCAGGATCGTGGGATGGCCTGTACTTGGTTGTGTATGTTGTCAACGGCTACACGAAAATATATGCAATGCGGCAAAGGAAGAGCGGGAGATTCCTCTACATTACTGTTCGTCGTAATGTGCCGCATATCCGGGGTTAAAACACGCGTTTTATACCCCTGGAATGACGTATATCCACTCTATATGGCGTCAGCAAAGATTCGCCGGTAGCCGTGCCAAGCGCCCAACACCAGGTCCCCTGGTGTTGGTGCGCCCCAGCAGATACCCATTTTTCACCAGATACCCAATATGTATCTTTTGTATGATTTTCCCATACAAAAGGTACTTAACTAGACACCCCGTAAACATAACATGTATTTTCTCAGCACTCGAACTAGTAAGAGAAGATATAAGAAGATATATAATGTAAAGGAAGTCTATATTATTTAACCAAACCTTGGTAAGGAATATTAAGTATACTAAAATAAAAAAAGTAGTTACCTAACTAGTTATTTCTACTAACTAGTTATATAACCTTCTGACTTCATATAGTGTCATTTTAAAAGTATTATTATTCTTTTATATTAGATACTAAGAATTTCTACTACCATTAAGCTAATTAAGCTAGAACTTTTAATATATATTCGTATACTTTCTATTACTTTAGCTAGTTCGAGTGCTGAGAAAATGCATGTTATGTTTAGGGGGTGTCAAGGTACCTTTTGTATGGGCAAGTAATACAAAAGATACATAAGTTGTAGATTGGGTATCTGGTGAAAAATGGGTATCTGCTGGGGGAACGGTTGTTGGGCGCTTGGCACGGCTAAATGGACCAACCAATACATTCTGAGTACAAATGAATATTCATCAGGTCAGATAAACGTACCAATTACGCCTAATGTAGAGAGATGCGCAACATCACACATAAGTCTTGATATTTTCCATAGGCGTCGTAGATAGTTAAGTCATTGCATCTCCTGATGAGTCCGATGGTCGCACGCTAAGCCTATTTAGGTAGATCGGTTACCGAAATGGGCAATCACCAGAGCCATTCACCTACTCTTCGAAGTTTGAGTCCCATACGGCAAGGCCTAATCGTATAAAAAGGACCTTCAGATACCGCTATGGGGTGCTCCCACCTAGGGCAAGCCACGGCATAATTCCATTCAAGACGACATCGTACGCCAACTTTGGAGCATATAAAATGCTAATGGAGATGGAATGGAGAAAACACTGCGTGGATGGAGGAAGAGAAGGAGAGGAGACAGAGAGCTATCATACATGGAAGTTCTATCACATGCCATAGCAATGCCTCGGGCATCCAACAAATGCACAGCGACTACCGTATACATGGATTCAACGATATATTTCCGGACAACATCAGCCCCGGTGAACGATTGACACTCAGCTAATATATCCTATCCGCTATTTGACATCCACACTTTCATGTAGTGAGAGTCCAAATTTAGTTCATACCTTAGCCCTCTTACGCATCGTTCCTACTGCAGTATTGGCAGTCAGATGACCCAACAGAACTAGCTGGATCGGCCACACTACAACACGGTAGAGCACAAACCGCATTTGCCTGCAAAGCAATCCTTTGACGAGAAAGAAACACTGGTTGATATACACGTGCACCACGTTTATAATGGCCCCGTGGCTCCCTTGGAAAGCGACAACCCTGACTCAGAAACCCAACAAGGCACGCTCTCTCACCCTATCCTCAAAAATGGCCACGAAGTCCTCGTCACTTGGACACTAGACGAAGAATCCGTCATCATTCGCAAACTGGACTTTCTTTTCCTCCCCATATTCTCGGTCGGTCTCCCCGCTATCCTAACTTCTCGTATTTTAATATCCCGCTAAACATTCCCCTCAGCTAATGTTTACATGGATGGCCATTGATCGGACCAATGTCTCGAGTGTGCTGACTTCCACCTTCCTGTCCGACACATCTATGACGCGGGATCAGGCGAACACAGGTGTCTCTCTACTCTGGCTGGGCATTGTCTTGCTCGAGATGCCCTCTCCACTTCTCCCTTTTCCTTTTGGGAATAGCGAATTCGCGTCTTCACCGAACAGATCATCCTCCATAGGGTGGGTCCGCCCTACTGGATTCCGGCTCAAGTAGTCGTCTGGGGCTTGATCGAGGTACTGCAAATGTTTGTCACTAATGCCGGTGGCCAATACATCCTATCGACATGGTATGCACCCAACGAGATTACACAGAGCACTGCAATATTCTTCCTGGGGCCCGCGTTGGCTGGGGCCTTTGCGTCGTTAATTTCGGCCGGGGCTTTGAGGCTACACCTGCAGGGGGGATTAAGTGGATGGCAATGGTGAGTTTTTATTTTCGTGCTTCGTGTTGATGTGATTTCTGTTAACATGAGGGTAAATTGCGTAGGATATTTGTCATATATGGCGTCTCTACGATAAGTATGCACATACCAGCATCCCGTGTTGCCTGCCTAGCTAAGAAGGGATGTCGAGTCCCTTGGTTTACTTGGCTACCTCCTATGTTGTGTCCCTTTCTGTTCTCGTTATACATTGCGAATACAGTTAGAAAATGCTCGGTGATATGACTATGACCGAATGAACATTACACATTACAATGTGCCTTGTTGTTCACTTGTGGTACGTGTGTGTCTCAACCTCAGCGAACAGTGCTAACCCGACTTCGAAATGTTCTTACTGGGAGGAAAAGAGACTTCTCCCTTTTTTCAATTTTCCCCTACAACCCGCTGCCTTGAGAAAGTGGAACCCGCTTACGACAATATTCAATTCTCCCTCTCGACAGTTGGCTGCATACACATGGAAAATATGCCAAGACACCTGTCTCCCACGGGGATGACAATCTTTGGAACGGAGCTGCGGCTGACGTCAGTGTAGCAATAGTCCGATTTAAATGTCATGCAGGGTCAGACAACACCTGTCTCATATAACTACCCTCGAAGCTAATTGCGCCCAAGCGCAATAGAACCAATCTGCTGAAACTCATGCAGCCCCAAATGCATATTGTATTGCTGACAGGTTGAAGTAAGCTCGGTCGCCACTCATTATAAGCTCACTTGATTTGATCAGCGATCACTCCAATTGACCAATCACACCCAACGAACAAATACCTACCAACGGCGCTTGAGTGGGCTCCTGGGGACGATAGGGTTCTCGACTCTGATCAAAAAATGAACTCATAGCGGGCCCGACAGAGCCATGAGTCTTTCGCAATGACACAATGAGTATCTCCATTTTTCTTGTTCAATCGAATCTAATTGAACGAAAGAAAAAGAGCGGGGGTCACATAATGACATTGCAAGGGATGGGCGCTAATGACAACGCTTGTACGGAGTACAGCGCCAACCTGATGAATCGACAGCCCCCCCTTGATGAAGAGAAATAGGACGATTGACAAATTGACTGAGATCAGACCAGTCTTTCTGCAAGGCTGGTTCCTTAGATTGCCGTTCACCTGCATACATATTCGTGGTTTTGGACGATATTCAGTCTCACAACGAGGCGATCATTGTAGATCAGGGGCCTAGCGATCCGCGATAGTGGGCCAGATTGATTTTGATCGCCAATCAAGGCACTACAGCCGCAAGAATGTACTACGAATATTTGGTTAGTAGTTAGGATATGTCGTAATGTATGTAGGAGCCGGGTCTGAATATCGCAATTGTCTTATTTAAAGCGAGCACGCGCTGCCACTCGTTACTCCACTTGAATAGGTCGCTTTTCCTTTGATATCCCCTAACCATGTTGCTCTCTCGCCACGGTCTTCTGGTCCCTTCAGTTATTTCGCTTCTTCTGGCAGGAAACGCAGTCGCTGATGACGCAAGAACAAAAGCACGCGACGCGCTCCAGACTCTTCAGGGCTGGTATAACCCCAACAGTGGGATTTGGGACACCTGTGGTTGGTGGGATGGTGCGAGCTGCATGAATACAGTCGCAGATTTAGCTGCTCTTGACCCCTCGGTGATGGAGACGGCCACATATGTCTTCAACAACACATTTCATGTGGGGCCAGTGTCCAATCCCAACCCCGGACCGGAGCATAAAACTGTTTATACTCGCGACAATCAACCATCAACTTCCGTCAATGCTAGCCAGTGGCTCGATCAGGCTTATGACGATGATGCATGGTGGGCCCTTGCCTGGATTGCCGCCTACGATGTCACAAAACAGGCAACATATCTGGAACTGGCCGAGGGAATCTTTGAGAGCTTGGTATGTATAGTCTCGGGTCTATAGTTATTCTGACGTGTAATAATCCTTTTCAGGCCAACGCATGGGGCACTAACTGTGGAGGTGGTGGTCTTCCTTGGAACCCGACCAGCACTTACGTCAATGCAATTACAAACGAGTTATTTCTCTCCGTCGCAGCACACCTTGCAAACCGAGTCCCTGATAGAAAACAATATTATGTCCGCTGGGCTCAGAAGGAGTGGGACTGGTTCACGGCCCAGGCCTTCATCGGTGCAAACGGAACCATCAATGATGGTCTTCTAGACAATTGCCAGTCCAACGGAGATACTGTGTAAGCATTTCGTTTTCCGATTATCTTTCTTTTGGCTCACCTTCGGCAGATGGTCATATAATCAAGGGGTTGTCCTTGGCGGACTAGTTGAATTAAACAGAGCGGCACCCAATGATAAATACCTACCTGCAGCCAACAAGATTGCAAATGCAGCTATTGCGACATTGGCCGACTCGAATAATGTTATCCATGAATTCTGTGAGCCGCAATGCCTTCCAGATCGCACACAATTTAAGGGAATTTTCATTCGCAATCTGCAGATGTTGCAGAAAGCATCCCCTAACGATATTTACCAGAAGGTGATAAGCAGCTGTGCGACCAGCATCTGGGATAATGATCGGAATGAAAAGGGACAGCTCGGCGTCAACTGGGCTGGTCCTATCCAGGCAGTGGTGGATGCGTCGACACATAGCTCGGCCCTCGATGCATTGGTCGCGGCAGTTGCTGTATTGGGTGCCTAATGATGAAATCCAGAGCCATTTCATATTCTTTAGGCTATTAATGTTCACAGGTTTCAACAGATTTCATGTATATATTCATATCTTCGTGCTGTATATATATTAATTATCAGCGCAACATTTATTGTTCAATCTCCTTCTCGCTTTCTAGTATGTGTGTGCTCGCTTGGTCCAGAGAGCCTGTGGGGGCAGCCTGGGGTATTTTATAGCTGGACCGGATAACCGATGTGGGAACTAATTCCAACTTTCCCAGAGTTGCACTGTCTTTATTCTGTGCCCACACAGTAAATGCTATATATATGATTATCGCCCTCGTGGTTAAGAATACCCTCTGAGATGCAGAAAGCTGTTTGGGGGCCGAGATTAAATTAAAAAAAATTAGAGTTGGTAGATTCCCGGTTGGAGCCGTGGAACCATTGGCTGAACCAAACATTGGAAGGAACACATACTGTATTTTCCAGATTGATATCCGTTGACAAATAGTTGACATATGTAGTTGTTGCCTCGAGTATTATCCTTTGTTTTATTCTGAATGGAGTTGTTAAACACCACGCTCATTGGATGCCCAGCCAGAAGGATGCAGGAAAGAATCCGACGACTGCGTACGATAAACCATCTGTGTGATTGGGTTTGACAAGTTCCATTTCGAGCTTGGTGGACTGGGATAATAGTATCCTTCCTGCTCGGCATCATGCCTCCCTCATTGAGAGAGCCACGGGCGAGATCCTGATGCTGCTCTCCTCCAAGGTTCCCGGCAACTTCCATAAAACCTCGGATTGCGCGTGACCCGAAATTCCATAGTTCAAAATTCCTCTTGGGAGCTTGATTGCGTCAGTACCTGGAGCCTCCTCATCTTGGCCCATGTGATCAATAAGAAGCGAGATCACATACATGCCTACTTGCGACAAGACTGGTGACAGCGACATGTTGCGGACTACCGAGGTGTTGGCACTCGATCCGACCCATGAGCCAAGGAACGTGTTACTCAATCACGCGGAATTTCAGAATCCTACGCCACCAGATACATTCAACCAGGCATTGGATTCTTGGCTATAGCATAAAAATGACCACGGTATAATAGAGACCCTGTGTGATATCCGCAGTCCACTACTTGGTGTATCCGGCTGCCGTGGATTCTGTATTGCGCTTCCTATGCCGGGTGTCCAAGCTGACTTGTCGTACGAGGCCAGAATCCCAGGAAGCGAATCAATAAACTTCCATTCCAGGTTGGACAAATCGGAAATGTCCAACTTTGGAGGGTTGTATCCGACAGTTCCCTGCAGTTTCACATTAGGTGTTCCCGGGGTGTGGAAATCTTCCCAATTGAAGCTAATGGCTTTCAGGGTTGTCGCTGGAGTAGATATGACCTCGATCTCTGTTGTGGCATTCACATTACCTATCGGTCGAAGCTGCTTGTTTATCAAATCAGCGGTGCGGATAAGATATCCGGCCTTGACATCTACTAGGCCTTTTGATGGCGATGAGTAATTTCCAATCGGACTTGATACCGGCAACTCCACCACTCAGTAGATGTATGCCTCGTTCCGCTAGAGTAGGTATACCTCAAGATCTGCTACCCGGATGATACGTCGGGCTGGTGTAACATGCCACTGTACAACCCAAATGAACCCGCGTTGTTGTCTTCTGATGCCCTCTCCTTCGAGGACAGTTGGCTTTCCAAGATGGCTAGGCAGAGCAGACTCATGTGTTTCTCCGGCCCCTCCGTAGATAATTAATACATGTGCTGACCCTGGCCCGCCCCGCCCATGTTGTTATCTCCGCGGAGGAGTAGATCAGGTCGATGCCGCCAACATCGTAATCTGTGACGTGGAATTTGGAATCAGCGTGGGGTGACTTCCTAGCTGAGCGATTTTCATATCTCCAATACTTGTCAACAGTGCGAGGGTGTATTGGGTGTTGTGAGTGGAAGTGAAGCTGGCATGTCTGACAACATGAAAATTTGTGCGCGTCCTATTCCCAAGGAGAGCAGTAACAGCTATCGAGGATGGTGCGCCGTACGTACCATTTACTCCAAGATGAGCAGTTGCGGTGAGATAAGCGGGGGAATCTTTAAGGAAGTTAGCTTTAAGTTTCTGTTCACTGTATTTCTCACGCCAGATGGCCCTTTTTTTCTGTGATGGCTGCGCCATAGCCGATGGGAACTTCGCCGCAAGCCCTGGAGGCAATCAAGCGTGACTAACAACTTAAATAGAAAACCCGAAAGGTCCACGGGTAACATATTATCTGGTTTTGTAGGTTGAAATTTGCCTACTTTGATCTCATTGAAGGAAGATCTCCTCAATTACCCGACGCATCGTCAAAACTACAACCCAACGAGACTTTCTTTCCACAAAGTGATAAAACCACACAACTTCAAATACAAAACTTTCACCCTCAATATTCCTGACGTTAACCGAAGATCAGGCTAAACCACTCCGGTCGGTTACCCCAGGTTTTACCAGGCAAATTACATCAGGGTGATATCACCTCGCCATCTCTACTTATTCCCTTATTTCAACTTCCTCGAGATCAACTTTCTCTTCGCCCTCTCCCAGGAGCACTAAATGCCAAACCACTGAACACATAATGGCCGGACATATCAAGCCGCTAATCCTACACGCCCACGCCACGGGCCCGAACCCAGTCAAGATCGCCATTGCGCTCGAGGCGCTTCACATCCCATACACGGCGAAGCAGTGGGAGTTCGGCGACGACCCCCAGAAGGGTGTTAAGGGTGCAGAGTTCCTCAAAATCAATGAGAACGGGCGCCTTCCCGCCATCGAAGATCCAAACACCGGTGTTGTCTCGTGGGAATCCGGAGCTTGCATGAACTACATCCGTCGTGTGTATGACAGTGGTAATACTATCGGTCCGTCGGGCGACTCGGCGCAAGATTTGATAGATTTCGAAAAGTGGGAGTATTTCTTGTTGTCGACGCTTGGTCCCATGACCGGACAGGCAAATTGGTTCAGGTTCGGTGTGAATTGGGAAGAAATTCCAGGATGATACTGACTCTGTATTTTTTCAGACACTTCCACCCCCAGAAGAATGAGGATGCGCTCCAGCGATACACTACGCAGACCTATCGCTGCTATGATGTCCTCGAGGGACAGTTGAAGAAGACAGGTGGTGAGAGCATTTTGCCTAGTCGCATCACTGCCGTTGATTACCATTTCGAGCCTTGGGTGCGTTTGTATTCCTTTGCTGGCCTCTCGCTTGAGAACTATCCTATGATCAAAAAGTGGCTGGGGCTCATGGCTACACGAGAGGAAGTCCAGGAAGCATACATCAGGATTCAAAGTAAAAAGTAAAAGTGCACCATGAGGATTGAGACCATACTAAAGAAATACTTGGATGAGAACCAGAAATTGTTATCCATATGGAGATCAGGGCGAATCAAAAATCACAGTGTACAATGCAATTCCTTGGAGAATAGAATATATATCACGCTATAATCCATTCTTTCACTCGTACTTTCACATAGTCACGAACAAATCCAAAATATCAAATTCTGATATTCCGAGACATGCCTATCTTTGCTTTCCCGTCACTAAAACCTTCGGGACATTGATGAGATAAAGCAGATATGCCTTTCCATTATGCGACTTGCTTGGCATCCTCCCTCCACGCACGTTGACCTGCATAGCCTGGTGCACAAGCTTAGGCTCAGGCATCTCCTTGTCACGCTGAGACCTCCACTTCACAAAATCGTCCTCTGACGAGTCATTCTTGATGTGCTTGTTTTTCTTCTCCTGCTCGTCGACGGTAACATACGGCAATGGGTCCCGTGCCGTGTACTCATTGGAAGGAGGATAATCATGACCCGTGTATAATCTCGTTTCTGGCGGGAAAGCAAGGAGGCGTTTCATCGAGCGGAAAAGTTCCCGAGAATCGCCACCTGGGAAGTCACATCTGCCACTGCCAACATCTGGATTGAACATACTGTCTCCCGTGAAAATGTTGTGCCCTATTTTGTAGCCTCCATGGTCCGGTGTATGCCCAGGCAGGTGGAGGGCGATGCTGGTCACGTCACCAATGTTGAATACTTCGTCGGGCTGGAAGAGATGGTCGAAGGCAATGTCAATTTCTTGTCTCGGGATTTGATATTTCTGTGCGAAGTGACTTTGGACGACCCTGACGTTCTCGCCGATGCAGATCTGTGCGTGAGGTTGTCCGCGGGACCAGAGAGTTTGTTGGATATAGTAGGCCGCTGAGAGGTGGTCTCCGTGGGCATGTGTCTCCAACAACATGGTGACTGTGTATCCGTTCTTGAAAACACATTCGATTAGTTCATCCGCAGATTCGGAGGTGATGAGGAAGCTTCCGGGATCATAATCCAGGACTGGGTCGATTATGGCCGCCTCTTTTCTTTCAGGACAAGCTACCACATACTGCCAAGAACAAGTCTTGGGCTCGAAGAAGGGGTGTACTCTTGGTTCCATATTGTTGGCCATGGCAAATATCAATTGAAGGAATCGCTCTCTAGGTAGAAAGGAGATTTTAAGTTAGGTCTCTTACAGTGTGCTCAGCTTGGCTGGGTGAAATTACGTATTTATAGATCATCAGTGCCACCGAGCATAAGAATCGGTACACAGGCACACAACACAAACCTCAAAAAGATTTACCTTGTTGTGGATATATTGGGTTGGTTACGGATAGGAATTATGCGAAGATCATCAAATTGAGTAGATTAATATAGTAAGGACAGTGGGAATAAGAGCTTGGTGCCCTTTAAGCTATCTACCAGATGAATTACCGGCTATGAAAATAGACCAGCAAATAGTTGTGGTTACCAAGGTGCTGCAACATCATCTGTAAACATTGAAATGATGTCTTCAACTTTCTTTCTAGCCTATTGAAATGTCTTCCTTAAATCTGTCTGTTTAGTGCTAGCCATCGACCCATTGTTTTGTCAAGCAACTGCCTTTGCAGTTGCTGACTTTTCACACATACAAAGACATCCCAGGTAAGAGAGGATTGTCCACAGGTATGGATTGGAAATTTCTTCTTGGCGGGGATTGTGATTGATTAGAAAGCAAGCGTCATTTGCTCTCCGATAGAACCGTCGCTGACAGACCATTGATCAATTTCGCTCTGGTCACTTGGCACGTCCCATCGAGCGGTTTCAAGATCAAGGGTGTGAGCGGTTTGGTTGAATCGACACTGCCAGCTCTTTACGGCCTTGCATCCAGGCTTCTGGCATAGGTGCCCCATGTAGCATTTGATTGATCGACAAGCCCCGGCCCGAGTACAGGGGTGTTGGAGGAGCATGTATCGCAAAACATCAATGATCACATTAGAGACATCACTGTGGTCGTAAGTGCAGCTCATGTCACCGCATTCTCCCGACAGATGGTAGCTATTGCAGACTTTGTGTTCCTTGGCCCGAGCGTGGTATTCATCAAACGCTTCGGGCGACGGGTGTGGATAGTATGGGTCGATGCGGTCCCCATCTTTATTGACTGGAATGAATTCTTCCGTCTTGATGTTTGGCAAAGGAAGCTTGGACCTGAGGAAATCCTCAGAGCGACCGACAACTGTAGGGGAAGACCACAACTGTTTAGGTGAATCACTTGCACTTGAGTGTTTAGGCGACGGTTGATGATTCAAGGACTGGTTCGGCATAACATGTTGTTTATTGCAGCTGTTGCCAAACTTGCAGATACCCTAGGTCGATGTGAGTGAACAACTTCTTCGCAATATCATCGTCTGCTTGGGAATAAATACCTTCTGGAAATGCTTGCAGATTGGTTTGGTGGTATTTGCACCATTGGTACCGTTTGAACCGTTAGAAACGCTGTGTGTACCGTTTCCACCGTTGAACTTCCCCACAATTGCAGATGCTGCCGGGCCTGTGGGTGGCTTGCTGTTAAGTAGAGGAGTGGACATGAATACTGAAGGCAACTCTCTGATAGGGAGATCCAAGGCCTCAAATTCACGATGGAAACCGGCAGCTTTGATGAGGGTGATACGGTCACTTCTGCCTCTATAGGGCGTCAGAAGGGAGCCGTATCCAGTGTCGTGGCAGCCGGCAAAATATATATGGCGGCACTGGTGGAGATCCACGAAGAGACGGAACATTTCTTGATTTCGCAACATATATCAGTACAGTAACAGGACTCTTCGTGTCAAATTTTCATTACCTCTGATCTTGAAATCACTGCCTTCCTTCTTCTCTGCAGCATCGACATAATCAAAAAGTTCCTGAGCGCGGGTAAATGATGAAGTAAATGGCGACATGGATCGAGCCTCGTGGCCCATAAGTCCAGCTCGAGCTAGCGCCTTCGACAAACCGAGAACGTTTGCATAGACACGAACCATGATCCGACACTGTTCAGCCTGCATTCCCATTGTCGAATGCATAAGCTCTTTAACAGAGTCGCTCAGTTCGCGGGCTGCATTAATGCCACCTTCGCTACCATGCTTGAGGAAATGCTCTTTGAACTGAACGGCTGCGTTAGTCAACTGAGTGGATACCGAGGGAAGTAAGACAGTCTCACCAGATATCCATCTCCGTCTACTAGTACAAGGACAAAGGGGTTACGGTCCTGGTTGAATGTCAGTTCTCTCTCTCTTCTCTCTCTCTCTCTCTCTTTTTTTTTTTTTTTTTGCTCTCGGGCTTTCTCTAAGTTTGTCAACTCGTACCTGGCCTCTGGCCTGTCTTTTGTATTTCTCTCGGCCTTCTTTAACCTCTTCGTAGTCGCTCTTGAGCGAAGTGTAGTCGTCTAGTAGACTCTTAAACTGGCCGAGCAAGTCCTGCAGATTGTCATGTTGTTTCTGTTGCTCTCGTGATAAGGACGCTAGATGCCCATTCAAGGAATCTATATCAGAATCCCTCAGCATCTTGTTGGAGGTACCGGGACGGCATGTGCCAGTCCCATAAACCAAGTTGATTCAAAGCAAACTGCCAGCATTCGATTGGGAATTGAGAAGAAGAAATTTGGTTTTCCAAGCTGTGAGGTGAGATGAAGAGCTATGGTGGGGAAAATGTCTGTTTGGCTTGTTGGGCGGTCAATGGCCGTTAGGCATCAGGTGACCCCTCACGGACAATGCGAAACACTAGCTGTGTCACGTGCTACATTCCCCGTAAAAATGCCAAAGGGGGATTAGCGTCAACGTGACCCGTTTGCTCACTAAGTGGTCTCACTCCTATTGGACACATCCATAGAACTCACAATTTCCATTCCTATTTTGAGTTGTTCCTAGTTTGAGACCATGGCTGAAGTTTCAAATGTTTGGCAGAGACACTGTTTTACTACCAAAAAGTGGATACGTTATCACATACGATATGATATGTATGAGCACAGGCACGTGAGCAGCTACTTCATATCGTCTCTGCCATGGAACCTTACATCTTTGAAGCTTAGAGTCCCTAGTGGTTGATTAACTGTTTAATTCGCTTGTTGCAAACAACCCCCAACGAGTTATCATGTCTAAGATGCAAACAGGACATATTGATTTGAACCAATCTTCGATTCCAGATTTTACGCCTTGGGAACATTTGATTTTGGTCGTACAATACAAATCGTTTAGGCGACCTAATCAAACGGTTCCAAACCACTTCTCCGTCCTTGCGGGTGGGCCGGTTGGACATACGTGAAGAAAAAGACGTAATCTGCACGAACTCCCATATTGGCTAACTCCGCTGTAATGGTTTCAGGTGACTGCAATAGATCAACCCTACAGGCTCGACATTATCGGACCATGAACCATGCGGCGGTCTTCTTGACAGAGCGTAGGTCTTCTGTTCCCGACGAGAGGTTTCAACAAAGGACTTTCAGCAGATGATTGTCGGAAATGCCATTGGCTCCCGTGAAAATGGCCGTGAGGCCCTTCTTGTCTCTAGAAATGCCCAAGAGGGCATGGTAGATATATTTGGGTTGAATGTGTAATATGCTGGTTTGTTGCATGTTTGGGCGAAGACTGTACATTTCATGATGCAAGTTGGCAGTTGTACTAGGTATACTTGCTATCATTACTTGTGTTGCGTGATTGCTAGTCAACTTTGCTTTGGCATTCAATATTGTTCCTTTGAATTTTGTTTCCGATCTCCATATTCACAGGGACACCCTTTACGCACTAGCAGAATCCTCTGTAGAACGAAAGTCAGCATACATCTGAGCATGTCCATGACCCCTTGCCGCGATATCCCATGCTTCTTGGACTTCATTCGGCGGGCGGTAATCCGAGGAGCGCCTCCATGTTGCTGTGCCCGAAGTTGCATCGTATTTGAAATAATGCTGACTTCCCGACGAATTGGATATGCTAATATCAAGATTCATGGAATTAAGCCGAGGCATGTATTGTGCAGCGCGTCCAGCAGCGAGATATAACTCATCCAGCTGTTTGCTCGACGGTCTACCGGACGAAAGGTGTTGTTCGCCTCTGGGTGGGTTAAAAGGGCCAAACCGTGAAGCTTTATAGCACTTTCACGCAAAGGTTTGGAGGCGACCATAACGCATATTACGTGCACGTTTGTAGCTTATGTCAATTTTGATAAGATTTGGCCAGGATGGAGTGGTGTCGTTGGCATTGGCGGGCCAGAATAATTCAGGATCGATCATGATTTGTGACAATTCAACAGTTTTTAACTGCTGAGTCAATCGGTGTAAAGCAAGGCATAGGTGTGGATTTGCTGGTGGGGGGAAGTTCATGCCGTAGCGTTGGCTTGCCTCATACTTCAGTCGTAGATGCCGCAGGGACGAAGGCCAAGTAGCACTATGGGAATCTATTTACACTGTCAGAACCTGTTCATAATTTGAAAGAATTGAACAGAGAAGGTTGGTATAACTTACCATCAAGATTATCAGATGCTGCGGCACCTCTTCTCCCACTGTCGCGGAGCTCAGCATTGATAGTATCCAGTCGTGGAAGACGAGCCACCATCTCAGATACAGATCCTGTTAAAATATTGCGGTATTGGCCATAGCCCAATATGTCCAATGAGGTAACACACTCGACGTTGGGTAGTGTTATCTCCGTCAGCTGCAGATAAGAACGTTCGTATCTCCGGTGTAGCAGCTCCTGCCTTGGGTAAGCGTAGTGTTCTTCTAGACGGGTACATTGTGCATCAAAGCTTGTCTCCGCATCCCAATCACTAGGAGACTCAGCGCAAATCTCCAGTGAGAGCTGGTGGCGATGGACATCAGGCCATGAGCTCAAAATTTCAAAGAGAGATGTTATGGCCTGTGTGAAGACCTTGCTGTTGCCATCGCGGTCATTTCGGTTTTCATAGTGGCCCCGGGCGGCAACACTATATTCTGGGAGAATAACCTTGAAATAGAGACGCCTCATATGAAAACACCGACTGGCGGAATGGGAGGAAAGAACAATCTGACGGAAGTCCTCAAGGTCTGCCGAATCGATAAGCAGACTGGCGAAGAGGAATTGCTCAACGGCGACCTGCCATTGCCGGCAGACACAGGCATATGGTGCGAGGTTAACATCCACGTAGTCGAATATGTTCCGAAGAATTTCAAGCGGCAATGTTTCAGCCATGGTGAACGAAGTGGAGGTCGATCAACAGAGCCAAGACAAGTTGTAAATGAGGCCTGGGACTAGGCGATGGGTAGTGGGAACAAACCGATTCGGGGATGGAAGATGTTGAGGTGACAACCTCACAGGATATGACCTCCTTAGCATCTGCCCCATCCACGCACCCTGTTCGCGCGTCATCGATCTTGAAATATATTATAATAAAAATATAAACAAGATATAATTTATTATACTATTATATATGAATAAATATAAGATATATTATAAGATTTTGGTGCGAGCTATGTGATGGAAGATGATGATGATCTATTCAACCTTGGAACTGCCTGAGGCTGAGCTAAAAGAGGGCCGGTCACCTGACCAAGCCACCTGACTACATTAGGATTAGGTGAGGTGATATGCTTCATACGGAAAATCACATGATTATTATATAAGCAAAGTGGTCCTTACTAGGTATCAACAGGAATCCGGTCATGGACAGGACATGTGAATGAAAGGGTGAAAGATTGTGTGTGGAGCGGCTACGGAGTACATAGGCCTCGGTTTCACACATCTACCGTTACCACCTCACCGCCTTTTTATCACCGCCTTTTTGAAGCAAATCAATTTGTACAATATAATTCAATTCAGATTCAATTCAGATTCAACTCATATTCAATTTAGATTCAATTTAGATTCAACTTACTTTAGAAGTCCCTACACGCATTTTAGAAGGCATAGGTATTCAATTAGTTTTTGTAAAGTAATTGTGGATCTAGATTACTGCTGGCAATATGAACCAATGAGAGAGTTACTTAGTCGCCTGTACACATAGGCGAAGATCATTGGCCACCCCCACGTTTATAAGTCCGACTCCCGCTGTTTCCCCAGATTTAGATTAATTCCATGCTAGCTATTACAACCTTCGTAATGAGATACATACTCTTTTCTTTGAGCACCCTAGTGTTCTATACCATATTCTATTTTGCCTCCATCAATGGCCTCGATGCACTAGCCCGCAAATCCATTGAATCCGGCAAACTTCCAACCATTGATATTGATGCACCTTTGCGCACAGTATACACGGGAATCGATGCAGTCGACCATGTGCTGGCTCTTTTGACCACATTTTTCTACCCAGCACTCGATGGCAACAATCCTGGTCTGCTGCTTCATGGTGTTGGGTTTAGTGGTACATTCGGCGCAACCTGGACTCTGATCGTCTTGGAATCCTGGAGAAAGGGCAATGCTGGCACATTAGCCGCTTAGTACGTTACACCCACAGACTAGCATCTTGATGTTAAAGTAAAACTCATTAATCAATTTAGCCCGACTATATTTGGCCTCATCGCTCAAGTATTCACCTTTGCCTTTGGGATCCCATTGACATGTGGTCTTCAGCTCGGCAGCTCGATCACTGCGTGTCGCCCTCATGCGGATAATATCCGCATCCCGCGAGCAGTTCTCGCGACTCTGCCGTTGATCTATGTTGTCGGGTACATGATGCCGACCGTGGCAATGACGTTACCCGCTCCCTCTGTTATTTCTGTGGACTTAAAGCAGATCGCCATTGCCATCTGGCACCCCTGGCCGGCATACGTATCAATTATGACAACGGTCGCCTACTTTACTCTGTCTCCTTTCTACTTAAACAACCACCGGGCATCCATGTCTAGCTTGCGCTGGGTCTACGCATTTGCATTTGCCAATGCGTCTCTGTCACACATTGTGTCATGGGTCATCTCTCTAGCGACTGTCATGGTGCCGGTTCTGTTTGAAGATCGCTTCCTAGACTCCCTTCACCCGGCCAATGTTTTCTTGGTACCTCTTCCTTGGTCTGGGCTGACTGTTGATAATGTTGGCGACGGTGTCCATGCTTTCCTCCAATGGGACTATGCCATTGGTTCTGCGGGCGTTTTGATTTGGGCTACCTCATTGTACACTGTCGCTCACAAGCACCTGCTGAACACTGTCTCTTGGCCTAGTCTACTAGCCAAGATTGCTCTGTTGACGGTTTTTGCTGGCCCCGCAGGCGCTGCGGTGGAGTTGATCTGGGAGAGAGATGAACTCGTGTTTACCAAGACTGATGGTAGCAAAGAGCAGGTTTCGAAAACCAAGAAGTCTACCTGATGGGATATTACTTGGGGAATGATGAAATTCATCTTTTGGGCTATCAATGCTGATGAAATATTTGTGCATTCATAAACTGATCTTGTATATCTACAATGGGTTCGTACCATTCCACATGCAAAATCATCCGCGCAATTTGTTCAAAAAAAAGAAAGTAATATATTGTCACATTAGATGGACGCGGACGGTGGTTTGTGGTCTGCCAATATTTCATAAATCGCTTCGATGTAAGCCTTGGCATTGTCATTGCCCACGATACCTGATCCCATTTTGTTCATCGTATAAGAAATAGTCATGCGATGATCTAGATCCATGACCACCATAGATCCACCCCAACCTCCCCAGAAGCAAATGTTTCCTTCGGGGATGAAGGTGATAGATTCCGGCACCGGCAGGCCAACTCCCAGGCCGAATCGAATGTGGAACAACAACATCTGATCGACACCGCTAACCCGCTCCTGGAGCATCTGGTCGATAGTCTTAAGCCCAAGATACTGCTTCCCATCGACCGTCCCTTGCAAGGACACAATTGAACCAATCCGAGCCAGCGCACGTGCATTTGAAAAGCCATTCGTGGCACCGATCCCAGCACCCCTGAACACGGCCGTCTGGGTATCCTCGGCGTTGATTATCACGTTGGGCAAGGCTTTACCCGCAACACTTTGGGGGTCGAGCGGCGGAAAATCCGGAGGCGCACAGGGAATGATATCCGCCGTACGCGGCCAGTCCTTCTCAGCCACACCGAGATCGAAGTCCGCGCCCAATGGACCCGTGATCTCATCTGCAACAAACTGCTTCAACGTCTTCCCGCTAATGCGCCACACCAGCTCGCCGACTAAATGTCCATGGTTGACCATCTGGTAGGCGGATGCCCCACCGGCCTTATACCATGGAGCCTGCGCAGCGAGCATTTCAATGGAAGTTTTGGTGTCGTAAATGGACTCCAAAGGCACTCGCGACTCCCAATGGGGTACACCAGACGAGTGGCTGAGTATGTGCCACACCTTTGTGTCTTCTTTGCCGTTGGCTGCAAACTCCGGCCAGTACTTTGACACTTTCTCCTCGACGTCGAGCAGGCCACGATCAATGAGGATCAGCGCAGCCAGGGCAGCGACCACCTTACTGCATGAGAAGACTACGACCAGGGTGTCTTCCTTCCATGATCGTGTCTTGGCGGCGTCTGCATGACCGCCCCAAATATCCAAGACATTCTTTTCGTCGATGTTCACACAGATTGAGGCGCCGACTTCGTCTCCCGAGGCAAGTCTTTGTTCGAAAATATCACGCACTCGGTTGAATGCGGGGTCGCAGAGACCTTGTGTAGCAGCCATTGCAAAGTCTGTCGCTTTAGTTCTTGGTATATGTTGAATATAGATATTTGAGGCTCCCTAGGGGGTTGGATAACTGGGAACAGTCAATATAGTGTTGGAAGGCTGGTGCCTGCATATTTATAGCCGGTTCGATCTTTCAGACCTCGGCATGTTAGTGCCTACTGCGGGGATCCTAGATTCCATCATAATCCAATGAGTTACACCCGTTCTCAAGATGAAAGAAACATACGCACGCACGTATTACCATAATAGGTACAGTCTATGTGGATGAGGTTAGATCCCCCAGTTGGCATGTTTCCACGCAACCTATCAAATATATCACACGACTTCTGGTTCCATATATTCCCACCACTAGTCCATCCAATGTGTATATACTTATTTTTTTATGCGTACAAAATATCCCACTTCACTAGAATACATAAGTTAGTTTCCGGTATAATAGCCCCCTGCTTCTCGCAAAACGAGGAATCTTGCAGGTTCAGATAGATTTCAATTGTCAATTATGATCTGATAAACTGGATCCCATGCAGTGCAAATATAACGTTTGGATCAGTCTCGCTTCTTTGTTATATCAGCCGAAATATCACCAAAAAAGTGTTCTAACTAACAATATCCTCCGACTACTTCTCTTTAGGTAGAGCCGCCAAGAACACGAATAATTGATTCAGCTCGGCCGTTACTTCGACCCCATCTGCAGAAAAATGATTGACCTGAAAGTTGAGCTGGGAAAGACTGACGCTAAGTGGCTACCACCAGGCACACATGTTCCCCTATATGATGATCATCAGTGGTCGTGTGACCTTATTTCTTTGTACAGAATGGACTCCCTTTGGCAGGTAATGTAGTCACGTTTGATCTCTCTGTTTATTCCTTTGTTATCTTAAGATGCCTATGGGGGTTCCCTAAGATAGTAAGGACTTGGCTGTAGTTGATCGGGTGTTTGTCTCTTTTATTTGCATCAAGCCCCTATGCAAAGTCTCCGAAATTAATACTCCGAATATATGTAATCGTCAACTACATAAAAGGAGTACTTCTGTGGTATTAAAACAATATTTTCATTCCACGGCATGCACAACACCTCTGAAAAGACAACAGGTGTGAATAGGAAGTCAATAAATACATAAAAGAAAGTATACAAAATGAACACATCCGCTATAATGCCATGCAAATACAAATTACAACCGTATCGTAACCCCCCTCCTTCATGCTCCGAATATTTACACCGAGTTCACTGCGACTTGATTGGCGCAGCGGTAGGCTCGTGACCCTTCTCAAGAGGCACCCGTTCCACCGACGAGGAAGAGGAAGACACAGCCTCACCAGATGCAATACGCGGCTCCGCATACTCCTCATCATCTTTCCAGAAGTCCTTCTTTCCACGAGCAGCACGTCTAACCCAGGGTGGGAGGAAACCGCCCCGAACCTTCCAAGACCAAGGATCAGACTCATCCTTGTTAGGCGGGACGATGCGACCACCGGAAACCTTCTCAAGACACCAAGCAAAGCCGTTGAGCGTGATGTAGCTGATAATACCGGCGATCAGGCCGTAGGCAATACTGTACGTGAAGGGCATGATGGCGATGGTGAGGAATGCGGGAATCGAATCACCGTAGTACCGCCAGTTGATATCGGCAGCAGCCTGGGCCATCATCGCACCGACAATCACGAGGGTGCAACCCGTAGCCCAAGGTGGGATGGAAGCGAAAATTGGGGCGAAGAATACCGCGATGAAGAATGCAAGTCCGGTGACACATGATGTCAGGCCTGTTTTACCACCTTCGGAAATGCCGGCGCCGGACTCGACGAATGCTGTGACCGGGGGACTGCCGAAAAGGGATCCAATCGAGATGGAAATCGCGTCAACCATGTAGGCCATGGCGCTACCCTCGAAATCTTGGGTCTCCTCGTTGATCGCACCGGCAAATCGGGCCATAGAGTACATTGTGCCTGTGGTATCCAGAATATCGACATACTGTGGAGATGTTAGTCTCGAATTTCTCGCTGTATAAAAGTCTGGTGACATACCAAAAATGTGATGAAAGCCAGTCCAAACTGGCCACCCTTACCAGCCAAGTTCCAATCCTGAGCAAGCAGGGTATGCTTGATAGGATGGAAAGTGACCACCTGCTTGAAGAAATCAAACTGGCTAGATCCAAGCTCGGTGTAGGGGAAGTAGGTGACGGGGGTAGTGCGAGGCCAAGAGATGATAGAAACCAACAAAATGCCGATAATGATAGCACCCTTGATGCGGTACATCATGAGCATAACCGTCAGAACACCGCCGCAGAAGATACCAATCCACATAGTAGGAGAGCGCATCTTAGATGCGCTCGTACATAGGCCCGTTGCTTCATCGAAGGCGCTAGCCACACATCCAGCCAGCTCAATGGGAGTGTCAGAGGCACCCTGAACCAATCCAATACCAGCACTGTATGTCAAACCGATCAATGCGAGGTACAGACCGATTCCGACACCAGTTGCGAGTTTGATAGACTTTGGCAGCGCACGCGCCAGCCACTGCCGCATCCCGATCAACGTCAAACCCAAGAATACCCATCCTTCGACGAAGACAGCTGTGAGAGCAGTCGAGTACGGGACCATGCCATTACCACGCACTCCAACAACGGTGTAGGCGAAGTATGCGTTCAGTCCCATTCCAGGTGCGAGCGCGATAGGGAGGTTGGCGAAGAAACCCATGCAGAACGTCGAGAGGGCGGCGATGGCTGCAGTGGCGGTGACGATATCTCGTTTGATTTCTTGCGTGCACATAGCGTACTCGATATTGGTTGCGCAGAAGTCTTGCATATCTTCCTCGGGGCACACACAGGTTCCACCAGTCGCAGAGGTGATGTTGCTGTTGACGGAGATGATGTATGCCATGGCGAAGAAGGTGGCGAGACCGGCGCGGATTTCAGTGAAGAAGTAGCTACCTTTCCTCTCGAGAGGCTGTGACATGGTTTAGTCTCACATTGCATTGGTATTGAAGATGCGATCACACGTCACATAGAATGCAGTATCACTTACATGACCGCAGCCCTCCAGACGAAACCATTTCCCCACGGGACTGCGGGCAACCCGCACGTTCGTGTCGTGGACCCAGGTACTTAAACCCATTGCGAGAGAGTATCACGGTCGTGTGCGGTGGATACAGCGAATTCCGGAGACGCTGTCGTCGTTGAGACGCAGTATTTAAAGATGTTCCAGTAGGGGTAGGTGTAGAATATAGATTTCAAGGAAGAGATGGGCAAATATTCAATGGTGTCTCTCGACCAACCACATCTTGCTGATAAGAACCCAAAAAAAAAAAAAAAAAAATTCGCCTGCAATTTGAGCTACCTCCGAGTTGTTGGACTCTTGGCGGTGGTGGTGGGGTCGCATTTCACCCGTGAGATACCGTGTAGATGCCCTCATTGGCTATATCTTTGCCGACAGGATTTTGTTCAGGGTTGTCCATGGGTCAAGACTCGGCAAGCCGGCGATGGAGAAAAAACCTGACGGACATTACTTGCGCATAAAAAGTGTTCGAAACAACTTTGGGATGTTCAAAGCAAGAGCTGGTTGCCAAAAAATGCTCTGTAGATGAATATCCCTCCAATGCGAAGACCCTTGAATGCCAAGACATTGGTACGCTCAGCCCTCGTGAGCTCTTTATCTTATCTCTTATCTTTTGTGTGTGTCGTGTGCTTGGATAACGGAGGAAGCCGATGACATAAGTAGCATGGCGAAATATGGCATCCAAATATCCCCAGTCTCATGGCTCTGGGGTATCTGGGGCGGCCATATCCGATCGTGGGCCATCGATGAATCTCACCCGCAGATATCGGATTTGTTCGCTCTGACATAGAACAAGCGTTCGTCCATGAAGGGGTTGCTTACACCAATTGGTGGCATGCGTATGCTCTGCCCATTAGAGAAAGAAGGGGCTAGCCTGAAGTTATTGAGACGCTATGCCACGTGGATATGCGACAGGTAAAGACATCAAGAAAAACTCCGAGGCATCAAAAAGTCAATCCGGTCATCTCGTATCCATTGCTTGTATACGTGCGGACTATACCGAAACAATGCTCATCACCGACAGATTGACCATGTGTTGTGTTTACGCGTCATTCACCGCTCTTTGTGGCAATATAACGCATGCACGTGTTGGAAGAGAAATATATTTGATGATTATAACATGCAAATTATATGTATGGAAATGTATAACACAACAGTCACATCGAACCAGCGCCTAAACCGCCTCCTCCCCTTTCTTCGAATTTGCTGCAGGAGCAGACTCGAAGATGGGAGCAAACTTAGACTTCTTGCGCAACGCAGGTCCCCATTTGATGAACGCCAAGGGAATTGGGATCATGATAAGTGCGAGACATCCAAGAAGTGTACCAGCCCATTGCACACCCAAGTTTTGAAACATCTGCTTCGAGAACAGGGGGAATGCAGCTCCCACCGCTGATCGAATAATGGTATTCGCAGCAAACACAGATGCGGCACTAGATCTCTAAGTCAGTATATGGATCCACGGTAAAACTAAAACGGGAAAAAGATGCTTACAATGTCAAATATGAGTCAATCAAGTAATTGAAGCATTGCAGGAAGATGACATAGATGCCGAATCCAGTGATGACTCCACTGGCAGTAGGGGCCATCCAGTGGATTGACTTTGTCCATCCGGTCCAGCCGTACCAGAAGAGTCCAACACAGAAACAAACACCTCCAAGGATGGCGGGAGGAAGTCTCCATTCCGGAATCGGAAGGTTATTGTTAGCGGCTAGCTTTTTAGAATATGCTCGCTGATCCCAAACAATATAGGCGCCAGCCAGAAACTCGCCAATAATCAGTCCAATGAATGGCAAACTTCCCACACCGAGGTTCATCCCGTGGATTCCTTGGAATACAACGGGGTAGGCACTGAGAAGTGCGTACATCAAGCCATATACAAAACTCATCCAGAGCGATATCTGAAGGAAAGTTAGCATGAATCAGTTCAAGACACTCACAAATCCCTTACCAGGAAAACAATTGGCTCGGTGAAAAGCATACGGAATGGCCGACTGAAATTATTGGTGATCAGATCGCCCCAATCAAGCTCGATCTCTTCTTGTCTGGCGCGGATTCCCCAATTGCGAGTCTGTCGTCGCATGATGGCCGCTTTTTCCACAAGAACGGCGGGTGCATATGTCTCTTTCAAGAAAAGAAGGCAAAGTCCAGTGGCCAACCATCCCATGATGGACGCGATATACATGGTCCACCTCCATCCCAGATACGACATTGTGATGAAGCCACCAGTGAACGGCGACGCGAAAGGCCCGACGAATACGGCCATGGCGAACATAGCGATAGCTACGCCCCGCGTCTGATTATTCCAAATATCGGCAAACACGGCCGGAACAATAGCGATCGGGGCGGCCGAGAAAAAGCCAGCGAAGAATCTCGTCAACATCAAGGTCTGGACGTCCTTGCTGGTCGCTGTTGCAATGGCAAAAATGGAGTACCCGAACATGCCAATGCAGATTGGCCATCTTCTCCCAATGAGCTCACTTGCCGGTGCCCATACCGTCGGACCCGAAGCAAATCCCAGAACATACAGGGTCACACCCAGGATGGCGACTTCCGTGCTGATGTGAAAGTGAGCACTGATGTGTCCGACTGCAGAGGAGTAGATGGCGCTGGCGAAAGACGAAACGAAGGTTGTATATGCTAGAGTCCCCGATATACCGATCTTGCGTTTCAGGGACCAGTTCTGGGGGTGCAGAGGATCGTTCGCATCGTTGAATTCAACGATATATTGTTCCGGGTCTGGGAGAGCTGGGGGATGAGGCTTCCCAGCTCCGAGGGGGAGCCACTGGTCGGGCGGTGTTATCCCTATGCCGGAGCCAACGGTTGACCGATGTTGGAGTCGATAAGTGTTGATTCGCTCTAGCTCGATTTCGTTTAGGATGCTTTGGCGGCGATTGATGGTCCCTGAGCGCATGGACCCAATTTCCGATAGTCGCCGCTCGGGCGCCGTCTCGATAGTACTGAGATCATCACTTCCATTGGAGCTAGTATCGTGTGGGCTGTGAGACATGCCGATGAATGATGTAATATACTATGCACTTGCCCTGCAATTGTCCTTTGAATATTGATAATATTAATTTTATCTAGGGGACAACGAAGATATATACAAGAATACAGAAACCAAACCTTTCGGAAAATTTGCTTCCTAAGGATCGAACGGCCATTTTTCATCACTTTGATGGTAGGCCATGTCGTCATGGAGTGTTGTTTACCCCGGTTGATCCGTTCAATATGCTACGGGAGTCCATACAACCAGTGCCGCTACTCCGTATGGACCTCAGGACTGCCGTGATGTCTCAAAAGGGTAATACGCTACGGATCCCGGTCGCAGAACCATGGTTTGACACGCGGAGACATATGAAGTTTATTTGGCCGTTATGAACTACAATATACCTGGGTGCAGTCGAGATTGTGTACAATAATATGCAACATAAAGCCACATAATTATATGGCTTATGATAGTGTAAGTCTCCTAACGTGCCAGAGAAAAGCCCCGCAGCGCCCCAACGGTTAGTACGGAGTACGAAGTGTATTATTAACAAGAAGTCAACGACAAAAATGTTCAGTATGAGAATTTGGCTATTCAAAATGTTTGCCATATTTGGCCATTGTTCATGTCCAAGCTTTGAGCGTGCATCGATATATCTTCGGTATCTTCGATGAGATTGAAGGAGGATGGAAGCCGGATAGACCAAAAGCATAGAACTAAAGGGATGTAGGCTATTAGTGCGTAAGGTGGGGACAGAAATGGTGATAGGAGTTCCTAACTTCTCATGGCGGGCATTTTCTATCACATACTTCGTACTCTAAGTTTCTTAAAAAAAAAGGGTGTCAACGCTTAATTGTAATAGAGTATCGTCGCACATGGCGAACAGATGCTGATCTCCCGCGGCAGCAAAATCTCTTCCAAATAGGTGCTCCGAAAAACAACAATAGGAATAATAAACAGGAATAATAAGACAACATGAGACAATACAGAATTTCTAAGATAACATTGGATTGTGTTCGACAAAATTATCATCTTCAGTGCCACCAGGGTTGGAGTGGGTGCGAGGTAGCCGATCTGTCCACTGAATGCCCCTAGTTTGTTTCACCTGGGTAAAGGGCATCTACACTTGGTTGGGGAGGGTAACTAGTTAGAACTTTACGCGTTATGATTGATTTGAGTGCAAATATCAGTAACTTAAGTTTCAACGTGCTAAGAATAATAAAGTCACATCTCCATCCAGCCTCTCAATACATACATTAGATTCTCCCATCTCTACAACTGTTGTAATGTGATGATTCACCCCTCACCAAGGCCGGGTAACTGTGGTGTGTGACAAATGCCGAACGGGTTGACGCCCCGGTTTGAGGGGACAAGTCATGAGGTTCATACCCAATCAGCTGCATTTAAGCACCGGACTCAGCACGAGTAAATGGGAATGATAGGCATTTGGCATGCTTAGCGTCGCACGAGCCCGGGAGGATTCCCTAGCGCCCAATTGCAATGCTCTGCAGTGCCCACTACTTGGTACCAGGGTCCAGATTAGCGCCCGCATTACAAATAACGCTTATATCTCCTGCATGAAGACGGAGTGTGTCCCCCTGAGCGCTTTTCAAATGAAGGGGATCCCCGCCATGTCGCTCGTACGAAATTTGTGGACCAAGAAACCCTACGAGATGAGGGTCTTAAAGCGACCCCCCGTACGGGGCTGTTCCAGTAGAGGAAAACCACTCAAATCGAACGCCATCATCAGAATCTCAATTTCAATATTATACAACAGTCGAGATTCCTGATGTCGATGAGCAAAAGCCTCAACCGCAACCACAACCGCTCAGGCTCTCTCGGTTCGATAGAGTTACTCGTCTGCTCTGGGACTTGGTTCTTGCTATTATAGCCTCTCTCTTCACAGTGTTCGGTATATGGGTTGCTTGTATCGACGGGAAAGCGGCAGGCCCGGAATCGATAGGCTCCAAACTATTTGAAACTTCTCAATACGTTAGTTGCCCCCGAACCTACACTCGTCCTCATTCTCGTCAAACAAATCTAGCTCACACCACATTTCCTCATAGGCGCCCACTGTATTCCCAGTCCTTTTCGCTGCCATTGCCGGCAGCAGCATTAAAAGCATTGCATCATGGCGCATCCAGACCACTAGAGGAGCGACCATTGGGCTAGTAGAGCAATGTCTCGGCAGTCAGACTATCTCAGGAGCTTTTCTCACCCAGATCAGACTGCGTGCTGTCAACTTTGTCGCCGTCTTTACCATCTTGCTGTGGTGCCTGTCTCCGTTAGGCAGTCAAGCATCTCTCCGGGTAATTTCCATCGTTCCGAGTTACCCAGGTAAACCGGTCGAGTTGACCAGTTTCAACACATTCACTCCGTACCAGTACGGCTACAACCAAGCGGCAACTCAGGCCATAACATCCGTCGCTAACCCCATGACCGCTTCCATTTCCGCGGCCTCGCTACTTTCAACCCGAAACCAAGACCTCTGGGGCAACATCCGGTTTCCTGTGATCGAGAACCTCGAGAAAAACAGTACAGGTTGGATGAAGGTACCTAAAAGCGACAACTTGACGTACGCATCTCTCGTCGGCGTGCCGGTGATTGACTTACCCAGCTCTGGCAACACATCCTTTACTCTTCCGGGCTCATATTTATCCATCTCTTGTCCCGTGTTCGACACAATACACACTCTGAATTTGACCAATTTCACCGGACCAGATGCTCCATCTCCCGGCAATGGCGACGATTGCAGCTGGACAAGCGCCTGGGGTGGGCATCAGTTCCAGATCGCCCTCTCGGAACCATGTTCGAACTCGCTTAATGCATCAATGACAAAGACTCGGAACGCCCGCAAGTTGATATGGGAATCATGGGATCGTGGTTATGCAGGGCCTGAATATCATCGATCCCCCATCACGCGAGCCATATGCGACATCAGGACAACCTACGTCGATGCCAATGTGACATGCGAGAGCTTAGACGATAATCAGTCTGCGAGCACTTGCAACCTACGCTATGCTCGTCGCTCGATGGATACATCCCATTTCCACAAGAATTGGACTATCTTCGATGTAAACTTGCCAGGAGATCATCTGCTACCGAAAGGCTATAACAATGGGCTCTTTGAGCTCCTCACTACCATGTTTCCACACATGGACCAGAACGGTGGTCTCCAGCCCTTGGTTGGATATTTTATTGATCCTTTTCACGCTGTTGGAAACTTTTTCGGCGAGAATCTTATGTCTCCTCAGAGCACAACTACGAACGTATTTGAAACTCGTCTGTCACAGCTTTTCAATTCTGTCCTGTATCTTGGAATCAGCCCATCCGCATTCACGGGCTCTGTCAACATGACGCAGATCACAAGCAAAGAAAGCACAATCACGGATACCCCGTTCAAATTGACTGCCGAAAATACCCATCTGCAAGATATTGTTAGGTGTAACCGTCCATGGCTTGGCGTGCTCATTGTTTCATCGGTCGTTATCTTCTGCTTTGCATTAGTGGGCGCCTATCTGCACATCTTAACGATCGCCCCCGATCACTTAGGATCTATCTCCGTTGCCCTGTTGCAAAATAAGACCGAGGGAATTGTTGGGTCTTCTACATGGTCTTCAGATGAATGGTCAAAGAATATGCGAGACAAGAAAATATGGCTTGGGGATGTTCGGCCTGAAGCTGACGTTGGGTGTATTGCCTTGACCACTGCGGCACAAGATATTCCCCCTGGTGCGATAAAGGGAAGACTTTATCATTGAGATAAACAATAGATTTGAACTCTGTAGGTTGTTGAGAATGGGATCCTCAAGGGTCATTAATGTGTACCGGGTTTGGCTTAGGTTATGAGACTTTCCTTGGGTCCAATATATAATTGTTTCGTGTAGCTGAAGAAATCAACGAGACAAAGGGGAGAGAATAATTATTCCCTGAGGTGTGGAAGCAAACAACTTTTATAATCAACCACGATTCTTTTATGTACGTGGATACGAGGTATAATTGGGGATAGGGTTTACATGTAGACTGTTTAGCCTAGTGAATATCATGACAGTTACTTTCTCTAACGGTGTGATATACTGAGTATACAAGTAGTCACGACTACCTAGGTGACTAGCTCTACAATCAAGAGGAGTGAGTAAACACCCCCCCATGTATTCCGTGGGACTCGACAAGTGAACTATGATGCCCAAATGCTTAGCGACTTGTTGAAGAACACTCACGAGAAAGACTCGTTTGATTTGGGTGCGGATCTGCATGGGCCTCAACGATGTTGATGTCTCATGCATAGGCACCCGGGTTGCTACGGGACCCTCCCCATATGCTGTCTCATGGGGGCTACGGTGAGATGATGGTCGAGAGGGAGAGGGTTGGAGAGAGAAGAGGAAAAAGAAGAAGAGGAAGAGAGGTGAAAGGGGTCCTTTTATATGTTCACACCCCAGGTACCTTCCTGAAATGGACAATCTCCAACGCACCTGCCCTGATAGTCCCCGATATACCAACCCCACCAAAACATTTGACACAGGCAACAACTTCAACTAACATAAAGTCAAAATATTCACAAATGAGATTTTAGACCCGATTAAAATCTCGTTTGGTGCTGTTCCCATCCATCTCACTGATTGGACTGTTGCCCAACTCGGCACTCCCTTCGTCACCAGCCAACTCAACAACATGGGATCCAGGGGGAGGTCTGAATGGTCGTGCAACAGAATCAGTTCCCTTCTCTGTAACTGCCGTAGTACCGCTGATGGATGATCCAGTAGCATCCGCTTCATGGGGCCCATAACCACCATGCTGGCTAGCAACCGGTGCATTCTTTCTGTTCCTCTTCCTCATGAAGATCACAGCCAAGGCAACGATAATGGCAACCGCAGCTACAACTCCAACGACAACACCTGCAATAGCACCGCCGGATAGTGATGGATTAGAGGAGGAGCCGGTGTTGTCATTTCCTGCAGAGAGTCCGGACTTGGTAGGGGTTGTGGTAGCGGATGCCGACGTCGAGGACACGGATGAGGATGAAGATGTGGATGTGGATGTAGCCGATGTAGACGTTGAGGTCAAAGCAAGCGTGGCAGTTTGGTCTTTGGCATCAATTTCCTTCTCAAGCAGGACATCGAAAGCCGCAAAAGATTCACTGGCATTCTTCCTCCACACTCCGCATGAGTATCCCGCCCTGGAAGCACACTTGGTGTCGCGGTATATAGAGACGCATAGATCTGATCCCTCAGGATCCCAGGTAAAAGGCTTTTCTTTGCCGATGGGGGAGGTTGTGCAGTCCTGTGCCTCACCGCCACGGGCGATTTCAGTAGCATCGGTTGCGTTGGTATAGCCGAAGGTCCATGCATTGACCAGTGGAGTTAGCAACAGTGCGTATAGTGGTAGTATCATGGCGACGTATGTCTTTTGAAAGATGAATCGGAGCAGAAAGAAGAACAAAATCGTCAGGATTAGACTTTCAGCTGTTAAATGTGTGAGGGGGTGCAGGGACCCTGATTGCCTTTTGAATTTGCAGAGAATAAACTTCGTATTGAAATGAGCCTCGTCCGTGTCTATGGTGGGTACTCTCTAGCCTATACCCGGAGCCAGTTAAAGCTCCCGGTTTTGGACCCTAATATGACTACAGCGGTCGATCTATACCGGGTGGGGGAAAAGACAAGTGAAGACCAAGAAGCTAGTTTTGAATGCAGATTAAGACGGTCTCTAGTGCATTTCTAGGATGGGAGATCGTCCTAGTATGGATCAGTTGCCTTGGTCGTGGGAGAATCAAACTGTTTCATCACGTAGTCATGGCCTAAAACAGTCACTGCCTGAACCTGATTCCAATATCGAGATGTGCTAATAACCTTTGTGCGGCGGCTGTATATGTTGTAGTGTGAATATACCATCCTGGTCAATATCTAGTCCCTGGTGGCTGACCATTTCCGAGAATACGGGGTGCAGCAGTCCTGTGCTCTTACTTCGTACCACCCTGTCAGAATTATAGTCTAAATCAGAGTATGGAGTACTTTAACTAGCTATTTCTGACTACATGTTGCGAAAACTGCAAATTCGAGTCTCGGCCTGCAGCTATTTTGTCGGTGGAGTATGGTGATTGGTGCCCTGTGTGCCGAATACGAGGTGATGAGCATGCAAAAATATTATAAACCGTAGATCATCGTAATATGTTGTATTGTGGATGAAGACAAAGACAAGATTGGTGTTCATATCTGTAAGGCAATATATAAGCAGTTTGTTGCTCTCTTTGGTCTCACAGATCACCATTAAGTACAACATAGAGAAAAATAAACAAAAACCAAAAGAAAAAAGCACGGCACTGCCAAGACTTGCGGGACAAGAATGCTTGGTGGCATTAGGGAGTTGACAGGGGTTTAGGTTTGATTTCCACTTGGTTTCCTAGGAATTTTTCCTCGGCAATTCTGATTGTTCTAGTACCAATGAGTGGACGAGCAGTAAGGGCCCATACTAGGATCCTTTGGGGGAACCTATTGCGATGGAACATGACAGCAGTGGACCAAAATCGAACCTTGTTCACGATTATGTGTCTATGGATGTCCGTTTTCTTTTTTCTTTGGTGGAGGGTAAATCTTGAATGCCTCAGGCATAATGGTTTATAGACTGTGGTCTTGTGTGCACGGGGGTGGATGGATTGTATGTGGTTTTCCACACTTTCCTTGGCGACGATCAAACAGTTGCCCAGGTGGCCTTATAACATTGTTAACAACAAGTTAACAAGTTAAACAGTTCATGCTACCGGATATGACGTCAAAACACAGTTTCTTAAAGATATGATGCGCACAAAGTCCTTTATAGAGACAATAGTTATAGTTGATAACTAATCATGGCTCTCAAAGAACGTTTGTATTCAGGTCTACTGCGAGGTCAAATATATATTTTCCCCTATGTATAGTTACAGATGATAACTAGCCGTCGTGGCCCCCATTTTCCAGAATTGGCTTTCACCAGGCACCAGACCAGCCGATCTTAGAATATGATTGATGGGTGACGCAGCGGTACCAGGCCACAGAGTTTCCCAACTTCCTAGTTTGTTGGTAGTAGTCGATTCACCACATGCAGTTATCCCAGTACACTCGACCCCAAGCTTCTTTGATTCGAAAACTGCGTAAATAACGACTGGTCAAATTATATCGAGTGTGCAGCTTGACATGGGCTCGTAAAGGCGGTTAGAGCCTGTGCTTCCATATCGGAGCTCCGCGGAGCTTGCCTTGTGGTATCTTTAGCTATCCAAAGGCGATAGCCACGGTAAAGAATTGCCGGGCTCCAATCAAACTGTGAGCCTGTCTCAACTTAAAGGTCAGCTAAGCACGATGCAAGGTACCAGGGGAGTCAGCATCATCGATTGGCAATGGTCCTTGTCCGTCGTGTGCCGGAGGTTCCCTGATGAGCGAAAGCCACGCTGGTGAGCTTGAGCACTTCTGTCAACATCCCACCGAAAAGAACCACCGTCGTGTGCTAGATCAATCAGTGCGCATCCATTGCAATTTGACAGTCAGTCCAAATCCCACTCTGGCCTGAGTTCGTCTTCTGCAGTTGTCTTGTTATCGGTGTGACAGTAAGTGTCTTTCTCTGCGCCACTGAGATATTCCTTTCGATCGTCGCTTTCGTCGGGGGTCATTGGGTTGATGTAGTTCTGATACAATCAGGTCTGAACTATTGCTGAAATCCACGATATATAGCTGGGTCATAGATCGATATCGCCACAAACCCGCAATATCCAGTGAGACTATATCCTTCAATTAAGGGCCATTGGCCCCTCTTGTTGAACGAGGCAGCCAATGAGTCCATTACCTGGCCGGTGACTGACTTATGGAACAGAAAGACATCGTTGGCTTACCACCACTCCGATAGTATGGCGCCGGTCAAAATAATCCATCGCACCAAGTCCCCCTCCCTATCTCTCCATCAGATTGTCGAACGATCGGGCCACAAGGGCAACTGGGCGAACAGGAACCGCGGGGTGGTGCTTGTCTTCTGCATCGTTTTTCTCGTCGTGGTTGGAGTTATGGCACTATTTGCGTACCGACGAATGTTGCAACGGAAAGCCAAAAAGGAGTCCTATGAGACGACGAGTGATTAGCTCATCCCGTAATATGCGCCCTCGGCCGGGATTGCCATGCAGTCGAACCCGAAGGCAGATGGCCTCGCTAAGATCGGGAGGTATGTCTTGGATTTTGACTGGCAAGTTGGGAGTCTCAGAGTTGGTGGTGATATACGTTTGTGTCTGCGTGTTGATGTTTGACTTGGTGTTTGGCTCTAACGAATCCCCAACTTTAAGCGAGATGGGCAGTTTCCGCGAGCATATCATCAGTAATGTCCAAGTGCGAAGAACATGATCTCCTTGATGTTGATGTCAAAGATCAATAGTAACCAATAATAAGAATCTTGATTTCGCTGGCAATGATTTCTGATGTATGCGTCTTTTGTTAGCTTTGGTGGGCAACACGTTTCATAACAGGCTCGATGAAGGCATTGTCTTGGACTAGTGTTCTCTCTGGGTTACCCAAACAGACCTCAGATGATTAGTAGATTCAAAAATCGTAGTTGGCTTTTGGAGAAATGAAATGGTGATGGATTGTGGGAAAAATAACACAGAACACCATCTGGTTCCATCTCACCACGCCGAAGAAGTTTCTCCACTGCATGGCATTTACGATCGCTTTGATTCTTAGCTAATCTTCCACAAGATATTATTCTAGGCAAAAAGTAAACCTTTTATTCCTCCGAATCCGACGAATCTGACATCCCACCCCTTGTTGTACGATCCAAACTGATCTGACCCTCAAGACCTTGGAACTGAGCGGTTACTTAGAAATCATCTAAATTTATAACAGCGCATCGCACTCGATCTCCTGGAACTGGCCTTGTTTTACCAAATGGATAACATTGGGATACTTGCTAAATTGGAATACTTGCTACTCAAGGCCTTGCAGTTTTGGTGCCACGAAAGCTGGCGTTCGAAGTCAAGAGAGAAATCGGCTTCACTCTTCACTCTTCACTCTGATGAAGATAGCCGTGTAGGTTCAAGAAGACGAAGAAAAACACGCAATTGGCCACAACGAAAGCACATCAGAGAAAGCCAAACAAAGTCCTCATGAAGACCCAAAGAGAGGTCTGACAAATGAGCAGGCAGCAAGCGTCTTAGTGCAACATCCAACCTTTGGGTAGATAGACCAACCTTACCCTGTTATTGTCTTCATGGGTCACGTTGCGTTACTCCGTGCAATAGGATGCACACTCGCATACCTTACCCCCAAAACATGGAAAGCAGTTTGGGGGAACGTGGACTATTGTGAGGTTCAGGATCTTCCTCGGAATTGCTATTCTTAGCCATGTTCTAGAGGGAAATTTGGGTCAATATCACACACCCCTCATGTTCTGTGGAGGGGGCTTTCCCTTTAATGTCGACTCATCCGTTGAAGCTGGCTAGATGGCTGAAACACATAGTATTTCACTTCCCATGGATAACATATGTTTTGCAGATCTAGACTTGCCCTGTGCAACGAAAACGAATAACGAGGTAGAGGAGCAACATAGGGCTACGGCCAACATTTATATATATAGCCCCTATGAAGCGAGCGCAATACGTATATTCCAAGGCTTCAAGTCGTAATTCACTGCAACAGATGAAAGGACTGAAGAAGGAAAAGAATCCAATATCCCACTTACCTAACATCACTATGCCAGATTATGTGAGAAACAATTATGGCAATTCTCTCAATCATTTCTCCGGTTCCTGTGCGCACCTGAACCTTGTACAGAACCAGATTTAGCCTCTCATAGTGTCGGTCAATTCTTTTTCTTACTGTCCCAGAGACATCTCCCCTATAAACCAGAGCACTTTCCATTTCTGCCGATCCTCTAAAGACAATCACCATACGTCTAGTACATCAGTTCGGGTTATTAAAGTGGAATCATGAGTTCAGAAGGAGGCCCGGCCAGCACCGGTCCAACTGATAACAATGGAAAGAGGAAACGGCCCGAGTCGCCGTCTCAGGAGCCGACGTCTAGGAAGGTTAATTTTCTCCACTTATGTTTGAGACCATGTCACTGACTCACGATTCCATAGTCCAAGGATATCAAAATCCCCCAGAGGCAGTCGGCTAGGATTGAATTACAGAAGGTAAGATGAGTTGCTTCTGCCAGAATACCACATATTCACCCCAAGAAGCAGGAAAAAGCCCATCGTCTAGACCTCGGTCACAAATTCCCCAAGGAAAATTCAACTCAACATCTACAAGTCCCTGTGGAGCCTCATGGTGAGGTGAGAATACATTGAAACTCTCCGTATTTGACAATGGCTAATTCCAGAGAGGAAAGTCACCGTGGGTCACCGGACCTACTTCGACGAACCATCCTGATAACACACTCGACGACCTTGGTAACTTCAGAATGTTTGTACGTGACTCCCGTGATGAGGCAGAGCTTGCCGTGTATGTTGGCCTTCAGAACAAACGCGACCTCAGACATTTTGCCTTGTCCTGGCCTGTCATCAAGACCTGGATTAAGGCACCACATAAGCAGACTCACTCGCTGAAAGTTGAGATAAACCATCTCATCCAGGATGGCAAGGAATTACAGTGTATCGAGGACCCTTACGAAATTTGGCCGCAACGTTCTCGGGAGTCGGAGGAGCACACTTCTTTGAGACTTACACACATTATGGCATGGCATCTGGTGCGGATGTCTAAGGATATAGAGGAGTACATCAGGTCCAGTGACCTAGATAACTTGCATCGCACACGGAGATACCGCGGTGAACTAAGCGCGATGTTGGAGCTTGATATCCCGCTGGACAACATTTTCCATCCCCGTCCCCAGCTCATATCTTGGAGAAACGAGCTGAACGACACTTATGATCGCTGCTGGTCAATCTTGGGCTACATCTCATGGATTCCTTATATGAAGTCCTGGGAAAAAGCCCTGGGTTTCTTCGTCTCCTCAGAAAATAACGCCATCACATATGACAGCGGGATGCCGACAGCGACGAGACCAAGACCCAACCACCTTAGGCTAGCTCAACAGTGCTCCTCTTCATCTCCCGGGGAAGTACCAAAACCATTCCCCCAATGCAGGTTAAGGTAACCTGGGACCGGAACGAAAACACACATAGAAACGCGGATCTGTGCCGTGTCCTCACAGATATCGTGCACCAGGGGAAATTACTCCCTCCAACAGATCAGATAATGACACAGGACCCCCGACTGTGCAGGACAGCTGCATCATTCCGGGACGTCATTCGACATATGATGTCCTGTGGTTGTTATGGATTAAACCTGTATGATATGAAGTTGTCGTATCGATCGGAGGCAGATAATTGCTATTATCAGATCGACGCGTTCAGGTCCCAGTGGAAGGTATTGCATGGGATTTTTTCAGACCCGGCTAACTCGAATTTTGTGATTCGAGTGCTTCTCGATGTTCATGAGTATCGGAATGGGGAGATCTATGAAACCACTGAACTGCCACCGGTCTATTGAATATCATCGTTCGATGCCCACCCAACCTCAACGTCTTAGGAGTGGCTTTCACCAAGGAACCTTCAACAAAAGTACTATAGTTGATTTTGGCCTTTTCTGTCTTTCTGTCGTTTTCTTCCTTCCGCTGTTTTTCTTTTCCCGATTCGATAAGTTGAGTCAGATTATGAAATCCACCCTTGCAGACTTCGAAGATATACTCACAGGACCGCCTATGTAATGATCTTGTCCAATATATTAGTATATGTTAGTCCATTGGCTCCGATGATAGCCATTATATACGGAACACGGGAGGTTTGACAATCAGCCCGTCTCCTAGGACCTAATGGTATTTTCGCAAATTAGGAACACCCATAACAAATGGAATATGACAAAATCCGTTCACGGGATATTTCGATTCCCAACCTTTTTCGAACAGCAGAAGTACATCCTGTGGAGAATAAAGAGAAGGACGGATATAATTCTTCCACCAATCACCAATCCCCCAACACTTTGATAACCCTCGGGGCGTCACTAAAAGCCATGCGGCCCAGCTAACGCCAACTGGCTTTCCTTGCGAGAAAGACATCAAGCCATGTACCCAAAAATCAAAGGCATTGCTGAATGGATGGAGAAAATGTCAGGCCATATTTCCATCCAGTAGTAGGACTCCGCATCCCCCGCCATCAATTTCCCCAATTCGTTCCCCAGTCTCCACATCTGGAGCCCCGGACTATCAAGGTCGGTACCTTTGGAGGGCTATCAATATAGGGAGATGGCGCCGAGGCCGCTTAATTCTTTTTAATGCTTATATTGCTACTCCGTATTATACTCGGTATTATGCCGAGTGAGCTCTCGGTCAAATATAAATCGGATCCCAGCCCAACTCAATGGCGCTTTTCCTTTTCCTTTTTGCCTTTTGTGTTACAGAAGACTTATCCCGTAGTCAATCTTTACTCTGGTGATAGATTGTCTGAGGAGATTATCTAGTGCACTTGAAGATGGGTTTCATCAATTTCAAAAACTATCGGGTCTACGTCCTGACCTCGGTGGCCTATCTGGGCTCCCTGCTCTTTGGTTAGTGGATGTGGTCAACACAATCACAGAATGTTACTGACGCATTCTGCCTAGGTTATGACACGGGTGTTATGGGGTCAGTCCTGGCCCTTTCCAGTTTTAAAAAGGATTTCGGCCTCCCCGTTGAGTCATCCGGGTTCAGCGACGAGAAGAACGCTCAGATTTCCTCCAATGTGGTGTCCCTACTCACAGCAGGATGTTTCTTCGGATCCATCTTCGCTGCTTACATGAACGACAGACTGGGCCGGAGGTACTCGCTGATGGTCTTTGCCGTGATCTTCCTGGTTGGAGCAGCCGTCCAAGTTGGAGCTCACCATGAGATTGGCATGATCTATGGCGGACGTGTCATCGCCGGTTTTGGTATCGGTGGTATGTCCAGTATCACCCCGGTGTTTGTCAGTGAAAACTGCCCTCCGGCAACCCGTGGCCGTGTTGCCGGTCTCTTCCAGGAGTTCTTGGTGATTGGTAGTACCTTCGCCTACTGGCTGAACTATGGCGTCTCGCTTCATGTTCCCGAAGGCACAAGCCAATGGCGTATCCCAGTTGCCATTCAGCTTATCCCAGGTGGTTTGATGCTCATCGGGTTATTCTTCCTCAAAGAGTCTCCTCGTTGGCTGCTAACGAAGGGCCGCCGGGATGATGCACTCAAGTCCCTTGCTTACATTCGTAATGAGCCTGAAAACAGCGAGGCTGTTCAACTCGAGTTTGCTGAAATCACGGCTGCCATTGACGAAGAATCCCAGGCTACCGAGGGCCTGACGTGGAGGGAATGCCTGAAGCCTAGCAACAGATACCGCTTCTTCCTGGCATTCGTCCTGATGTTTTGGCAGCAGTTTTCCGGAACAAACAGCATTGGATATTATGCTCCTCAGATCTTTGCAAGTGTAAGTACACCGCAGTATCTCTATACCACTACATCTTCTCCCATTTTCTGGATTGGCAACAATCTAACCTTTTCTATAATTTCAGGTCGGGTTGAGCAAAACGGACTCCTCCTTGTTTGCCACCGGTATCTACGGAACAGTCAAGGTCGTTGCAACTGCGATCTTCCTAATCGTCGGTATCGATCGCTGGGGCCGAAAGAAGAGTTTAATTGGTGGTGCCGCTTGGATGGCTAGCATGATGTTCATCATTGGAGCAGTCTTGGCTACCAATCCCCCCCGACCCAGAAGCCACATCCGTCTCATCGGCGTCCACTGCCATGGTTGCGATGATTTATCTATATGTCATCGGATACTCAGCATCCTGGGGTCCAGTTCCTTGGGTGTATCTTGGCGAGGTTAGTCATTCATACTAACTATATATTTCCTTGTCCATTACAATCGACTAACATTGTTTGCACCGGCAGATCTTCCCAACTCGTCTTCGCGCCTACGGTGTCGGTTTCGGTGCCGCCACACAATGGCTGTTCAACTTCGTCATCACTGAGGTTACCCCTCGTGCTATCAATAAGATTGGCTGGAAGACTTTCCTCATGTTTGGCATCTTCTGCTTTGCCATGGGTGTCTTCGTCATCGTATTCTTCAAGGAGACCAAAGGCCGAACCCTGGAGGAGATGGATCTCATTTTCGGCGCTGTTGATGAGCAGCAGAGACGCGCTGATGTGGAACACACCTTGCAAAAGACTCAAATTATGCATCAAGAGCATACAGACACGACAGAGACTGCGAAGACTACAGAGACTACAGAGCACAAGCAGTGAAGTGGATGATAGAGTCATAGATTCCCCGTATTAAGCTATACCTGGATCTAGAATGTTACATTATATATCAGTAGCTTAAAATGAATACCATACATGAATATTTGACCGGAATTCTCACGGTAGAATAAAACTTATACTATGTATACCTCTACCCAATCACCGAGCCCCACAATAAATGCCGCGGGGAACTTCGAGATTTCCCCCTCACGCGTCACTTTTTGTTTCCCACACGCGTTGACGCCAACAATCTCGATTCTCGATGGGATCTCTCGATGAAACATGCGCATCTTTGCGCGCCCAGATCATTGCGACAGAAGCACAGCTTGCTGGCCTGAAAAGCGACCTTGCAAACGCCGAACAAGCGGCGCAATCGGAGACCGCACCGACCGCGGAAATTCAGTATAAGGACCAGAATGGTGAAGGAAGACGGTGGCCATTGCTCCAGGAAGAATACAAACGATATGGACGGCAAATGATTGTTTCGCAAGTTGGTTTGAAAGGTAAATCACGGCTTCGTTATGGCGGACATTTGGGAATTTCCCGCCTTGAACAGTGTGACTAATATTTCATTGAATCCACAGGTCAACTGAAACTCCGATCGGCTAGGGTTTTGCTCGTTGGGGCCGGAGGACTGGGATGTCCAGCTGCGCAGTATCTCGCTGGTGCTGGCGTTGGAACTATCGGGCTCATCGATGGGGATACAGTCGAAGTGTCGAACCTCCATCGCCAAGTCCTACACCGGACGAAGAATGTGGGGAAGTACAAGGTCGACAGCGCAATTGAGTCCTTGAAAGAGTGAGTGGATCTGTATAGGGGTATTGAACGACTCGCTGACGATTTCTTGTGACATCGCCAGACTGAATCCGCATCCCACATATATTGCCCATCGAACACACCTCACGCCTGAGGCAGCACCAGCGATCTTCCAGGGCTATGATCTTATTCTCGACTGCACTGATAACCCTGCGACGCGTTATCTGATCTCGGACACTGCAGTGCTTCTTGGAAAACCATTGGTCTCTGCGTCCGCCCTGCGCACCGAGGGACAGCTGATGGTGTTGAACAATCCGCCCCGAGCGCCCGGTGACAAGACTGGAGGGCCTTGCTATCGGTGTGTGTTCCCTAAACCACCACCGGCCGATAGTGTGGTCAGTTGTGCGGATGGGGGTATACTGGGGCCGGTTGTTGGGACAATGGGTGTATTGCAAGCCCTGGAGGCAATCAAGGTCATCACTGCCCCTGAGATTGACGGAACTCGTCCACAGGATCCCCCGTCTTTGCATATCTTCTCTGCCTACTCATCGCCTCTAGTCCGCACAATCCGTCTTCGTTCGCGCCGGGCCAATTGTGCCGTCTGCTCTACTGAAGCAACTGTGACACTGAACACAATAAAATCAGGGTCAATGGACTATCTGTTCTTTTGTGGATCCACCAACTTGCCCTCGCTACTAGGTCCCGAGGAACGTATTTCTGCTCGAGAATACAACGAGAGACACCCAAATGCGACCTCGGATCCGTCACAGCTCCACACGGTAATTGATGTCCGAGACGAAGCTCAATTTGGGATTTGCAGTCTGGAGAACAGCATCAACATTCCTATCTCAAATATCCTTTCCTCCGGTTATACTGCTGGGTTACAGGGGAACGATAATGGGCAACAATCTACCCAAATACCTTCTTGGTTACCGTCTGAGGTCGCCTCGTCTGAGTCCACGAATCCAATCTACGTTGTCTGCCGCCTAGGAAACGACTCGCAGATCGTCGTGAAGAAAATGAAGGAGCTAGGACTAGATCAGCACGGAAAGAGATTCATTGGTGACATTCGCGGAGGACTACGATCATGGAAAGAACAAGTGGATCCCTCATGGCCCGAATACTAAATCAATGATGTCGCTGGATTGTCCGAGCTATATCCCTTCCTTTTCCTATCTTTACCCACCAACCAGCCTCCAGTTCCCACATCATAGTCAATGACACTGTGAGAGGCGGGTGCCAAATCATAGCTCTATCTATATCCACCACCACTCAGTGTGAACCCGACCCTCATCGAGGTTGCCAAGCACCTCAAAAGCACCACGGCTGACGTCGATGTCAAACTCCGCACATCCCTCGCAACGATCCACCAGGGTGACATCTACACCCCTATCACCCCGTTGGATGTGGATCAACCGGCCACAAAGCGGATTGTGGTTGGGGTTACCGTCTACATTCGCTCGGTCATAGACAATATGAGACACAGCGCACACGTGCTCCCACGCGTTATTCCACCAGCCACATGCTCCAAGCCCGGTATCATACCAGGTTAGATCGCCGCCGAGGGTGTGTTCTGCGCCGGGACCGTGTGTATTGTTCAACCGGCCGGGGCTAAGGGCAGAGTTAGCATAGGCCTCGATGAAGCGTGGATCTAGGAACAGGCTGGAATGAAAATAACCGATAGGTTTGTATCAGTTTACTTACTTGCTGAGAACACGAGAAGTGGTGTTCTCATGGGGATCCATAGGATGGCCCAGAGCTAATCCCGTGAAGAGGGATGCCATCATGCCGATGGCCTTGCACTTGAAAATTGTGTTGCAAACCATTGTCAGCTCTTGTCCTTCTTGCTTTTCAGTAAAGGTAGTGGTTATGGTTGTCAATTTCAAGTCGAAGTTGGGGAATTCCCTCGCTGTTTATATCATGTTTCCGTGAAGACATTTGTACTTCAATGACGTATGTACTTAGGTTCATCACAATGCGGCGGAGTAACAGAAGCAAAACTAAATCGGAGTATCTGAAATAAACAGAGTGAACGGAGCGTTTTGATAGAATTGTTGTGTTGTTGTTGTCTGTTTATTGGGAAGGACAGAAACGGAACAGCACTCATTTTGGACATTGTCGTTTATTCAACCATATACATACCTTGGCGCAATATTACGTTAGAATCTCTTGGGAAAACTATAATCCAGACCCCGGAGCACTGTCGAGTTTACAATGTACGAAAAATCGGAAGATCGGAGGAAGCAACAACCCTAAAAGGAAGAATACACTCCGTACTTCATTCGTTGTAGACCACACTTTATACAGGACAACTTGGAGCGGTTTTTCAACTTGTCATGGGTGATTTATGTCTTGATTCTACTTCAGCGACTGGCTTGTTTTTTTAGTATGTATTTATGTAAATTCATCTAAAGTTGAGTTGTTATATATTTTCTCGAAATGACAGCTACTTGGGTGCGACTTTTCTTCAAGAAGAGAGAACTCGCCTAGAAAAGTTGCAAGGATCTAAAACCATGCAACAAATATTACTCCAGTTGTATTGACGTCCTCTTATTCAGAAAGACTCAATTCCTTCCCTCGAAAAGATTCCGCAACGAAGTCACCTTGGGTAACTAGCAGCGTGTCCTTCCAAACTCTTGAAGGTGCGCTGGTGAATATCCTTAGGTGATTCCTTCAAGCTCATGCGTTTGATTGGATTCACTTTGTGCCTTTGAATCTTTGTTATATAGATAGCTTGAGGGAGGTTTCTTTTCCCAATTTCACCACGGTTCAAATTCCGGGAGACAATGAACCTCTAAGACGGTATGTAATTCAAACCACAAACTAACCCTGATTCTACGGGCCTCCTGGTTAAACGTACGTTGAATTGAGAACAAAGACCCCCGCTTTACTCCGGAAATCACCCCGAAACGAGCAGGTATACATACTACCACCGGGGATGAGACCCGAAAGTAAGATTTGTACTTCTTCTTCCCGCAGTATCCGACTCGCAATGATTCTTCATGGACTAATTGAAACATTGCGGATGGGAGTATACAAAGGATAGCCTGAAATGGCATAATCCGGTTTATAGCTGGTCAGCCTTTGGCCTGCAAGGCTAATGAATATGCTGCTGGCCTGAGTGACAGACATCCTGACAAGTTTAGATTTTTCGAGTCTGTTCCCTCATTGGATGGACATAGAAGGCGGCGTATTAGCTTAGATTTAGCATGGGATAGATATTTTGAATGCTGACGGTGTCATACTGTTCACAAGATATGATCATTGTAATAGCTATTTAGGCCATTCAATGTTTACACCCATTTGGGCGGAGTTCAATAAGCGCAAAGTAGTGACCCTTATTCATCCTACCCATCCGGTAGATCTCGCCAGAGTCATTCCACTCACGCAGCAATTCCCAAATTGTGTCAAATCGAGGGTTCTTTCTGCCTTGAGGAATCGAACATGGCCGATCAATCGACTATCAGATGGCAGAGTCAGCAAACCGATTGACATAATTCTAGTCGGTCCAATTAGTTAGCCCGGCAGGTCAAGTGCTTGAAAAGTAAATAAATATAGCAATTTTATTACCGAATCTACCAGATGAAAGAATTGTACCGTGAAGAATCCTGATGTGTTTGCCTTACTGATCAGGCATAAATATCCGGATTTTATATGCGGAGAGCATTCCTCCCCCCACATGTGGTAGCCAATCACTTAAGGGCGGAGTGTACTGCAAACATCCACGACACGATTGGGACTTTCATCCGACTACTTTGCCCTTTCATATTACTCCACCAGCTCTGGAGGCTTGCCTAAATCTATCGCGTTCTTGTCCGTTTGGAAGATCCTCCTCTTTTGAAGGTCACGTGGGTCATGCCGCGTTTCTGAAGATTCGGATCTTGTGTGGCTGGGCCGAGGCACATCACTGTGCGACCCCTGTGTGAATATGGCGCACGTTCAATCCCATCAGTCGGGCTCATCCTTCGGGTCGTCGCCATCGCTAGATGCGCAAGGTGACCCTAACAAACACAAACCGTCAATCTTCGGTTTTGTCAAAAAGACATGGCAGAAAACGGGCTTGGACAGACCAACCATTCTCTTGATGATGAAGTGAGTTCAGAATCAAGCTTCCATCCAATATTCCACGGTAGGAGATATCTAACAGCTACTATAGAGGCGGCATCCCACCCACAATAGCTGTTTCTATGTGAGTTATCAACCTTAGAAGTTCTCGGTTTATCAGAATCACCCTGACCCTTAGTCTAGCTACCAATCCAAGCCTGTTGCCAACGAGTACACAACATTGGGTTATCTCGTGGCTATCGTCTCTATTCTGGGCTTTGCGATCATGCCCCGCGCAAAGTTCATCCAGATGATGATCTTTGACATTTTGGCCGTCTGCATAGCAGCTTGTTTGGCTCTGTTGACAATGTTCTGCAGTGTCAGGGCGCGTCAACACACCACTAATAACCCCACTGATGCATACAATTCGTCTGCGTCTGCTGTCAGTGGTTTGTGGCTATTCATCCAAATCTGGATGGTTCATACCTTCCGCGCCAAGTACCCGCAGTTGCAATTCCCCGTTATTATTTACGCAATCTTCGCGAACATTTCTTCGATATACGCACCGCAAATGAAGAACATGACAGCTGCATTTGCGATGGTGGGCCGATTGCTTAAATCATGCCTTACTGGCCTCGCCATTTCAACAGCAACGTCACTATTCATCCTGCCGATGACGTCACGGCAGGTCGTCTTCAAACAAATGGCAGGTTACATTGGCGGGCTTCGCTCAGCTTTGAATGCCCATGCTCTATACTTCCAATCATTGGAAAGAGATGACATGTTTGGTCGCACGGAGACATATGATGACGCCCGTGAGAAGTTTGGCAAGAAGGGAAAGATCTACAGTCCCGAGGCAGAAGCCATCCGCGGTGCGGTGCGGCAGATCACAGATATCCACGCCAAACTCCATGGTGATCTCACGTTTGCGAAGCGTGAGGTCGCATTAGGAAAATTGGGACCTGATGATCTTCAAGCCATCTTCCGTCATCTTCGCCAGATTATGATCCCGGTCGTGGGGTTGAGCTTCGTGGTGGATATATTTCAGCGACTGTCAGATTATAACAGATGGAACCAGCCCATTGATTTAAATGAGCCTGTGGTCCCAGAAGATATCCGACAACGCGTTGTGCACGAGTGGAATGATATCATGAGGGCGGTGCATGATCCCTTCGCGGTGATGATCCAAACTATTGATGAGGGATTGGTACATATCTCCTATATTTTCGGGCTAACAAAGCCACCCAAACGCAAAAGTGCAGCTAAATCTTCAAATGAAAATTCGATGGAGGGAGGCGAAGATGTCGAGGCCAGAGCGGAGAGCACTGCGCCTGGAGAAAAAGCATTTACCCAGCATTTTGAAAAGAAACTTGGCGAATTTCGAAGCGCAAAACGCCTTGCTTTACAAACATGGGCTGAGGAGAAGGGTGTGACGCTCCCGCCCGACTTTTTGATCACCCTGATTCTGCTAAAATGCCGGACACCGATTTTTTGGACACTTCGGCTACGCAAAAAGAGCGAAGCCGACGACAACTGTATCTGTTTCTCTACGTAAGCCTTCGTCTACCAGTCAGTCAACACAATGAAAGCTAACATAAACTTAGATGGACCAATTGCTATACTCAACCGGTCAGACCGTGCTCGACTTTGTCCGCTATGCCAATCATGTGGAGGCGAAAGGCAAGCTATCGAAGACTCGACTCGTCATTCCTGGTGGTAAGCGAGTTTGGAAGTGGGCCAAGTCCTTTTTGAGTGCTCAGGATCATGAAGATGATAATATGGGTGACATCCATACACAAAACAACATACTTCAGCTTGGCGAGGCATACAAGCTGCGCAAAGACCCCGAGCACCTACCACCGACAACTATTTTTGAGAAAATTGGAGACAGAATTCGGGTCATCCCGGGATTTCTGCGCTCGTTCGAGTCAACCTATGGCTTCCGTGTCGCCTGTGCCACCATGACTATTGCAGTAATTGGGTTCTTACGCGATACGCAGACCTTCTTCACTGCGCAAAGATTAGTATGGGCCTTAATCATGGTCAATCTCAGCATGTCACCCACCTCAGGACAGAGCATTTTCAGTTTCGTGTTGCGGATTTTGGGTACATTCCTCGCAATGGTAGCAAGTCTTCTGATATGGTATATTCCAGGAAAACATACACCGGGTATTATCGTTTTCCTGTTTATATTTGTATCTATGGCCTTCTATATCCCCATCAAGATGTTCCGCTTCCGAGCTGTTGGGATCATCAGCATCATCACTACAAGCATGATCATTGGATATGAGCTCCAAGTTCGCCGAGTCGGTGAGGCAGTCGCGACATCCAATGGGCAGCCCTTCTACCCCATTTACCTCCTGGCACCTTATCGCCTGGCCGTTGTGGCGGGCGGTATTGCTGTCGCATTTATTTGGACATTCTTCCCATATCCAATCTCTGAGCATTCAGTCCTCCGTCAAAGTCTTGGAGCATCTTTGTATCTTCTGGCAAACTACTACTCGATCATCCACGAGACGATCTCCGGCCGCATGCGTGGTGATGAGGGCGAATACCTACTCAAGACCTCTTCCGGTCGCAAACTTGAGAAAGCGCGCCACAAAGTGTTTTCAAAGCAGATGCTTATGCTAGCCGGTTTACGGACATACTCTGGGTTCCTTCGCTGGGAGGTTCCGATTGGAGGTCGATTTCCCAAGAAGCAGTATGATTCGATTATTCTCTGTGTCGAAAAGTGTGTTATACCCTCTCACATCCTTTCCATCTACTAACAGTGCTTGTCTTTTAGCATCGTGAACTACCTCAGCTTGCTGGGCTACGCGTCTGATACACTTATGTATGAGGATCCTGCAGATACAGCCTGGATGACCGACTTCCGACGGCTGATCAATACTGCCAAAGTGACAACCCACGAGGTCACATCTTTGCTCTGCCTTCTCTCTGCTAGCATTACGAACCGACAACCTTTGCCGCCGTATCTCAAAGCACCCCGTCCGTACGGCTTCACGAAGCGCCTTATGGAACTCGACAGTGACCTTCTTAGCCTCCGACACATTGCCGAGCCGGGATTCGCGGCATTTGCAGTTCTGCAGATCTCGACCCGCTGCATTGTCGGTGATATGGACAGATTACTTCGGTAAGTTTCTAATAGAACTTTGTTGTTAGATGCGACCAGGTCTTCTAATTAGGCTGTTCATTCTAGGCTTGTCAAAGATTTAGTCGGCGAATTAGACTTCTCTTTCCATGCTGTAAGCACGGGAGAGTCAATGGCCGAGTCGCGAATGCCCTCTCGGGCAGGATCAAGGGTGGATCTGAGCGAGTATGCACCATCCCAACGTGGTGATCGGCACAAGAACGATTGATTTATTGTCTTTCCTTTTGGTGGTTGCTAGTTTTTCCGTACATATTTTGACGTGGCTTGTACATAAAAGAGATGACTGGCATCATTCTACCACTGCCTTTGTCAATGCATGGGATTAGTTGTACGTTCCTGCGGTAGATCTCATTGTCAAGAGAACTGACCTTGTACTATTCTTATGACGAGCGGTATTCACTAGATTTCACCGTTAAACGCAAGTATGGAAAGCATGCAGCGTAGTGGCAGAACTACATGTTTTCTGCTGCGACCTTTTTACACATTTACCTATGTGTATAATACCCTAGTGCTCCTGACACTAACTAGGCTTCATACCGGAGGGAAGAAGGTCTGTTGAATGATCTAGTGCAATGAAAATACAGCTTCCACTGTAGTTACCCAAGCATTTTACGTGTGAATGTTGGTTGGTCATATCTTCCCGAGATCCTATCGACGTGTCCATTCAATAGAGGCGTCCTAAATGATCGGGGTAATTGCAAAAGTACATAGGTGGTTATCCTAACTCAATCATTCATTTTACCAGCAGCCCATGCGCAAGTCGGGACATTTCATACATATAGGATGAGGTCTTGGTCCCGCTTAGGTGCTACGTGACTGGACCTTGGTGTCAACGTTCATTCATTCAAATTGAACTGGGACGTCATCCTGCCACTTTCGGACATAGTCAAGATTCCGATCGTCCACTTCGTCTTCTCGGCCTGACGAGCTGGATTCACTTAACGCGCCATTATCATCTCTATCAATCAAAAACTCCAACCATTCATGTTTCCAAAGAGTCTTTTCTTCTGGCCTGATACCTTCGGAAAAGAATGTCCAAGAGAATAAGTTTCGTGTAGCAAGTTCGGAAACAATGTCGTCAAACCCTTCTTCAACACTTGCTTGTACAAGGCTCGGTCCTATGCTTGCGGGGCTTGGTGACAGTTTCTTCTTCAGCCAAGAACGTGTGAATAAAAGATGTTCATGGGCGGCAGATCGGATTGAATTCGGAAGTAGACAGACGACAGCCAGCGTGCCTGAGAGAAGGAGGGAGCTATACTGTAAAATAAAAATCATCATATTTTAGTAAATGGTCTTCACACAGCAGGGAATGTATTGGATAAATCATCGAATCTGCTAACCTTTTGCAGCAAGCTATCAATCCTAAACGATGATTTGTACAAACTTGCACACGTAATGATAGTGGCTGCGGAGATTGACGCCAATATATGGACCTTAGATCTCGGATTTGGTTTGTTCGACTTGTATGACATGCCAAAATCACTCAAGTCTTTCCCATTTTGACATAGCCAATTCCAAGAGTGATATTCCAGCCGGTGATCACACGACATATGCAGTCTAACCCCGAGAGATGTGTTCTGGACATTCACCATGCCAAATGGAGGGTATGGAGAAAGAGGAGGGTTTCCATACTCTTGCGAGTCCTCATCCGTGATAAATAAAAGGCGGAACTCATCTTCTCTTGAAATCATGTCCAAGCCATCGATATTTTTGACTGGCGTAAGGCGGTGGTATTGAGGGTCCATAAATGATTGAGGAGATGAAGTCCAAATGACAGCCTCTAAAGACACTGTTGGTAGGAACGTTCGCGACACTTCAAATACTCGGGGCAAAAGACCTGTAATTGCAGAACCTAGCCATAGGGAAGCTACGCTCGGTCTGCGTTGAGACATGGCAACAATGACGGGGTGAAAATTCTTTGATCGAATGAAAGGGGGAAGACTTCTTTTATAGGTGGATGTAGCCATTGACTGGCCAGGTTGCATGTGATACCGGGCTCCTAGAAAGAGCTCATAAGGCATGACGTAACGAGACCAGAACTGCATGACAAGGCCATAAAATGAGGAAGCTCGGCGGTGGTTGGGATTTGATTGACATATATCAACTGGGTATTCTGGCGTGAGCTGGGTGAAACGGGGCTATTGATAGGTTTAGGTAGGATAATAGAAGCTCCAAATCGGTTATGCGATGGCAATGTGATGGCAGCAGCTAATGCGGCAATCAATTGATCGAAAGCATCTTGAAATCGGGCAAAATTGTAGAGGTATCCCAGGGCTTCTTCTGCGGACGGTGTCTCGGAGGAGATCGAGATCGAGGATGGTATTTGTGCGCAATGGCGTAATCTGAATGTACTGCTGTCCAAATGGCATTCCCATGGCGGATAGTACTCTTTACCATCCCGAGTCAGAGTTGCCTCCCAGCCACGTCCCTCTGCAAGGATTGCAGCCCACCATTGAACTGCAGCAATATCATTACTACCAATATCAAGATCGAAGCAATCGCCAGCCTGGTCTCCTTCGCGCCTATCCCATTGTGCGTGATTGTTAGTATACACAAGCTTATCACCTGCTGTTCTCCGGCGTAGCTCTATCATCCGTGCTGAAAGGATATATGACCAACCAAGGACAAAGGCGCAGAGATAGTTACCCACAGGTTCTTGGAGTGGTTGAAATCCAGTCCATTCCGGGATATATTCTGCCGACAACTTGCATGTCTGCGGATGAGAGTTCGCAATACAGAGATGTCGCGGTAAATTCTTTTTGAAAGGGGATAGCTCACAAGTACTCCTTGAAGACTTATCAGCCGGCAAGACTGACCATTTTGAGTAGCCTTCTAAGGACAAAAAACTCTTTCCCGCGCATTCTGCGACCTCAGTGCATTGGGGGATCGAAGGTGTTTTGTTGAGGAGAACATTCACGTTACTGCAGGAATAAGGCAAGTTGGTTGCGGACTGAGCCAAGGATAATGAGGCATGCCATCTTGACTTAGAATGAGTCAAAGTCTGGGATGAAAGGAGAAAATCAGGGCGCAGTAAGTCATGGCTGTTAGGATCCATAAGACCCACTTGAAACCGACGTCGAGCTATGAAGATTGCAGGGCTCTCCTCCCAATGGGACTTCGAGTATGCAGAATAATCTTAAAAAGACAAACACGCTGAATGAAGACGCTCAAAAGATAAGAGATGCGAGTTCAGAGAAGGGAGATGTGTCGTCCCGGAGATGGTGTCGGTATGGGTTTAACAACGTTTCATAAACACACCACAGCATGCAATTTGAGGTTCTTGCGAAAAAAAAGTCCTGCGCACGATCGAAAAGACCAGACAGGAGAGTGATGAAGAGAAAGGAGGCAGCAGACCTATTTATTCAAATGCATATAGTCACGTTCTTATGCCTCAGGCAGAGAGTCAATCTCCACCACGGGAGCAACCGCTCCAAAGGGTCCACTCTAGGGCTTCATCTTGCAATGTTATATATCTTTTAGTCCTCCTAGAAGGCTTCATCCAATGTCCTGTGCGATTGATAGGCCTCCTTTCCTACTCAGAAATCCCTCTTATGTTGGCTTTCATGTGGAAGTTTTTCATTTCCAATTGATTAAATCTGCGGAAATCGACGACTAACGGTATTATATACTTCTGTATGGTATGCTGAGCTCATACATAGGTAGTTGTTATATGATTTTATAGGTAAATTACCCTATCTCCGCATATATTTAGACTTTGATATACCCTCTAGCTTTTGAAGGCTACATTTTTCTAGCTTTAATAGCTGATAATACACATGACACTGGCATGTGTACATATGCACGGCCGACTTTGCTTACTGCCACAATCGTCCGTGTTGCAACTTGACAAAGTCAACATCACTAATCGGAAACTTGGAAATGAATGAGCCCCCCCAAGTGAGTGTAAAAATCCTGGGAGCAGAAACTCAGAAAATTAGAAAACCAGTGAAAGACAGAGAAAATCCAAGATAGAGGGCAGACAAGGGCAAACCCCGCTGATAAAGTTTCGTTCAGTATCAGAAAAATAGACTGAAGGGACTTAGGGCAATCCACAAGGGTAACTATGTTGAAACCAAAATGACCTCGATGGTCAAGCACGTAGGTAGGTGATGTGCTGCACTTAGTGGCTCGTTTACAACACGCGCGAAGGGCAGTATTCATAAAATTAGATGCTCGGACCGATGGCTAAGATTCCCAAGCATCAGTCATGCTCCGTATTAGAACTTTTAAGTGCAGTTTCGAGTTGTTCCATCGAGTATTCCAGGGAATCCGTGGCGCGCTTTGTCCCAACAAATGTATGGTCAACGACACCCGATCTCCTGGAAAACGACAGCAAAGGCGATAAAGGACCATGTCTGGATATCACGTACATATATACATATAGATGGGATCTTAGTCCACTCAGGCGCTACATGACTGGATCGCAGTGTCAAGGAAGTATGTTCAGTATGTTGCACATGTTGTGGTTCTAAGAGACCATTATACCTAGCTTAGGTATATTCCAAGGTTTCATTGAAGCCTTTAACCCTTTAAGGGGAAGTACTAATGAGAGGAGTGGTAGGCAGAACCAGGTGCGGTTAGGGATTGGGGGACTGAAACTCCAGGCAGGAGGCCAGTCTAGCGAAGGGCGCCGGTGTTCTCGGCTACTTTTAAAGCTTCTCCATATTTTCCACCTTACTACCTGTGGAGACATTATATAACATTGAATTTTGCGATACAACTGAAAGATACTACCACAAGATAAGAGCTATGTGGAGTTCACACAGCAAAATTCCTTAGATCATGCACGGAATGCTTGATGCACATACATCAAACAAGGGATGGGGAGGTTGGAATGCCAACTGTGCTAAGACCCTGGCGCCCTTCAACCCATCATTCCCAGGGATTTAGCTCTAATATTCCCCGCGATAGATGGTTTAAATAAGAATATATCAATCTCCGGACCAATAGCAATGCAGGTTCTATGTATCCCTTCTTTTGTGGAATCCACCTAACCGTCTCCTTCACAGGTTTCCCGACGACGAAGGGGCGGAGGGGGATCTCCTATTACACATCTCTTCCATCCCACGTTAGTGTGGGTAACCTTGCAATGCTAGCTATGAAATTTCTTCCGGGAATCACTGTTGAGTTTCGATCGATGCCGCGAACGACCTCAGATACCACAGTACCCCGATTCCCGTAAACGACAACCTAACGACTAGTATATATACCTCGAGAGGCCTTTTGATGGACAAAGTCAACACAATGGGACGCCATTCAATAGCCGAAGAAATCTACGATGATGAGTCGAAAGTCAACTTCGGTGTGCCGGGCAGCGTCCGAAGTGTGGACGGCATGACCACACATAACGCAGCGCTGGGGAGCTCAATTCAACTATTAGAGAGCGAACCTCCAACCGAAGAACAAAAGAAACGAATCGAAGTGCGAGAATGGCTGGTCTTTATCTGTATCGTTATTCTGGCAATGATGGATTCATTCAATGCGACCATTTTGATCCCAGCTTTACCTGTATGCCACATGCAATACCCCGAGTGTGATTCGATATCCATACCAGAACTGACCAGAGACTCAATCTAGGACCTGGCAAACGCATTCGCAAAGCCACTAGCAAGCACATTCTGGGTCAACACGGTATACCTCCTTTTCGGCGCAACCAGCCAGCTTTATTTCACCATGATGAGCGAAGTCTTCAACCACGGACCCGTATGGATTATCGCCGTGGTCCTCGCAACAATCGGCACAGGAATCTGCTGCGGTTCAATGAGTCTAGCGGAACTGATAATCGGCCGCATGATCCAGGGTATCGGCGGCGGCGGCGCAATGAGTCTGTGTTTCGTGGTAATGACCGAGACGGCATCTGAATCCATGCATTCACGGTATTCGTGGTATATCCTGTTGACGCGCATGTGTGGTGGCATCCTGGGACCCGTTATCGGAGGCTTGTTTGTCGATAATACGGACTGGAGGTGGATGTTTTATTTCAACTTCATTTTCTGCGCGCTTGGTTTGCTGGTTATTCCGTTCGCTGTGGATCTTCGCGCAATGGAATATATCCCCACGGACAAATTGCGCGGTTTGGATTGGACAGGTACTACTTTGGCCTTTTTCGGGCTTGGGGTTATTCTGGTTGGTCTTTCTTGCGGTGGGAGCTCGTATCGCTGGGGAGAATGGCAGACGATTGTGCCTCTTGCGGTGGGCACTTCCATTATTCTTGCGCTTGTCTTTTATGAGGCCAAGTGGGCTGTGCATCCGCAGTTTGGGAGGAAGGCATTTCGCTCGAGAATGATGGTTATGACACATCTAGGGTGCTTTTTGCATGGCTTTGTGGTTAGTCAACATTCGCTTTGCATCTCCTTCATGGTGTCTAACATACTAGTCTAGGTCTTTGCCCACTTGCAATTTTTCCCATTGTATTTCATCTCTACTCATTATATGTCCGCCACTTTGTCTGGAGTTACCTTGCTAGCCATGGTTGGGCTTGCGATTGTGCCGGCTACAGTGGTCGGTGTCATTCTTGCGAAGGAGTTAAGATGCACCCAGTGGCTCATCTCTGGCGGATGGGTATTGACTGCCCTGGCGAGTGGGTGCTCTATACTCTTGGATAACTCCACGCCGACCGTAGCGTGGGTATTTTTGTTGTTCACAGCAGGCCTTGGACACGGTTTGTTACTTTCAAGTTACAATGTTCGCGTCCAGAATCTACCCAAAGATGGGGATGGATCCATGTCAACCCTGCCAACAACCATCTCATATTACATGCGAGGTTGGGGTATGGCAGTCGCGGTCCCTGTCGGGGGAGTTGTGTTGTTGAACTGTTTCGGCAATGGACTTGCAGGTGTTGGGTTGAATCGAGACATAGTAAACTCTACCAACGGATATCTCATTCTTATGAAGGACGTGAGTATGACAAGTAAACAGAGAGAAGCAGTTACGGTTGTTTCGGTTGAGGCCTTTCAAGGAGTATGGGATCTCATCACGGGTGTGGCTATCCTTGGGGGGATGTCGTCCGGTTTCCTGTGGCGAAAAAAATGAATGTGAATATTAAACGTGTCAGAATTAAAAAGCATTGGTAATTGCATTTGTTGCAAAACGAACGTCAGCTAACCTGATCGTGTATGAGGTTATGGCAGGCAATGTAAGGGCAAGAAGCGAACGCATCGATTGAACTCTGGTAAGAATAACTCGGATTTCATGCTAAAAGCTGATTTCACTTAAGAATAAAAGTCATTGTCTCGGTGAAAGTAAAGGTCATGGCAATCAGGCTGGAATGGGTTTTCCTATGATGTTCGCTAGTCTTACTAGCTCGAACTCGATCCGCTTGTATCCTTCAGCCTGTCCGGCACAACGAACTCTCGCTTTCCCTTGATTTTCCAGCCAGACAGTCTGTCTTTGCCAAGCATCTCCAGCGTCTTATTCTCAACGAGACTGTATTTGGAGGGATCATTCCGGTCAAAGTTGAACGGTTGTTTCAAGGACACTGGGGGGTTGGTGATAACGCGTGGGTGTCTCAAGCTGTTGACAGAAATCGAGTGACACATCAAAGGATGGAGAAGAACGACATCGCCCACCTTGCCAGTCATCTGGCGGAAGTCGCTGCAATTCTTAACAATATCCGAGTAAAAGGGCGTGTCCTCGGGATTCCCAACAGGCTCTTGGCCACGAGGATACATATATGGTGTGACGCCCTCAGGATGATTGTACTAGAAAAACACGAGTCAGAAAGGCGTAAAAGTGGAATAAGAACCTTGATCACCTACCAGATGCTGGGCAACATATTTCATCGCCTCGGGGCAGATCATAGTGCCACCTGCACGGTCCTGGATATCGGTAAATAGGGGTATAACGAGTAGGGCTTGCTCTGGCGAATCAAGGAAATGAATAAAGAAGTCGCCATCCACATGCCATCCCGGCAGATCAGCAGGATGGGGCCACGTGCCCTCTGACTCTGGTGAGCCAAGATTGACGATCAAGGCATCGTTCCAAGTAGCCGATTCCGGGGCTACGCGATCTTCGCCCCCGAGAAGCTCGCAGATGGCCGCCCATGCTTTGGGGGCAAAGGTTCTGACCGGTTCTTCCTTGTTGTCTCCCATGTGGGTAATTTCGGTTGTCCATGTTGACTTGTCTGTTGGTGACACACCGAGTCTAGTCCACACATCGCCTGCCCATTCGGTTGCTTTCTCCCGCGAGAAACAGTCTGGTAGTCCCAAGTACCCAAATCTCATGAAATGATCTATTTGCTCTTGTGAGAGCTTGTACTTGGGTTGGACTGGCATTGTGTCTAGGTCGCTTCAGGTGAAGCTACAGCATGAGCCCACATTTTAAGAAAAATCAGGAGATATGGACTTGTGCATTGATAGCACCTGGGCAGTTACTTACTTGGGGAAGGTGCTCCTTGTTTCTGCCGGTAATTCAGATCGCACCAATTAGAGGCCTTCTTCGACTCTTGTATTCGAGGCGGTCACCGGAACAAGACTGAAAGAAGGAAGCGGTAAATTGGGGTTCCCCTATTATTTGATATTCGTATCCCTCTTCTTCAAAATATGGCGTTTGCTTGGATCTGAACAAGATCTCTTGTGCCATTAACCGCTTTATTAAATGGCGTTGCCAAGATATGAATTCCGGCTAAACGGTCAAGCATGGCCTAGTGCATATCCCCCGCAAATGAAGAATTCCCCCCCCAACTTCCCCCTGGGCTTCTTGTCATCACCACTCATACCACCCCATTTTATTTGCCTTCCCGTGGCGTCCAGGCTAATATGGTTTCTGAATCCGACACGGGGCTTGTCATTCAGGGCCTGAATCCATCTGGATTCTGGAATACAGAGAAATTCCCAACATAAATCACCCAAAACCTTGAGCAGAAACAGACCCAATGTTCAACACAGCTGACCTAGCTCACACCTCAAATAAACACGGAGGATCGTCAATAGTATACGCTTTTCCTTCTCCATGTTTATTTATTTGTGGGGCTCGGGCCGCACAATTATGGGGAAGAACAACATTCGTCTCGTATCCGAGTATCCTAAGCCCGCGGCGCATAGCTATGTACTCAAGTACTCCAGGCTAATTGTGACCATGTGACTCGGCTGTTGTAACCCATTTGTTAGCGCCAATCACATCTCTGCATCAAACTTTAGCCTGGGCCTAATGCCCCGTGGCCCTAAAACCCGGAGATAGAACGTCTTTGCCCTACCAACATCCCCTATATGGCAAGGCTGGTCTGACATTCCATCAATCCGGCTAGTCCGTTCATGAATAGGCATTTATAGTCCCGGCGCTGCGCGAGATCCGTCCTAGCGTCTTGGGAAATACTCGAATTGCTTTGTCTCCATTTTCCCCAATATGTGTTTCGATGATGAAAACTGGGGAGAGCTGTCGACTCGAGCAAATCAGCCAAGACATCAGCTCTCATTCACCGGTTAATATCACAGCTTATTATCCCATGATGGCAAATCTGAATTGCTTAAAAGCTCTGGGGGTGCCCCCTATCTCCACATTCCTCTGCTTTGTTGTGTTCCAGGCTCGGTGGATATCTCAACTTTCTCATACACTTCATCTAAGCAGACTATACAGACAGCATGGGTATCGCTGTCGGAGCTTCGACTCTGCAGTCCGATTTGGACGCGACTCAAGCTGCAAAGCCTGAGTTGGAGAAGGTTAACTGGTGGCAAGAGCCTGGTCTGCGCAGGCTCTATTTATGGGCTTCTGTGCTTTGTATTGCTTCTGCTACTACTGGATACGATGGGTAAGAATCATAGCTATGTTATTGAATATGTATAGAGCTGACGGGATAGGATGATGCTTAACACCTCCCAGAATTTGGATACGTGGCAGACGTACTTCGACGCACCTAGTGGGGCGAAGCTGGGATTGATGAATGCAATCTACCAGATTGGTAGTCTTGCCAGTTTTCCTTTTGTGTAAGACATTCTGCACTGAACACAATGGAGGCGCGCTGACTCGAATAGGCCCTTCATCGCTGATCGATGGGGCCGCAAGGTTCCCATCATGATCGGATGTGTCTTGATGATTTTCGGTGGCTTGCTCGGTACATTCTGCACAAACTATGGAAGTAAGTTTACCTATTTTATATACTGGGACCATTAGATTTACTAATCTTATCTAGTGTATGTCGCCGGTCGATTGCTCCTCGGTTTCGGCAACAGTCTGGCTCAGATGGCATCCCCAGTCCTACTCGCTGAGATCTGCCACCCCCAACACCGCGGAAAGGTCACCACTATTTACAACTGCTTGTGGAATTTGGGCGCACTAGGTGTGTATCCTTCAGACCAGTCTTTGGACGTTGGTATGCTGACTGGGTTTAGTTGTCGCATGGCTTGCATGGGGAACGATGTATATCCCCAACGATTGGTCATGGCGTAGTTTGACCATCCTCCAAATCTTCCCTGCTGTCATTCAGATCATCTTCATCTGGTGTAAGTTTCATTTTCCTTCTTTCACTCGATTGAACCCAAGGTGGCTGATCATTATTAGGGGTCCCGGAATCTCCCCGTTGGCTCGTCTCCAAGGAGCGGTACGAGGAAGCATTGGACACACTCGCCTACTACCACGGAAATGGTGATAAGAACAACGCCACCGTTCAATTTGAGTACCGTGAGATCAAGGAGACTATCAGCTTGGAGATGCAGTTCCAGAAGAACAGCAGCTACTTGGACTTCATGAAGACCAAGGGTAACCGTTACCGTTTGGCACTTTTGGTTTCTCTGGGAATCATTTCCCAATACAGTGGCAATGCCTTGTTCAGCAACTACACCAATTTGATCTACAACAGCATGGGTATCACTGAACAAACCAAGAAGATTCCTGTTCGTTTTCCCCTCGTCCTTTGTCAAATGACCCTCGCTGACATTTTATAGCTCAATGGTGGACAAACCCTACTCAGTCTGATTGTTAGTGTTTCGAGTGCGTTCTTCGTTGACCGAGTCGGACGACGACCACTTTTCCTGGTTTCCACAGTTGGTACGTGCCAGCATTCCCCTTGGTGATTTTGCCGAGTTACTAACTTTTCTCCTCTTAGGCATGGTTCTCATGTTCCTCGCATGGACCGTCGTTTCCTCCGTCTTCGAAAGAACCCAGGATGTCGCGTCTACCGGTTACCCACAAGTCGTTTTTGTCTGGCTCTTCTCTGTGTTCTACGCCATTGCCTGGTCGGGTCTACTCGTCGCCTACGCGCTCGAGATCTTGCCCTATCGCCTACGTGCAAAGGGCATTATGATTATGAACCTGACGGTGCAGGCATCTCTGGTTCTTGGAAAGTAAGTTGCGCGAAATATATGTACCCACTCTTTAGACGAAACTAACCATCCTAGTTACACCAACCCAATTGCGTGGGAGAACCTTCCTCACCACTGGAACCTCTCAATGATCTACACTATTTGGATCTTCGTCGAGCTTTGCTTCGTCTACTTCTTCTACGTTGAGACCCGGGGTCCTACTCTCGAGGAGCTGGCTAAGATCTTCGATGGTGATGATGCCCAGGTGGCGCATGTCGATCTGCAGCAGGTCGTGAAAGAGATTCAAATCACGGAGAAGGAGTCACCTGAATATATGGAACATGCTTGATTGTGTATTATTGTGGAAAGTTGTCCATAGGGCATACCTTGGATAATAATATTTACTTGTTACTGATGAATTAATTTGATAACGCTTTCCTTAGCTGTTCTATGATTTCCACAGACAAGGAGGGGATTCAATCCATTAGATTGTCTAGAAGGAGACAGATTCAAATAAGGAATATGAGCTCCTTCCTTTTACGTAGTTGCCACTCGCCTCAGCTTCCCTCGACTTCCCCCAACTTCACTTCACAACTTCACAACTTCAGTGAAGCCACTTCATTTTTCACTCTTTCATACATAATCATCCATTCTGTTATCATACATTGATACCAGCATCTCTCATTCCAAATACTCTTCTTACCATTAATATGCGTTTCCACATAGCCATCCTTCTGGGCGTGGCCTACTTGGCCACTGCTGCTCCGTTTTCGAATGTGTCGACTTCCCCTCTTCCGGATGGAATGCCTAATCCAAGCCCCAGTGATCTGGAGACCATTGAGCTGGATTCACACGGAACTCTTCCAAATGGTCCTCCTCCCCCTGGTATCAGCGAAGGAGGGATCGTCAACCTCAAGCTCATCGCATTCAACGAACTCTTTGAAGTTGCCTTTTTCCATCAACTGATCACAAACATCACCGACAAGGTCTCGGGTTATCGCTTTACTGATGAAGAGGATTATGACTATGTTTTGGATGGGTTGCACGCCATCCTGGCTGTATGACATGATGTTCCCGTGTCACTTGGTGATATTTACTAATTTGACGCAGCAAGAGGAGCTCCATGTTCTCGACGCCAACAACGCCTTGGCCCATTTTGGGTTTGACCCAATCCAGCCTTGTCAATACACTTTCCCCGTCCATGACTTCGACTCCGCCCTTGTTCTCGCCACCACCTTCACAGATGTGGTTCTGGGTACTCTGCAGGACGTCGTGGAGAGATTCGCTCTCGGTGGTGACTTTGCGCTGACACGCGCGGTTGCCTCAATTATCGGCCAGGAGGGAGAGCAGCAGGGATGGTTCCGCATCATGCAGGGCAAGATCCCTAGTGAACTGCCCTTCTTGACGACTAGTGATCTCAATTTTGCCTTCACTGCCATTCAGAGCTTCGTCGTGCCCGGCACTTGCCCCAATATTAACTCCATTCCGCTCAAAACCTTTGCACCTCTCGATTTCATCATACCACCCACCGCAGAGACCAGAGGCATCAAGTTTTCCTTTTCCGTCGACGATCACGACAAGATTGATCGAGATATGCTGTGGCTCACCTACATCAATCAGCAGAATAAGCCAATCGTGGAGCCTCTCCACATCATCGCGGAGAACCACACAATTACTGCAAAGGCTTTGTTCCCCTATGAGGCACATCAAATGAACGGGCTAACCATCGCTGCGGTGACCACATCCCAGGGACCATTCCCAAATGCATACAGTGTGGCAAATGAAACTGTCGCTGGACCTGGTCTTTTCATCCTCAAGTAGTTGAATTCCATCCTCAGCCGCCTATCATTAGCCCTATAACTTGAGCCCAAGTTGTCCATCTTGCCAACTCGAACTAGTTCTAGGTTCATTGCTCTCTTCAATAAATCAAATGATTTCATATTAATGATAGTAGATGACTAGTTATATGATCTTCTTGTTTAAATTACACACATACAATCCCAACCACTTCTCCCACCCCCTCATCACCTCACAGCTTCCCTGCCCAGGATTATATAACACTCAACTCCACTTTAAAGCTTACCCTGACCAGCATTAGCATTAACACTGGCAACAACGGAAGTGTAAGCCGCAGCAGAAGCAATGTTCTTTCCAGCAAAGTTGACCAAGAATCCAGTATCAGCGCGGCCATCGAAGGTTCCGGAAGATCCGAATCCATTGAGCTGGCAGGCACGGCCGAGGTGAGAGCTGCAGACACCGTTGGTGTTGGTATCGGGCGAGGAGAACAACTGTCCAGCAATAGAACTCTCGACAACAGCAGCAATGTTCTGGAACACATTGCCCTCAGCAAGGACGTAGCCACCAGCGCCAATCTCGAACGCGTGACCGGAGTTATCGAACCAGTAGTTGTTGACCTAGCGTATGTGTTAGTTAGATTTCCAACAAGGATATTTGGAGTAATCCCGAGAGGATTTGTCATCTCGAAATTAAAGAGACGGTTTTTCGGGTGTTTCACTCACAGCGTGCAGAAGGGTGTTGCCCTGAACCTTGGGCGCACGTCCACTGGTGTGGTAGATGTAGTTACCCTTCATGGTAACGAGATCGCTGGATCCATCAAGGTAGACACCCCAGTAGTGGTATCCGTCGCAGGTAGCGGAGTAATCGCTGGTGCCGTCGATGAAACTGTTGGAGATAGTGACGCGCTTGGAGGCCTCTGTGCCGAGCACGATGTGCTGACGAGAGATACGGGCGGTGGTGACGTGGTCGATCCAGACCATGTCGGCGTTGTTGATGGTGATGGCATCGCCGCCCCAGACGTACTTGGGGTTCAGGTCGGTGATAGCGATGTTCCTGGTGGATGGATGGGTTAGTTATATTTTGGTTTAGGGTGGTTTTTGAAGGTAAGTAGCAGGTGGTGAATATCGTACTGGATGATGACGTTGTTCGCGCCGCTGACGATACGGAGACCCTTGCCCTTGATGGCTCCGGCGTTGCCGGAGCCAACGATGGACTTGTTGGACTTCACGGTTATGCCGAGGGTACCGGCGTTGTCACTGGGAGCGGGCAGTTAGTATGGACTTCATGGATTGACTGAAACATAGGATTCGTTTGGGGGTCTGGAGGTGCGTACTATTTGACAGAGGCGGAGGGAGCGTCCGGCTGGTAGTTCCCGCACCAGTTGTTCTGGTTGATGGCAACCTGACAAGCAGAGTCAGTACCCCAAGGGGCGCAGCCAGTGCCGCTGGTGGTTCCCTCAGTACCGGTGAAGTCGAAGGTCTTGGAGAGAACAATGACGCGAGGGGAAGAGTCACCCAGGTACGAGACCAGCTCGGCTGTGGTGCTGGGGTAGACAGGGGTGGCAGAGCCACCACCAGTGACGCCCTTGGCGAAACCCTCTGCGGCGCCGGTGACACCGACGGCAGCGGCTCGCACAGCGAGTGCTGCAAAGATAGCAGTGATCTTCATTTTGGGAGTTGGTAGTGTTGCTACCTGTTGGAAAGAATGGAATGGTTGGGATGAAAAGCTGAGGGAGACATTTCGGGCGTGATAGACGTGACCTTTTATAGGATCAATAGGCAGTCCAATATAACTAGATAGCTCTTCAAGCTATTCCAGGTTAAGAGACAAGCGTGTTTGAGAATCATGTCTCTCCACCCGGGTAATCTCCGTTATGGTATGCCGATGTTATTCCAGCGAATGGTGACCGAAGCCCTATGCGCCTTGGGCTTGGCATAAACGTGGGACCAGCCTTGGACAGTCCACTTGGGCAATGTATTATTAAGGTTGTGCATAAATCCACAATTTGGCGGAGAAATAAACAGTCATGTTATGGAAGATGATAGTACACCAATAGGGGGTGGTTGGATAATGGGTATACTCGTATACTCGTATATTGTATAGTTATTCGGATATTCGTACGCCATGTCTCCTGTGGCACAAATGCAATAGTTATTCAAAGGAGGTCCTATCTTTGTATAATTAATGCATGTTTCTCACGCTTTTTTTTTTAGGTATTCAAACTATCATCTAAGAGATATATGAAACTATGAAACTATACAGAACCCTTCTTCTTATAAGCTTATAAATCAACTCACAACCTTGGAAGACAGATGTTTACTTTTTACAAAGGGTACTTATTTTTGTTAGGGAATTACATAGTAAGTAGAGGTACCATTGGTACTACAATGATAACATAATAATACTGACTATACAGGTTGGTAGATGCGTAAAATACGGCTATTAATCAGCTACCTAGGTACTTTATACGTGCCAAGACTATATTTGTGTATAGAAATGGGCTTTTGATGGGCTTTGATGGACTTTGAAGACTTGGCCCATAACCCACTGCAGGTTGGGCTGTGGGCCAGGGAACTTAGGCCCATTTGTGGGCTGTTAAGAGGTCTACAACATACTCAGGAGTTAAAGTTGAGTAATCCCAGTCGTATATCAGGTCCGGCGCTTGAAGATGTTTCACTTGGGGGATGTTCCCCACATTTGCCAGCCATGTGGCCGGACTCTTTACTCGGATGAGAACGGTCTCCGAGGATTCTTCTGGTTTCTCTCCTTTTTCTTTTTGGCAATATCCACGTGTGTGGTTTTTTCCTTTTTTTTCTCCTTGTGTGCTGGGGAAGATTAAGCTGTGAAGATTGGGGGGAATTTGTCCGTCTTGGCGAACACACGGATTTTCCTCTGTCGATCTTTTAAGGACTACATTATTGCAGCAATGATAGTCGTAGTCTAAATTCTACTTGGTAAAGATGTGAAGATCCGGCACCTTGCCCATGAGGCTAATGTTATCCACCAGAGCTATCAGATCCACTCGGAAGTTCTTTTGATTAAAATAATTTCGCGGATCTGGTGGAGGAACATAAAGTGCATAAATATTCCTACTAGTGATTGGCGCGTTTCATCTAAAGGCCAGAGAAAAAAAAATAAAAAATAAACAAAGAAAGGGGATGAAAATTTCTGAACGAATTCTAGATTTCTATTCATTAAACACATTAAACATGTGCAGTCTATGTAATGATGTGTGGTATACAACAAAAAGCACAAATGATCAGCTATAACCATCTCCAAAGAGCATCCACTCCAACGGCTTCTACATAGCGACGGGCAGTGGACGCTCCAGATAGCCACGCCACTTAGGAAGTGGACGGTCCCACTTGGCACCTTGGCTCTTCTTCAGGTCCTCGATAGCACTGGCGTACTTGATCAAGCTGGCCTCAGAGAAAGCAGTGTTCACGAGAGCAAGGCCAAATGGCATGCCTGAGGCATCACTGACGCCAGCAGGCAGAGTAATGACAGGGTATCCAGCCTGGGCGGCGACCTGCACGCTCTGGGCGACATCGGGGGGCAGAAGAAGACCGTCGAGAGTAACATTGCCGTGATTCAGAGCAGCATCGATACCCTCCTCGCGGGTAGTGCGCTGGCAGAACTCCAAAGCCTGGAAGTAGGTCTCGTCCATGGCACCCTTAGTCTCGAGGGAAGCGATCAGACCGTCCTGGCCGGAGCCGAAGGCAGGGTGGATACCGGGCAGACCACCCTCGGAGCCGAGGTTATCGATGTTGTACTGGACGAGGTCCTCGACGGAGCGCACGTTGGTGTTCTCGACCTCGGACAGGTAGGTGCGCAGGTTGTTGTAGAAGTCGACCTTGATGTAGGAGTATGAGGACTCGTTGGAGTAGCCGCGGGTGGTACCGTAGTCCCAGTCCCAGCCATCGGGCGAGACAATCTCCTTGTAGTGAGGCAGCTCAGTGCCGTTGATTACAGTGGCGCCGGCGGACTCTATCAGCTCGACCAGCTCGAGGAGTTGGGCGATCTGGTCAGCGTCGCCGAGGGCCCAGAAGGAATCCCAGGGGATACCGAAGACAGCACCCTTGAGAGCGGTCTGGTTGGACAGGAACTGGGTGTAGCCACCGACCGGGGTGAGACCCTCCTGGGCGGAGGTGTAGTTGTCGCGGGAGTCAATACCATAGATGGCATCGAGGGCGTAAACGGCATCGCGGACGGTCTTTCCGAAAGTTCCGACGGTGTCCTGGTGGGTCGACTCAGGGATGACACCGGCACGGGAGGTCAGACCAACAGTGGGCTTGATGCCGACAACGGAGTTGCGCTGAGCGGGGTTAATGACAGAGCCATCGGTCTCGGTTCCCAGCGCAATGGGGACCAAGTTGGCGCCGACCGCGACACCAGATCCAGTACTGCTGCCACCGGGGTTCACGGTGAAGTTGTAAGCACTGCGGCACTGACCGCCACGGGCACTGAAGCCTTCAGAGTAGTTGTTAGAGCGCATGTCGGCCCACTCACTCAGAGCGGCCTTGCCGAGAAGAAGAGCACCGGCCTTGCGCATGCCGTTGACGACATGAGAATCACGGGGCACGACGTTACCGAGCAAAGCCCAGCTGCCAGCAGTGGTCTCCAAACGGTCCTTTGTGGCGATGTTGTCCTTGACAATGAAAGGGATACCGTGGAGAGGACCACGGACCTTACCGTCGGCACGCTCAGCATCGAGCAACTCGGCAATGGCGTGAGCATCCGGGTTCACTTGTAGGATAGCACTAATAATGCTGTTAGTCCATAATTCTATGCCAGGGATTTCAACATAACATACTTCAAGTAAGGCTGGGTCTGGTAAACACGGTTCATGTAGCAGTCCAGCAACTGGACGGCGGTGAAAGTACCAACCGTCAGCTCGGCCTGGATCTGATCGATAGTAGCCTCCTCCAGCTTGAAGCCGTGGCAGGTGCGCATATGGAAATGGGCAGCACCATCACCGCCGAGGCGAGGGAAGTCATAGAGGTAGGGATCAGCAAGGATCTGGG